TTTCGGTCACGTAGGCAATATTCCACACAATTATTACCCTATGTAAAAGACATTAACCTTAATTATGATGTACTAAATTTTGATTGCGATTGCATTTCTTTGGGGACGCCCGAAGGCCTAATCACTTTTCCATTGGGTAGATTCTATGGAGCAATTAGGACAAGTCTGCATTAGCACCGTCAGGCAATGTGCATGTGTGCAGGCGCTGTGAATTCGCTCTGCGCCGCTGGTCTTTGATTAATTTTTTCGGAGACGGTTTCATCTCCATTACCTCGCCATATGCACGGTTCCGGTAGGCTGGAGATTCTAGACGTCCTCTCTGAGACAGGAAATGTCGCGATGAAATGTATGACTGACGTGATGGCCCATCAATCTTACATCTGTCTTCAGAAGGCTGAGAAACGTCTCCCCACGCACAAAAATCCGGCTCGGAGTTAGCTGTTAATCCCTTAAAGGATACTACATCACGACAGCGTAATCTGTCGTGCTTATCAGCGGCAAGAGCCGTTAATTAACGGTGAGAAGATCGTAATCAGGAGGCGTAGCCAATCTAGTTATCGCTAATTTGTTTATCTGTACAGAACACCCGACCCTGCTGGGAGAGGAAGAAGAGATAAAGAAATACAGTTTGAAGCGTGATTGCTTTTCTTTACATGCCGACTTTCACGTTGCCTATCCGGCGCTTCAGTCAGCGGGGCGCCCGCCCTGTTACACTTCCCAATCACGGCAATATTCGCGAACTCATTACTTCATATCAACTGTAGTTCTGGTCGAATGGCTCTCGCACTGCCAGGCTGATTGCGGACCGAACTGGAGTTGTTGGCTGTGGCCGGTTTTCATTTGTCGGGCCGTTTCATCTGCTGCGGCAAACCCAGTAAGAACTGAGAACAACCCATAAAGGTTACAGCAGAATCTCCTCATATCTTGTGCAAGTATTAGAAGAAACGTTATTAGTTATTTCCCAGGAGAGGTTGAGAAATGTCTCCATGTGCGTTCTACATCAAATAATGTGAATCATAAGTATATTGTATGGCGTATTGTTGTAAAACTATAAATACAGATGTTTTAGAAAATAGTCTGCAAATATTAGAAAACAACAAAGATTTTAACAAAAAAAAAAGAACTTGGCAGGTTAAAACTACATAAAATTAAGCTCACAAACAGCGGTAACGTGTAATAGCTTATTTCACTCACGTCGTAGCGAAACTAAACAGTGTCCACACGGCTTTGCTAGACCTACACTAGGATCTCAATGACATGTTTGGTAGAGCCATACGGAAATGCTGGAGCTGAGTAGCTTTGGAATATTTGAAACACTTTATGCATAACTGGCCAGGTCAATATTTGTGAAATGTGCCATATCTAGCATGAATTATCACAGTATTGAAACCTGTGGTCTTTTTTCAAAGATTCTAATAATGTTTTCATTACTCAACGACATATAAAATGCTAGTAGTTCTACAAAGTAAAGCTCACCAACTCACCTAAAGAGGTTGAAGCAAACAGCACAAGGCACCAGAAGGTGACCGGCGCTTCCATCTTTCTCCTGATTCCCTTCCACTTTCCTCTCCAGCAGCTCGTGATGCGCAGAGCTCAGAGCGGCGCGCGAGTAGAGGTAACGTGAAACTCAAGATACAAATTGGGCATGTCGCAATCGTGTCGGTCCGGATGAGCCGAACATACCATCCGATAGGAGCGCGCTACTGCGGCTAATCGATACGGCAGAGTTGGTGACAAATTGAGGTCCTTTGCAGCCAGAAGCCGAGGCCGTCCTGACGTAGATTGGGGTCGGCTGGGTGTTTTTTTCCCGATGATGTGAAGGTCCGCCGAGTGAAGCGCACTGATTGTTTGGGATGGCCCGCCCGTACCTGATGGACCTCGTGGACATAATGATGGCAATGCGAGGGGAGCGGGATCTAGGAGATCGCTGGCATCGCTGTTCAATCTCAGTACGCGTACAGATACATCACGTGCGGCCACTGTGGTATACATCTGGCTTAGTGTATATTTCTTCTTCCATACTCTAAAATATATTTCAATTTCAATCATCCAGCACCAACTCTCAGACCCCAACATTATTAAAACAAACCGAAGATTTTAAAAGATTACAAAAATCTCAGTACGAATATATAACGTGTAGTGGCAAACATCCTGTTTATGGTATATTTCTTCTTATCTATCCTAGAATATATATGAATCTATTCATCACCAAGTCTTAGAATTATAGTGAAACAGACCTCAACGTTAAACCATTTTAGATGAATGTAAGATTTTAAGAGATTATAACTAAGTTTGATTGAAGCATTATGAATCTCTTAGACATGCACAATATAATGATATCCAAATATTAAAGACGTCTTGAGAAATTCTTTGATAGCATTTTTTAAACATGAATGTCTTGTCGTACTCGATAGGATTGTGGGAATTGGCGTTATATGTTTCACTTTCGGTAGGCGTTGAGTTTGTCACGAGTATCCGATTCATCCGTGCATTCTATCTGTAAGTCATCAACTAGATCTCCAACAACTGCGAATTCCAATGGTTTGTTCAAAAACTTGGATAGAAAGATTTTGGTGTGTAACTTTTCAAGTTAAACCTTTGACTAGCTCAGAAACTTGCACTATTGTAAAATATTGCTGCAAGCTTTGATTTTGTCTAATGAGACGTTTAAACAACCTCCAGACCAACTTAGTTTTACATAAATGATTTCAAACATCATAATTGCAGCAGTGGATTTTGTTGATTGGAAAAATAAGCATAATCTAAGATTGTAGCCGGCTATTGAGATTCCTGCTTGTCACCAGCTGGGCTGCCCTTTCAAAACGTCATTCTGTTCTACATGTATCAGTCCGGAACGGCACAACATGCCTACAGAAAACTGCACTCCACCGAAACAGCTCTGCTGAAGATGACAGACGACTGGCTAGACAACATGGATAATGGGTTTATGACTGCGGTAGTTTTGCTGGACTACAGTGCGGCATTCGATTTGGTGGACCACAATCTTCTTCTACAGAAGCTCGAGACGTACGGGTTCACTGAGGATGCGTTGGATTGGACTGAATCGTACCTGACAAACCGCAAATGGCAAATTTACACGAATGGAGCCTACAGCAGTCAGAACACCCTACACTGCGGGGTACCACAGGGTAGCTGCTTAGGTCCGCAACTGTACAACATCTACGTGAACGACATGCCTGAAGCGGTACAAAATGGGTCATTAGACCAATATGCTGATGATAGCACGATTCACACACGAGGACACACATTAGAGGACATAAGAACAGAAACCAAAACAGACTTAGAAAGAGTGGCAACATGGTCAGATGAAAACATGCTGAAACTAAATAATGGAAAGACGAAAACGATGCTTGTGGGAACAACAAAGAAAACCAGGCAAGCACCACCTTTGGAGCTGGAGCTAAGGGGACAACGTCTAGAACAATGTCCCTCAGTAAAGCTACTTGGAATTCACCTTGATCAAAACCTCACATACGACAACCACATTGCTCACATAGTTAAGAAGTGCAACAGAAGCTTGGCACAGGTGGGAAGGGTGAAGGACTTACTACCACATCGGCAGAGAATAGCCGTAGTCAACGCCTTAATAATCCCACATATAGACTACTGCTGCTCCGTATGGGGAAACACAACACAGAACAACATACGAAGACTACAGGTGGTCCAGAACAGGGCAGCAAGGCTAGCTCTTGGTTGTGATCGGGATGCACATGTGGACACCATGCTGAAGACATTAGGATGGCTGACTGTCAGGGACAGAATCCAACAGAGAAGCCTTGTCACATTTAAACGTATCATGCTCACCAAACAACCAAAGGCCTTGTACGACAAAATCACATTCCAATCTGAGATCCACAAGTACAGCACACGTTCAACCAGCACTAACAAAATCAGACTACCAAAACCAAAATCAAACTCTCAGAAAAAGCGCTTTATGTACAGGATGTCACACACGTGGAATAACATAGACAACTAGCAAAGTACCGGATTGTAAATAGTGAATTTGTGTAAAGTTTGCCATGTACTGTTAATTTTGTAATGTTTTTGTACGTTTGTAATATATGTATGTAAATATGAATGTGTAGACCACAGGAAGAATAGCCTCTTATGAGGCTAATTGTGGATCTGAATAAAACTGAAACTGAAACTGAAAACGGAACCTGAGCTTCACAGATATGACACAGCGAAGAATCAGAACGTTTAGTTCTGGCTCATTCATGCTTGCGTTAACTTTTATTTTCCTGTGTGGGACTATTAATCTTAGACCAAAGAAAAAGTCGCTACTGATCGATCGGGTATAAGTTCCCCCCAGGCCAAACGACACGACACTAGGAAGCGTGCATTTTGTATCCCCGCTCAGCACTTAAATGTCAGGCGAACCGCTGATACAGGTCCATGATGTCTCTCAGAGGTGCAATACGATGGATGTATATGTATGTATGGTCCTTACGGAGGGCCCAAATCTGCTGCAAACTAATAGCCCGACATCATGGATTCTACTACAGGCGTGCGTGTAGCAGTCGTAAAGGGGCCGAGATGCCCGAGTGTGGCACAAAGATACCGCCTTCAGAGATTTCATATGTTCGGTTTTATTCTCCGTAACATCTGTTGATGCATCTTCTTCGGTTACATAAAATCATATCGGTCCTGAGTGTCATTACATGATTATTAATCCTCGCTGGAAAATCAAATCAGTAGGAACACTGGTCTTCCCAACCAGCTTGAAACAAAGATCAGTATCGATTTCATCCAAGTTAATGCGGTTACAGTGTAAATGGTAATCTGATAGAGAATGTAATATCATCATTTCTAGTACATTGAACGGTAATATAGTGTTTCACATCTAATGTATAAGGCCCTCAGTCGCTTCGGCAGAAAAGTTTCGCCATTGCAAAGTTAATGTTTTTTCCACACGAAAAACACTAATTTATCGATTTAGTCCAGTTGCTGTTGACGAGCTGCATATATTAACAGAGCCATTCAGTTTGCCCTGCTAAATATCGATAAAGATCGTACAATTTGGTGTCAATTGCTGAATTATGGGGCAATATTGCTGGCACTAAAAGGTAGATTAGGTGCTATTCAGACCTTCTTTCCCAGCCATTCTGATTTAATCGTTTGCTACAAGCCCGACAAATGCACGTCTTAGCAAACGTAACAAGGAATGCAGTACCTTTTCATGTTTCTCACGGGTTACCATATTTTCTTCTGTTGCGGTGCATGGTCTTATTCCTAGTGACCGTATGTTCGTCGGTTACATTTGTCCACCTGGGTTCTTGAAGCTTCAGGTTGGCAACAATATGCGTGAGGAGACGGTTCTTGTACACAGAAACTAGTTCATACTCCAGACTGTTCAATCCGTCAGCGGTGAAGTTGCTGACAATGTGGTCATATACACGGTCCCTGTGTAGAGTAATAATACATTACATTACTAAGAATAACTATACTTTAGCGTACTAATATTGTATATATATAGCATACTGGCACAGACAAAGGTGATATCAACATGCTACACTCTGTATTTTAATACACAAAAATGACCAACTTTTGGGTCCAAGGAATACCACAATCGTTATCATTAGAAAGGCATGGAAAATGGTTGTACAGATTGTTTGTCCGAAATATATTTATTTTTTTAGTAAAATCTAGGTTGGAAATGTATACTTGTAGTAATGTATTTCAATGCAGGAATGTTGAGCCTTACTTTGCTGCTGAAGCTCGTCTTTTCTTGTGAGGAATCATTCTGAATCTGGCAATAGAGACAGGCGGCCTCAATATCTTCCAGCCACTCATTCGGACCCTGATAGTACACATGTGAACACACGTCACCGTCCTGGCGAATTTTACATGAACTGCATACATGTCATTTTATTGTAATTACTTGTAATTCACTTATGTTCACGCAAAATTTCATAGTCTGAGAAAATGGATATGTTCAGGTGCAGGAACTATTTGGTACCTGTAATGATAAATTTACGGTACAGAAGTGACAGTGAAAACAGTGAACATAAACGTACCGTGAAAAAAATTAGAAATTACATCTGCAATCCAGCTGTCATTAGTTTGAAGCTTCCGCATTTTACCTGTCTTACTTGATCTCAAGCCCGTGACTAGATTTGAAAATTTCGAAAGAGTCAAGCGTTTTCTTTGCCTGTTAGACTGGGTGGTGCTCAGGCAAAAGCCTACAACATGGCTGCCTCACTTACGTCATAGTCACGTGGGTGCAAACACAGTGATGACGTCTATAATAAGGTACGTACCTTCTGGACATGTCGTCATCCTCCGCTCCCCAGCCCCAGTAGAGGTTAGAGAACCCGTTCACCCGTCTGAACTGGTCTGCAGTAAGCGCTACCACTCCGCCGAATATGTCCTCATAGGGTAGTCTTTTGTAGATAGAACAGTAGATAGAAGTGTCAGTTATGAGGTTGACATACATACAGACCCACACCAGAACCACTCCGCCATGCCAAACCGAAAACATAGCCTTCTGACGAAGGCAACAATAACTATGATAATTGCGATAAGACATACCTGTACTTTAATGTGTCAACAGCTACAGAGAGGTGCTTGGGCTGATCTGCACAGGTGTACAAGTTGCGATCATCCTCTGACAGTAGGTCCACATCGTGGAAGATAAAACAGCTATAGTCGTCTTCACTCAGCGCGAAGACATAGGCTATGTTCATTAGCGTTGCCTTGTTGAATGTGCCGTTTCCATACTGAGAACAGTTCAACATTGAATATGTGTTAAGGGTGTGTAGAGAAACCTGTTTCATCTCACAGAGGACAAACTAAACTTTAAGTATATTTAACAAGGTGTAAAGAGAAATAAATAGATAACATCTCACAGTTCGGATTGCACATGTGCACTCGCAATGCATTGTGGCTTAATGTCAGACTGCAAGGCCCAGTCTTCCTACAGTCAGCTATGAGCCAGTTGCATTCACAAAACCACAGCCAAACGCTACTGAAACATACCAATCCTTGCGAAGGTAAGAATAAAAACGGTAAAGAAACAATTGCAGTACTAGTAGTAACCGGTTGGCAGTCGGCTTGGAGAGCGCTGGGGGCGCTAGGAATAGTGGGGAAACAACGGCGAGATACGGTCTCAAAGATGGCAGAGACAGCAGAAGTGGCATCACGCTAGGTGTGGAGAAACGGAGAGAGCAAGTGGAAACCAACAACCCCCTGAAAGGCAGTACCTGGCCAGTACTGTCACCCCACCGGACGGAGGAGGTCCTGCTTGAGGGGCGAAACCTCCGAGGATGACCGGATAGCAGCTGACGATGTCAGGGGAGCAGCCACCTAACTGTATCGAAGTAAGTTAGTACTCAATGTGGGGCCCACCTGCTCCACCACGTACACACCATAGTCCAGCTGCTGCCGCTGTAGAATCGGGTGCAGGTGTCTCAGTAACACCCGCAGATGTGTCTCTCTGTCACGAAACGGAATAACGATGGCCACCTGGAAGAACAGCAGAAGATTTAGCTGATTTTTTGGCAACGTCTCAGGGAGGAGCCTAATGGTACAGTATTGTGTGCAGTTTGCAAGAATTCTAGGAATGGTACAGGCATTTTGTCCACAGGAATGGAATGTCCACAGGCATGTCTCTGACTCTGACCCACATCTATGCCCACATTCCTGGAAACCCTTGGGAAGACCTCTTTTCCACGGATGGTCCTACTTTCTGTGACCCCGGGGCTCGATTACTATACACTCAGGGCGAGGAGTGCACTGTATCTGTCTACGTACCAAGTCTTTCTCAAAATCATTAAATGATACAATAACCCTAACAGCAACCACCGTCGCCATGGCAATGTATTTTTTTCAATGCCAGTCTTTTTTTGTTTTGTTTATTTTTATATGGGCACCATTGCTATTGCTTATCAAACCGTGCATAATCATAAAAGTCTACAAAATCACGTGACCTTGTGTCTGGCAGTACAGTTTGGAGGCCGCCATTTTCCTCCAAGACGAACATCCGGGTTCTCTCCTGTCGTTTTTTTTAGGTAGACACGTAGCCTCCCTCCTGCGAAATGCAAAAATTATACAACTGTCAGAAAAGAGGGAACCGCATTACTAAAATAAACAGGCACTGCACGAAAACTTAGATTTACCGGAGCAGTATAGTTGGGTAATGTTTTACTTTGTTTTTTTCCTAATAAACACTTCTAAACTTTACAATGCCAGTAAATAAGTCAAGTACGATAATACCGGACTTTTAACGGTTGTAAAGGAAATTGCTGCAATTGACCTTTATTTACTACCATTGTAAAGCCAGATACTGTGTACATAGTCAACATTACCTGAGTTTACAACCTTTGGTAAATCCAACTTTTCGTGCAGTGAGGTATACCTCAAAATGTAGGAATCTTGTTCTTTGGGCCCGCCTTGTTTTTTGCCCGATCGCAATAGATTTGGAGTCTGCGGAGGATGTCATCCATAAACTTTACTTGCTGTGGTTTCATTCTTTTGTTGTATTTCATACAAACACAGGGGGTTACATAATTTCGCTGCTGCTTGATTTTTTTCTTTTTTAGCTATTTAGGTTATTGCTGTGGAATGTTACATCCCACGTAAAACTTTTATCTGTCAGGATTTTCTTACTTAGTTTTTTTACGCTGAAGGAAACGTTAGTTTAAATCGATTTAGCTCCGTACTCGCTATAACATCTGTGTCCATAATATCACCAGGGTCCATAATATCGCCACCTTGAGAAACACTGTGCTTAAAGATATTTTTACTGCAACATACTTTTGGTATGCACTCCTTCACACATCAAATGTACATACCCAGGGTATGTTACAGTAAAAATATCTTTAAGCACATGTTTCTCAAGGTGGCGATATTATGGATTGGACCCTGGTGATATTATGGACACAGATGTTAGTATATCAAATGTTTTGTGTAAACAAGGACATTATGTAGAGTGTCCTCGGTGTAGATTATTAATGCTGATCTATAGGTCGAAATGTGTACATGATACCCGGCGTACCGAAAACAAAAAGTAATTGTTGATTGATAATTTTCAAGAAATTATTTGACAACCGATTATGTCTTTGCATCAATGTTTAATAACTTACAAGCTTTTAAATACCACAGCAGTCACGCAATGTAGTCAATACTATGGTTGTAGTAAAACACAAGATGGCCACGATTTTAACGCATATGTGTGTACTAGATATATAAAAAATGTCCAACCGTAATAAACAACTTCCGAGCTGGTCTCGAACACTTAACTAATATTTCTAATTTATTGTGTGAAAAATCTTACTAGACAATTTTAGGATCTGCAAAAGTACGTTGTAAGGCTTAAGTCAACATTTGTATGTAATATTTGACATACTCAAAGCTCTAGACTTACATTAATGTATTTTATCACTGCATTTTTTTAAAAAGTCAATGTTGACTGTGCAGCTGTCACCTTCCAACGGCCACAGCAGCCATTGTAATCAGTAACTGAGCTATTCAGTCGTAAGTTCCGTTTTCAAAACGAATTTCAACAGCTTTGATATTTTTCATTGGTCAGCGGTTGGCCCATCGGTGCTTCGCTTACAAAATATAGACTGGTTTAAATAAATAAATACACACATGTATTTATGAGTTTTGAATAAAAGATGAAAATATTTGTTTTGATATGATGATATATATAATTTCTTTACTTACGTAGAAATGGTGGTTCAGCAGGACATAGCTCTAATCCCCTGGCTGTAGCCTCCGTCATGTCTTGCATCGATGCATTGTTGACTTCTTTGAAACTTGAATCTCTAGAATGCATGGATCTATTGTCCGTAGAAGGTTGCATCTTTCCATCTGTTTTTAAGACGATAGCACGTGAATGGGCGTTCTTTGCAGTCCGTAGCAGGCTCCTTTCAAATGTTTCTTGAATGGAATGGTTTACGAACTCTGGCCTAACATTTGGTCCGATTTGAAAGTCTGTGGGTTCAGAATCATGCAACAATCCCTCGCCGTTGGAAGGGTCCACATACAATTTTTCTGTTCCATTTCTGTCAGTGAAAAAATCAGCACCAAGAAGTGCCACAAAAAACGCCACAGCAACAAGGCACATTATTAGAAGAATCAGCACTCGCTTGGGCCTTACTAGTTTTCTTGGAATCCTGCACGACATGCTTTTTGGGTGACCGACCGTACCGTCCTTTACCTACATGTACAAGGCACAATGGGAAGTTTACATAGACTATGGCTGTTACCTGCAAAAGGAATGTAAAGCATGTAAAATCGTGTCACCAGAGACTCAACTCAACACTGCATTAAAGTATATACATGCACGACATTGGAAAGCTCAGGGGCATAGTGTATATCATAGGTAATCTCGTGTTTGCGTGGAAATCTCGCGAGGAATGACAGAAATTAAAATTGATGATCTCTTTTTCCTACTTAAAGGATGTTTGTTATGGACATATAAAAGAACCCAGCAGGTCATCGTACGCTGGGAATGTTTCGTCACCAACTATCTTACCTTTTACAGCTGCAGCCTTCGACACAAGGCACAATCTTGTTGTTGCATTTAAAAAAGAATTTGTCACCAATCGTCCAGGCTGGTTAACACAGACTCTGGACCTTGCCACAAAGTATTTTAATACATACTCAGTTCACCCGGATATCGAAGCACAGTTCCGCGTTCCAATAAGGTGGTATCTGAACAAAAATTGTTCATGTAAGGATGTGTAGCAATGCTGGGTAGGGCACAATTTCCGGGAGCAGACTGACCAGAAGGTAGTCCACGCCTAATTTCCTACAAATTTGAGTTAAATTTGAGTCAAAGTTGACTCCCAACCACGCCCCGACCACTGCTGACCTACTCCCGAACACCAGCCAACCACCAGCCAACTTTAGCCGAACATCGCGTCCACACCTGAATGTTTCTAATATTTTGAATCATTCAGCGGCATGCGCAACCGAACAGTCGCCGACCTCGCCGAATACCAGCCAACCACAGCCGACATTCTCCCGACACACTCCTAACCATATTTCAACGGGGGGGAGTTCGGCAGTGTTCGGGGGGCATACTTGTTCGGCTCCGTGTGACGTTACCTCAGCACACGAAATCACACTGCACCCCAAAATGGCGGATAAAGAGTGGTAAAACGTGGCTGCGACAGGCAATATATATGTTCTTATATATTATGTATGGTAAAAGAAAAAAGACTCACCAACAGCAAGACCGGCACATAAGGGATACAACTCAACCCTAAAGCTTTCAAAGAACTATTTGAACACTATTTCAACAGAACGTCAAGCTACTCCAGGCAGGAGTATTTCTTTTCTTTTCCCCTGTGCCAAAATGGAACTAGTTACCTCTGACAACCGACGTTCGTGTCAACAGGTAACCTACCCCTTGATCACGCACGTGTTTACGGCATACCTGAGTAGAGTACTTCCGACACGATTTTGTACCTGACTACGTGAGGTACAATATTAATTAATATTAATGTACCTCAGCTCCCACCGTTGGCGTCGGTGGCGCAACGGTTAGAGCGTTGGACTCGGAACCGAGAGGTCCCGGGTTCGATACTCACCGTAGCCCGACGTTGTGCCCTTGGGAAAGGCACTTTACACGACTTCCCCACCTATACGGTGGAGTGACGCCCACCGAGCCTCTTAGGCTAATCTGTCTGTCAGGGTGCCAAAAACACCTTACGGATTTGGTGCGCCGATGTGACAACATCTCATATTGACCACTGAGAGCCGTAAAATTTATCTATATTTGAGCTCCCAAAATGGCGGATAATGAGAGTGACGCACAACTAGATATACGTATTCAGGGGATCAAGAACATTTCTTTCTTTATTTGCCTATTCATTTATGGAGATTTACCACATTTGTCGAAGGACTGACATAACAGGTGACTATCACCTCTTCAAGATGTCAAACCTGAGACCAGACTGCAAGGTTTGAACCACTCACACCGGGAAGATCCCCTACTCTTTTCGATAAGTGCGGTGGGTTCTTTAACGTGCCTGGGGTGTGGCTCTCCCCAAACACGGGACCTCCATTTAACGTCCTATCCGAGGGACGGCCCTAACCGAAGCTAGGTACTCATTTACACCCGAGTGAAGTGAGGAAAGTCGTGTAAAGTGCCTTTCCTTAGGGCACAAGATCGGTGACATCGCGCAGGATTCGAACCCGAACACTCTAACGCTACGCCACACGACCCCACAAACTCTTTAGTGCTTTGTCCTCAGTTCCAATATTACCATCAACGACAGAACTAGTAGATACAGCTTTTATTACAAAAAGGAATATCTTCTAGGTCATTGTTTCTAAATTTACGGTAAAAGTCTTTTTTTACTTTCTGGGAATAATCCCATATTTTTAAAATCCTATTTTAAAATCTCCTAATATTCTAGGGAATCTAGAATCAACATTATTCTAAAATCCAGATTAGGTACAATAAAAAAGATGATATATTTCAATGATCAAAGCATCATAATTATCCGTGCGAAATATCATTTAAAATCTGGACTAGTGCGTTATCAGTCCCCTAATCTACGGTGGAAGCAATGCAACCATTTAATATGAGGTATTTTCAGTATTCTGTTATTCACTACTTTCTGGTCGGCGTTGGCTCGCCAATGGTCTCTATCTTATTACTGTAAATCGTCGACACAAACCGGACGTGCTAGTCTGTATATATACATATACTGGTCATAACATATTGGCAAGAAGATTGAGTTAGAGATGCATCAATTATTTTCTCGACATGTCTCGAAGAGTCCTTCGCAAGATCTTTCCACTGGCAGACTTTGAGATTTCATTCACAAATTCAACTCCGCCCCGCAACTTCTTGAATGGTGCCACTTTACCTGAAAGATGACAGAGAAAATGCTTTGTCGGCACGTCAAAAATACTCTATCTATCCATATTATCTCTCATCAATATGCTTAAAATCTCGAAGATAAAACCAACGTGAATGTTTCTTGATCTGTATAAAACGAAAACGACAAACAAGCAAGTAACGTTACACACATTGCAAGAGTTTACGTGATAGTATTTTTTAACAGAGCTACGGCAGAATCAACAATCTACAACGATCTCCGGCAGTCATGGTTTTAGAAAACAGCTGTTTTACACATGATACAATTCAATACTGTCTTAAGGCATCAAATTTCACAAACGTTAACGTATGGAAACAAAAAATCCTAACGGCACCTGCAACATAGTCTACGATCTCCTTTTCCGTGACGTCGTCCGACTTCTTGACGATGAAGGCCTTGGGTACTTCCCCGGCCCGCTCGTCAGGCACCCCGATGACGGCCACGTCCTGCACGCTGGGGTGGCCCAGCAGGACCGCCTCTAAATCCGCAGGTGCGACCTGAGATAAGACAAAATAATGACAAAAACTTCATGTCCAACACTGGGTAAACTGAGACTTAACCAAATGTCCAACACAAATTTTCGGCTAACTCAGTCAGCCTTGTTCACAGAATGGACCCGTCTACTGCAGTTTCCGGGACGTGACGTCGGAAACACGTGATTGCAGCAGAAGGCCATACGTGCCAGATAAACAATAAGATTTACTTAGTGTTGGACATAAGGTTTAGCCTTTTCGTCATGATGTATACCGATGGCGGAAAATAGCTATCATTTTCGGAATATTTAGTACACATTTTGTTATTTGTACTACAGGAACTTGAGATTAATGACCCCAGCGACATCAAGCACTTCTTCATGTTTTATGAGTTTGTCTATAATGTAAGTAGTTAATGCATTTGCTTCAGCATGTCTGAAACTGCAGATGAATAAAAAACACAAAATGTTGTACCTGAAGCCCTTTATACTTGATCAGCTCCTTTAGACGATCAACGATGTAGAAGTATCCCTTGTCGTCATAATGCCCGATGTCACCTATAGTATAACGTATTGTTTCAACATGTTATTATTAGTCACATTGCATCTAATTCTTATATTCATAGTTACATGGATATTCCTTTTGTTCCTTGTAGGTGAACGGCCGTTTCGGGTGGGTCATTTCCAATATTTAGGTGTCTAACTGCGTCATAGTTGTCTAACTTGCAAATATCAAACAAAAAGTGACAGGATTATCTCTTTTTTTAAATTATGGCAACCTTAAGTCAACTGACCCGTGTGGAACCACCCGTCACTGTCAATGCACCCGGCTGTTGCCTCGGGGTTGTTCAAGTAGCCCTTCATGACCTGCGGTCCACGGACACAAATTTCTCCGTCTTCTCCCTCGCCAAGAGCTTGTCCGGTCTCTGTATGAATCACCTGTTGCAAGGGGCATTACTCGTCTTAATAAGTCAACTCATACTATCATGAAAGTTCACCTGTGTTGGTAGTTACATGTTTAAAGTTAAAACTTTTGGTCCAACACACCTAGAGCTTTCGACCAGTCACTCTGGTCATCCTCAGTAGACTCATAGTTTTAAGTGGGCGTGTACATTGTGTCAAAGTTTAAGGTACCTCATTTGTAGTTCTAGGCCTGGTAGCAACGATTATACGTGGATATTCACGTTGAAACCGAAAACATTGAGTAAACTTTACTCACAATTGCGGAAATGGAACTGCTTAACTTACAATGGTATGACATGAAATGACATCATTAGACAACACAGAGTTTACTAAACATTTAAAGCACCTCACCTTAACTTCCGTGTTTGGTAAGGTGATGCCGACTGATCCAGGTGCGAATTCGTCTTCCACACACAGGTGTGTGACAGGGCTGGTCTCTGTTAGTCCGTACCCTTCAGAAACACAACAACAAAGAGGCTCTTTGTGAAATGAAAACAAAATGTCCCCTAATTAACTGTCGCAGAATACGCGAGATATCTGTTAACCAGTACAAGTCTCCAAGCAGATCATAAGGTGGCAAGGCAGTATCCATTGGCCAAAGGAGTGTCCATTAGCCACCGAAGGTAAGGAAATGGATTTATTTATTTATTTATTTCATCTTAAGACGGCTGGGTAACCCCATTCAGCTTACATTAGCTGTTTTCCAAGGGGGCCCAGCAAAATTACACAAGACATTGTTACATACAGTAAGACAACATACAGTAAACATAAAAGTCTGATGCGTCAAAACAGAGTCATAGTCCTATACTCATAGTCCTAGCCGTTCAAACGTTCAAAGGTCAAAAACAAGAAACTCAAGGAATGGAGGTCAGAGGTCAGGTTTCATGTCTGGATACTCTTGGGCAAATGGATACAGGCAGGCAAATTTGATATTGTCTTTCGCCCACCGAAAGATCTGCTTGGAGATTAGTATATTACTATTGCATGGATAATGCTGCTTGCATACCTTGCCTGAGAGATTGAGGTTTGAGTTTGTCCCTGAGAGCCATGGTCAGGTTAATGCCCATAGGCGCAGCAGCACACATGAGATCCTTCACACGTGACAGATCATACTGGTCCACCATCGGGTGCTGAGACAGGAACAGGGCTATGGGAGGGACCATCATCACCCTGTTTACCTGTTGGGTGAAAAACAAAAAATAAGGATTGTTGGCGACATTGAAGTAAGCTTCAAAGTTCATTTTGTTGATAAATACTAGTAACAATGTCAGAGAAATAATGTCTACTAACTTTTAACCACTTTTCTTATTTTTTTTCTATAACTTACGTGACTACGTTTGCTCACTACAAGAAATGACAGGACTCAGACCAATCGAGTCTTAAGTTGTCCTGAAATGTCTAAAAGACTGGTCTAGAGTTTTGTAAGTGTGTCGGAGACAAGGCCACAATAAACTTTTGTTTAATTGTGACGGTCTTAGTATACTTGTATCAGGTGGAATTATAAGCGTTAACGGTATCCCTTAGTGTTAGTGATATGAAAGCAGAGGATAAAAGGCATACAGACGAAAATCACTAACCTTGTAGTCTTGAATGACGCGCAGGTAGAGTTCTGGCTCAAACCGTGGAATGGTGACGAACCTGACGCCCTGACGTAAACAGCAGGACAGCACGGCAACCATCCCGTAGATGTGGAAGAACGGCAACTGCGCGATCAGACAGTCCTCCTGGCGGTTAAATTCCAGCATCCCCTTGTTTCTGTGATGTAAGATTAGCACAACAAAATGCATTAGTTTAATAGGGTAAAAGCCTGATCTCACGTCATAAGAACACATTGGGCCTATAGCTTTTTGTGATGACACTGATGAAACGGGGACAAAACTTGTCACCATTTTCTTACAGATGAACAGCCCGATCGGCATGCATATGTATTGTTGGACCCTGTCCTCTGTTGAACTGGGGTTTCGCTCTTGATGCTGTTACTTAAAAATAAACTTGCCACTTTTGGCAAAAGGAGTGCCCAAGCTTTTTGGTAGCGGCGTCTTGGCTTGTGAATCGGTGGGAACATATAAAAAAGCACCCCGATCAAAAATTCCAGTGTGACAGACATCTTCTTTATCAATAATGATAGTATAATCCTACATGATTTGTCTGAGATTGGCGACGATGTTGTTGTTGGTGAGGACGACGCCCTTGGGCCGGCCTGTAGTCCCGCTGGAGTACGGCAACACCGCCACGTCTTCGGCCGTGTTCACGGACACGTTCTCGGGAAAGGCCGAGCCATCGTCCGCGAGAAGGTCGCTGAAGTTTCGGCATTCTGGCACGTCACTTCCGATAACGAAGATTTCCTGTATTAGATGATTTCAAAAAATGACATATGAAATTGGATAGTTTTTCTTTTACATAAGATGATTATCTTGAAACATTTCGGCTTCAATTTTTTTTCCAACATGTAATCACAAGACGTGGTGCCGGCACACTCAAGTTTTATCAACTTATATTAATGCCGCCACCAACACAGGGGACAAATACATGACAGGACAATACTCATTTTCACCTGAGTGAAGTGAGAAAAGTCGTGTAAAGTGCCTTTCCCAAGATCGGTGGCATGTCAGGACTCGAACCCGGGACCTCTAGGTTCCGAGTCACGCACTCTGCCGCTACGCCACACGACCCCACGTCGGCTTCAATTCTATTGTCATTCTGTATAAAATCGATTGTTTTTAATAAAAATAATAAAATTTTTAAACACATCACAGCCCGTACATGTACATGTACTCACTTTCACGCTCGGACATTTGCTTTTGGCCGCTTTGACTGTTTCCGCCACATCCGGTATTGTGATGACGTACTGCGCATTGGAATGTTGCAACTGGTATGCGAGCTCATCTGCCGAGAAAAAGGAAATACGAATTAAATAAAGTATCATACTCCTATTTTTATAGTTAATAGTTTAGACCAGATGCACTTCGCATGTATGTAATCCTTTTTTTTAAATCAATTTGTATCAACATTTGTATCAACATACATTTGTATGAACCAGGATCCTCGTAATGCTAAAGTCACACCGGGGCCGGGCTGTTTGGATTAGCAAAAAATCAACAATTCATATCATGAATATACGCAGATAATCCACATTGTTAATATTTACAACTTTCTTGTGCTTGGTTGTCCATTATATCATACTTTTAGATCCATAAGACTACCCGGCCGGGCCCCGGTTTTGAAATGTGACCTCAGCCTCAACTAGTACAAGATGTAAATGGAAAATACAAACCTGGTGTATATGTTGGATTCGCAGTCGTCACCACACCCCCCACAGAGGAAGCCCCGAAGAATGCTATGGCGTACTCTGGCACGTTCGGACTGAAGATGGCCAACACGTCATGCTGTTTGAACCCTAGCCGCGTGAGGGCGCTGCCGAAGCGTCGGATCAAGTCTTGCAGCTGGAGATACGTGTACGATTCTCCGGTAACCCCGTTTGTCTGAAACACAACAAAGTGTAATGATTAAACAGTCAATGTTTGTTGTAACCCGGTCATCTATTTGCATTTTACTGGCACTGTGTTGTCATTATCAGATCTATCGCAGAATGTACAGGTATTTATCATTAACATCTATTGGCTTGGACAATTCTTATAAAATCCCAACTCTACGAGTATCATGAAAGTTCATCTGTGTTGTAAGTTGTTACCTGTTTAAAGTTAAAACTTTAGATTCAACACAATCAAGTTCTCTCATCTAGAGCTTTCGTCACTGGGTCATGATCAGTCTACTAAGGAAGACCAGAGTGACTGGTCGAAAGCTCTAGGTGAGAGAACTTTATTGTGTTGGATCTAAAGTTCTAACTTAAAACAAATCCCAACTCTAGTGATTACGATATCGACGATCGACGACATCATTGTATAGAAACGTAAGATCTTGGTATCCAACCCCCTAATAAATGTACAAATGTACATTATTGTACAAATGCGTGCTATATAATACTCACGATCGCGACGTCGTTCCCATAGTCATCAAAGTGCTGTGTGACGTACTGGGTCAAGGTCTCGTTCCCAGGAATATTGACGTCTGGAAACCTGCTCTTCAGAATGCCGTTTTCAACAGTTGAGAAACTTCGGGACCTCAAGAAAAAAATTATAAGAAAACTGTTTCATTGCAATAGAGGAGATCAATGTTTTAAAAACCCTATCTAAGATGATCTAGGGTATTATGCATACTTTTCTTTTAAAGTTTGCCGCCCTAACGTTTGTCCTAGAGTTATATGTTCAATTGACCTTTGAGTAAAGATCAACCTGTGACCTGATAAACCCGGGAGTTTAAAAATGGCGGGTTTGTTTGCGACAGTATAGTGCTGCTACTCGTTATGTTTTCGCAGTGAACCATAAGCGATCGCGAAGGCTACGTTTAGCTTATATTACAGTGTTTAAATATAGGATAGGATCTTATAGGGTAGTTCGTATTGGGGTCTAGTTTTAGGCGTAAGACTACTTGGGAAGACTACTAGTAATACATCCTTCCAAAACGCCTGTTACATATTTAATTTGCACACTCCCCCTCTGGATCGGTCGTTATCTCAGATATAGATGCAACACGAGATAGGCACATGTAACACCACAAACACAACGAACCAGTAGCACAGAAGCTACTAGTACCAGAAGAACAAACTCAAGAAAACTTACCATGTGGTGGGTACATACTTGACCTCAGCCTTACGCAGTGGCCTTGGATAACAAGAAACAAATGTCCGGGCTGGGCTGCCTGTTGTAACCAAGGCAGCCTCCACGCTGCTTCTTAGCACCTGAAGACGACGAACATTAGACGTGGCAGACGTTAACTGTCTCAAGAGTAAAGGGTGCATTCTTAGACACATATAGCTTCACCACTGGTCGAAAAATAAAGCTGTACTAATCGTATCTGTAGAACGTGTGCGTGCCTTCTCTTCGCGTGCGCCCTGCTATGCAGAAGCGTCTGTCCCGCGAGGAAACAAAAGAAGACTGCCCGAGGTCAAACAAATAAATAGGCTGACTGGCACATGGATCATATTTCACTTCCGGGTCAGGATGACATTAATCAGTCTCGGCGTCTTGATAGTGTAGAAGGCAGTATCCATCAGAACACAGGAACCTGACGAGAAAAGGGTACAAAACTAGACAAACGTCGGAAATGTCTCGCCTGCAGCGTCACAGGACTGCAGGCTAGAATTCCTTGGCATGACTTCAGCGAGGGGCACTGTAAGAAACAGGAGGAGCCAGTAAAAACCCTTCTGGTCCCGGGCCGGGGTTCGTACCCACGACCTCCCGGGCACTAGAGCTTCATAACCAGACACTCTAACCCTTCGGCCGAAAAGGTCTAGACCCGTCAGCCGGGTCAGTTGGTAGCGCGAACCCCGCCCGGGACCAGTGGGTTTTCACTGGCTCCTCCTGTTTCTTACAGCAGTCAACCTGCCGTACGTGCAACCACTGGAGTTAAAAGATAAGATACAGTGCAACTGCGTTCTGTCTACGCGCAAAAACGTGGGCACATTTAGGGATTCATAAGTGGTGAGTACCGCCACCGTACGGAATCTAACGGATTTGGAAGCACACAGACTCACGCCACTTGAAGTGCATGTAAAACTTTCTCTGCGTTCGGGCTGAGAATTCACCCCCGTTCGAGCCAGTACGGGCGACGCGCGTGCCTCTTACGTACCGGAACGTACCGTGCGTAAGCAGCACGTGTACGGCCTACATACGGTAAAGTGGCAATCTCGCAGTCACAGAGATCTTAAAAGTGTAAGCACGTGCAACTCACTTCCCACTTGCGCAACTAAACCGGTAACCCACCCCGGGCTGTTTATACCTGCCAGAATTCAACTAACTGTCTAGATCTATTTCCTTACTCTTGATTAGCATGAAATCGAAGATAGATTGCATAATTAAGGTAAGTGTTGAATAAGAAAAGGTACAGTCGAATGTGTTGTTATCTTTCTAATCTCGAAGGCCTCAAGACAACTTGGAATTTCTGCTTAAAAAAGTAATCTTATTCTAGTTACTGTGGGGCGTGACATCATTTCGAGCCAAATGCAAAAGGCAAACCGTTCTATCAAAATTTAATACACCTCTGTAAACAAGTGATTTTGAATACAGAACCAATTCACCAACCTGATAGAAATATTTACGGATAATTATGCCACCATTTGAAATCAAAATGCAACATATTGTAATTTTTTAATTATATAGCAACTAATTGTTTCTTAAAAACCGCCTGTGGACTGCCACTGAATACCAGAGTTGTTCTATTGAGATGTACTCTTCATTTATGACGGTTAAATGTTAACAATATCATTAACTAGCATTGCAAATTGATACTATGAGATACAAATAGTATCACATAGTATTCGTCTGGTTACTACAAAGCGTAAAAAGCTCAAGACTACAAGTTCATAAATCATCTTCACAGTAATCAGTTTTGCAGTCTAAAGTAGTCTAGATTCCTGTCCATACTTTTTTTTTTAGCTTTATGTGTTTTATTCCTGATGATATACCTAATCTTTCTGCATGTCAATCACAACACTGCACATGGTGGCGTCGGCCTCGATCTTCTTGCTCGTCAGAGCGTCGGACCCGAAGTAGTCCCGAAGTTTGCCGACGAGCCCGAAGCCAGCGTCGTGCTTGTCGTGTAGCCCTGTGAACTCGGACCGTACCACGTAGCGGTAGGGTCCGTGGGGTGTGACCCTCCTGTACAGCGCGGAGTAGGCGTACCCCATGTCGGGTGTTACCTCCTTCTCCAGTAGACTCACACCCGCCCAGTCTCGCCAGTTAGCCTCGAAATCCTCAGAGGACACATCGTCAGGCACCTTTTGTGAATTGAATGAAAGAACATTGAACATTCTTTTCTAAATTTGAGCATCTCAACACACTGACTTATATTTTATTCGCGTTTTTGCGCGTAAATCTATGAAACAATTTCATCAGAAAAGTAGAAAGAACACAGAAGCCTATAAAAATATTTACCGTAAAGTGTGAGACGATGAATCGAGTGGTATTGGGACGTTCATATGGGTATGGTGACTTCCCCGTGGACACAGCGGCCTCCACAAAACCACCTGTAGTATTGGCACGATATACAAAACTGATAAATAGAATAGAAAATACCTACGAACTGCTCTTGCTTGTTCAAAATCTTCAGTGAATCAAGTGTAAGCCGTGAATGGTAGTACTGTTTTGCGTTCATTTGTAAATCTGTATCCAAGTGCGTTGGTCCGTCTGTGTTTCTTCCGTGCAGTTTCTATATATTCAGGCAGGGGACGCTTTCTGTCGAGTGGAGGGGTTTTGCAATCCTTTGTTGCCCTGCAGTATAATCTATTAGTATGAACTTACCCATCAAGCCTTTGGCATCCTCTTTGATTTTGCGGGCTTCCATGAAGACACGCTTCATGTCTTCTGTCCTGCCTCTCCCAGAGATGAACCCGTCGGTTTTGAAGATCCCGAAGTTCACATAGACGAACTTAGCTGTACAGGTGACAACATAAATATTCATATGTAGATACTAGTATGTAGAAGGAACGATCATCGAAAGTGCCAATGTGCTAGTACTAGTATTACAGAATCCAACAAATGCGTGCCACAGTTTGGGTTTAACCACACTGCATAACTTTGTAAATTAGCGTTATGTACATTTAAGATCGAGCTGTCAGTATTTGGGCACTCCAAAGGGTGGGTGTGAAATAACGTTGTTCTTAGTTATTTTTACTCTGTACTTTATAGGTGTGACTATTACAGTTAATTTTTCTTAATTATCTGGACATTGGAATATGTGTTCAAAGTTTCTTCTCACGGTTTGGGTCGAGGTTCTTGTGCAGGTGAGTCGCCAGGAAGTCCGGGTGATGGTTGACGGCGTGGTTCCCGATGTAGAACCAGTACTCCACCAGTTTGGGGAGATCACCGCTCGGCGGAGGGACGAAGAAGTTCCACACGAACGCGCCAGCCATCGTCTTTGCTGAATTAGAGGCACACCTGAACTCTCCTTGGCTCTGTTTGGGTCAGTGCTGATAAAAGAAAATACTAACTTAAAGATTAATACTACATGATTGAAAACTTGAATGAATAGAAACAGAGCTGACCATTTTTTGCGGGGAAAGTTCTGCACTTTTGCACTACCCGACGCTCGTGGAGATTGACGGGATACTAAAATAGCGACGTTTCTAAACAACCCAAGGACACTTTGTAATGTCCTTGAAACAACAAAGTCAAAGTTTGTTCACTATACAGCCCCGCCTAGCTAGCTCGGTCCTAACCTATAAGGAAAGCATTTAGATTACTTAATATCTATATATCTACGAGTTGTAGACTTTGCCAAATGAATCCAGTCCATTCATAATCAATCAAACAAACTATAGCATGATATAGGTACAAAAGAAGACTATATAAATGAATTTAAGATTGAAGATGTCACAATTTACTTAAGAGTCTATTGTTTACACTCCGTCTGGGTCGGCTTAGTTCTGGCTGCAATATACAGCATGAATATGCCCTGTATATAACATTGTATGCGGAATGCTACGTACAAAAGGCTGTAATAAATCAACGGAATCTAGGAGTACTTGAATTAAGTGCAAGAGACGACATAATAACTATGTTGCCACACATGCCCCGCCATGTTTGTCTAACCGGTTAGACTTCCACTAATCAATTGAGAATAAAAACGCTTCGGAACAACTTTATGTTATAAGCAGCATTAACACCATGCCATAACATCGTCATCATGAGTATAGCTAGATACATGGATAAAGGAGAGAAAAAAACAGAGTGAGTGTGTCACCTTATCTGTTAGTCTTCCTTCCTGCTTTTTCACCCAGCTGGAATAACCTAAACTCTGACCGCGTGAACTTTGGTAAGAGCAAACCACGCTAGGGAGTAGAAGGCTACTTACGTTTACAATCAATACTGCACGGCACAATACTCATGCATACAATGTATGCAGCAGATTGTAATCTTTTAATATACATTTTTGATTTGATAAGAACCTGTTCTTTCTCAAAATACTGTACAAACTGTTCTGTTCAGTACCCCCATCAACGCCGCGTGGTTTGTTCCGTCAAGTTGAGTTCAGAGTTGAAGGGTGGGGTAACTGCAGTGTATGTTGTATCCAGAACCTAGCCTCTACCAGGCACCGCGGATCGCTGGAAAAATAGTAGAAATTGGCCGAAATAAAGGGATAGTATACCAGAGAAGATCCAGGGCCATAGAAGCTCCAATTTGCGACCCACGATCCGCGGTGCCTGATAGAGGCTATCCAGAACCGTGCTTTATCCAGAATCATGTTACGGTATCCAGAACTGTGTAAGCGGCAAATCTACGTACTTGGATACGCGGAGACTACCCAGAACCGTGCCTGATCCTGAACTCTACATTTCTAGGCATAGAAGTACATGGGCACGGTTCTGGGCAAGGGTTTACTGGACTGTGCCATAATGGCTAGCATGAGGCGGGAGAAAAGCGGTCTACTATCAAGCAGACCGCCTTCACTTCCGGTCCACTTTATTCCACCGAACTGAAGCGTAAATTTAATTTGAGCATATCATCAATCCTTACTGTCCTTCTAAGCTAATTTCCGATGAGATTTAAGGATTTTGGTCTGCACTAGTCTTTTACGGTTTCAGTGTGCTATTTTGCTATTTCGCACGCCTTTCTGGTATTGAAACTAAACGCAAAACACTCAGAATGAGCGCTAGCCATGTACTGCATTATCTACTTATTCTGACCAACATTTACACATCATATGAAACGCCCACTTTGTACCATGCTTGTATACGTCAGTGTGTTGTCAGTCAAAACGGCGGTGTGGCGCGTTAACTATTTACTTTTGAACACGCTAAATGCGCTTAAGGTTTCTCCCGCCATAATTCATCACGTTGAGACAGGAGCGGCAAACAGTGTTATCAATAGGTTAGTTTACACTTTAACTGACCCACCTCGACCTGTTCGCCGGTCACAAATAATCCTTCTTTCTTAGCTGAAAGGTTTTGAGACTCCAATGAACATTTTTAAACTATGTATAGTTTGCTACTTGGTCTTAAGTAGCTTTTTTATTCAAGTTCTACCCTCAATACATTTTCAAAAACGACAATCATAGAAACAGATTAAAATAATTCAGAGACACGTATACATTTATTACATTAGTTTTTTATACCTACTCTAGTGCTGGTATCTTGATTAAATCTCATATGAAGGACCATTGAAAATTTCATTTCCACACTAAAATGCGTAGAGAGCATTTTATTGCTCAACGTACAATTCATCTATGAAGGGCAGGGTTATCGCCTAACGGATATGGGTGACATAACCTACATCGTAATCACTGACCCACCACATACCATACAGAACCTGGTAACGGATAAGCAGCACGTGTATACTTGGTCAATAAAGCACAATGTTGTTCTTGTACAAGGCTGTCGTATGTCACCTTATGCTATATAAAGGGGTTATTTAAATTTGCTATGTATGATTTCATTCAGAAACAGTACTAAGCCCTTAGATAACTTTTCATATTTCAGCCTACGAGTGCAGGTTTTTGTGAGGGAATGCCCACGTTTTAATGACAAACAGTACCGTGCCGAGGACCATGAGCAAGACGTCACCATTTACGTACCCACATATTTTGTCATTATGTTCATGCCCTAAATGCAAATACTTGAAGTATAGAATGCGTAAATACGTGGACACGCTACCAACCCACGCACTGACCTCCAAAAGCAGAGGTCATTGCAGTTATTAAAAGCTGTATTAAATAATTGACAGCAAACCAATCATTACAGTGACCAGGGTCCGTTCATAACTGTAGTGCGAAACTCGCATGTCATACAGAGCCATTGCTGGAAATGTGGGATTTGACAACGGTGATATATGTCAGATAATACGCTTAAATAAACCTCACTTAAATAAGTGGCCGCAAACTAATCTATCTTATTCCAGCAAGCCCTAAACGTGGTCTTCGGAGTCCGGTAATAAACATAGCACAAAACGACAAGTCATACACACTCTTGTAGAGGCAAAATGGACAGAGCGTCCTTAACGTTTATCTTATCGACCGCTATCACAAGAAGTATGGTAACTATGACAACGTGACAGGTGTGACGTTTTCACCGTCGTAAGTAAAACAGGGACACCTGCCGCGCCCCTTTGGTCAACAAAAGACCGGCCATAAACACTACCTGGTCATTTCTTCTGCTGGCCACAGCAGACAGTGTTGTGTCAGGAATTTTTTTAGTATCTCACCATGTGGTTGTCTAGGGCTCACCTGTTGCTGTTGTCCCTACTGCTGTGTATGACTGCAGTGCACTGCTTCATACCCCTGGTGGGATTCAGCCTGAACCCGACGGACGACGACGGGGACGACAACTGGTCCCACGGCGCCATCACGCGCCGGGCTGTCCTGGACGCCGCGGCGGACTTCCTCCGGGACCTGCCCGACTGCGATCTGGGCTCGCTCGCCACCGTCAGACCCAGCGAGATCTTCCAGGAGATCTCCATGATCTTCATGTCGTGTTTCGGGCGTGTGGTCTCCGCAGCACGGTTTTACCAGGCCGCTATACAGGTGGGGGATTTGGCAGTCATATACCTCGTTTTTATATGATTGTGTAGTATTTGCAATGTTGTTGCTTTGAGTAACTGTAACAGTTGTGGAATCCAGGAAGATTAGATGCTCTTGCTGTTGCTTTTGCAACTAATGGATATCTCAATAAATTATCAAGTACGGTTACCGTATGGTTGTATTCTTGGGGCTATCGTGCATGTGTCCTACAAATTAAATTCAACTGTCCTGTTAGGGAAAGGTCTGTCTTACAATGTAGATCATCCTGCTTGAAAATCCTACTACATCGAAAATGTACGGTGGCCTTCGATGAATGTGACCGCGTCGACGTAAAATAAATGACAGTACCTACTACAGATTAGGCTTTTAACAGTACTGCCTCAAACACAGTACCGTAGACTTTGGAAACCGTTACCTGTGGCTTGTTAATGTTATAACAGAAGGCCTACCTTGATAACGTTAATCTCAATTTTTGAAATTCCTTTGTCACCTTCATAAAGTTGTAAACAGATATCCGAAATGGCGTTTATAAAAATGTGCTGACACTAAACCATTTTGACAACTATTTAATTGACTTCAAAAGGTGATATATGTATAAAGGTTAACTCGGTTTTACACGTACACACAGCCTTTCGTCTGGGATTGGCAAACAATGTTCTAAACTCAATCTGACCTTAAGTCGACCTCTCTAAGGTATTGCTTGTTGTGTACATACCAACACGTCACAAAGGCCACAGTTTATCGATAACTATTCAAACATGTAGTACAATAAGCCTTTTTAAAAATATTGTTACCGTATCCTTGACCGTGGTAATGATACTAGTAATACAGTCGGTACTATTCTCTAGCTGTTCTTTTACATTTTGAATGGCGCTCAGTTTTTGTTAAGAATCGGAGTAAACATACTATCGCCATCGCATTCTTAATAAATGTTTTGTCCACAAAAGTGGGTAAGGCACTTATCAGAGTTATCAACTAAGAATTGAGGTGTTCAAAAACTTTTCCCAAGAACTATCGTAAAGTGGAACCACCAAGCACAGTACTAGTTGAGGCATCATCACTAGAAAGCTTTAAACAACTCCTGCAATTAAATGTGCAGAGATTGAGTGTAACAAGTCGTTCGGTGTGATAAATCTAGCAGCCGCCGCGCCACGTGCCTGCGAAGCTGGTGTGTTACGCCGAAGGGCTATTATACTGGCTCTACCGATACAGAAGTCAATAATATATTACGTGTTTGTGACAGATTGAGATAGCTAACGGAGGGGTAGACCTGAGTGACGTCACAGGTCACCTGCCGTCTGCCCACTTCGACGCCGAGAAGTTCGTGGACGCCAATGCGAGGCTGCTGGACCTGCGCACTGGGGTGCTGACCGCCATTGAAGAGGGCGAATACGAGGCTGCGCGGGAACTCACGGGACAACTTTTCCACACGTTACAGGTTAGCAGTGCCTAGTGATGCATACCTAAACCCAATTTTAGGTTCAGGTCCGGATTCAAGTCCAGAGGTTTAGGTTCAGTTCCGGACTTGTAAGTCCGGACCTAAACCCATGGCATATACAAAATTGCATGTTGGCAACCTTGCAATGTTGTCTGGGTGAAACTTTGGCCACATAACATGGAGGCCGGTACTTGACGATGCCCTATGGCAATGTTTTCTTCATTTTGCAGCAAAGATTTTGCAATCTACGGAAGGTTTTAGGTGGTTTGTGAAAAGGCGCATGTGAAATGTTTTTTGGGGGGCTTGAACCTAAACATTGTTACAAGTCCGGATCCAAGTCCAGTGAACCGGTATGCATCACTAGCAGTGTCCCTTGAATAATAAGAATATCACTAATGAAAGTTCCCCTGTGTTGATACTAGTAGTTACATCTTTTAAGTTAAAACTTTAGGTCCAACACAAAGAAGGGTTCTCACCTAGAGCTTTCGACCAGTCACTCTGATCTTCCTCAGTAGACTGACCCAGTGAAGCTTCTCTGAAGTGTGACGTCACTACTGAGGAAGATCAGACGTGACCGGTCGAAAGTTCTAAGAAAGAACCATTCTTTGTGTTGGATTCAGAGTTTTAACTTTAAACAAACAAGAATATCATCGATCAGTATTTCAATTAAATACCCTGAGTCAAAAGTACTAACTGTATATACTGTTGCCGTAAAAAAGTAAACACTTGTGTATTGTTGAATTTTCAGGATTTCTACTCTCACTCCAACTGGGTGGAGATGGGAAACACCGGCCCGAACCTGAACCTGGCTGTCCCCGGGGCTGACATCGGACCTGTGGCGGATCCACAGACACAAACCTGTGTCGACTGTTCCAAGTCTCTGCTTTGGTACGCCAACAATTGTGCATATATACTGAGCTATACTATGGGTCCCTCAGGTGAAGAAATACACAGCGTGAGATTCATCCCCGCACGCCGGGGTTGGCACGTTCATTTTCCATACCTCATGTATACCTGATATACTCTACAATCTAACGGTCACCTATAACTTATTGAAACTGTTCCAGGGGCTATTCTATAACAATGGAAGACCGTTTTGTCCAATAATGTTAAGTTGTAGCCAGCAAGAGGCAAAAAGGGTGGCTACGGATGTCGTTTTTGTACAGTATTTGTTGTAATTGTGACCCTATTGTGTCCGTCTGCTGAATGACAGTTAAAGTAGTAGAACTGTAAGTCGTGATGATATTGTTTTTATGTAATTTTATAGTGATTTATGTCTTTGTTATTTCTGATTTGCAATGCTTTATGCTGATAAGCACACGATTTTAGTGGAAAAAAACCGCAATTCAGCATTTTTGCTGCAAGGGTTTTTGTTGTTGAATAAACCATTCTCTCTCTCGTAATAAAAAATCGCAAACGCCATGTTAGGTTGGTCTAACAATTATGCAACGGCAGCCACCATCTTTTCATAAAGTATAAGGATGAATTAAACTTTCTCAACCGTGGCATTAACTGTTTTCTTTTTTATTTATATGATATCCAACCAGGTACCAATGTGAAGACAACATTATAGACTCCGTCAACAGTCAGGGTCTCCTGACCAGCGGGTACTACGGAGGGCAGACGGACATGGACGGAAATGACGTTCCCAAACCGGAAGACGGTATGAAAGGAAACTCTTTCTCTGCGTTAAAAATAATGACTTCATGTCAAATAATGAAATCATTTCCAACAATTTCTTATTCATAATCTACCTTTAAGTCAACTTTGCAGACGACTTTATACAGGCAGTTTATCATATCCTATTGCCTTGTCAACGTAACTTGTACAAAACAGTCGGTTTGCAGTAATATAAGTCAGTAAGTCACTATACAATGTAGGGGATTGTAGGTAGGTAAGGGTTGTCCGGAGTATGAAACAAAGGACTGTTTACAAACCAGGGGCCCGTGGACTTTTAACATAACACCACATTCACAACACATATGCGCATCTAGGACTGTGAGGTGGTTTATATACATCTGCAAATTTTATTTCAGTGAAGTGTAGTCACGGCGGCCGTTTGGACGGGACTCAGGACACTTCTCCTAAAGGAGGAATCAACAAGGACTCGGAGTGGTCCATCCTGTCTCCGCACTCCCGGTACCACTACCGGGCCGCACAGCTGGCCGTACAGGCCAGCAGGAACTTCCTCAACATGATCAGACAGGCAAAGGTATGGGGAGGTTATTGGGCAAGTACAGGGGGAATTTTTAAGATCCATTTGAATGCTACAAAGATAGGAGAACTCTGGGTAACGCAAGGGACAAGCTAAATCTATGACATCATACACCGGACCGAGCACCCGATACGAACAATGTATTGCTTGCCCCATACCTTACCAAGAATTCCATTCTTTTGAATGAAGCTTCATGTTTAGAAAGTTTTTGAAAATTACTGTTTATGACGATTTTGTATTGATTAGTTGAGCATGCACAAGTCTGATCACTATGAATAGCGTACTAGGACCAAATATAGTATATGTTCTTAGTGCCAGAAGAATGAGGGGCTTGCTAAAAGTTCTAATTACAATTTTATCTAGCAGCTTAACTAAAATAGTACCTATATGCCTATTCAATAATAAACTATTAGGTGCTTAAAGTTTAACGTGATATCATTAAGCAAGTACAATCACACTCTAGTACAGTCACAACATAAACTGGCAGATGTGGAAACAGATCAAGAATGGCCAGAGATAGAAAATGTGGTTAGGATGACGTGGATCATGATTTCATTAGTGTCCATTAATTACCTAAATCCCAATGCTTCTCCGTCTCCAGGGTGACGCCCAGTTCGCTAACTTCCTGAACCTGAACACGGGCAGCACGCTGTGTTTCGTGATCGACACCACGGGCAGCATGGCAGACGACATCGCCGCGTCCAAACAGCGCGCCTACGAGATCATAGACAGCAGGGTCGGCTCTCCTACTGAACCGTCCAACTACGTACTCGTACCATTTAATGACCCAGGTGGGAAATTGTTTGTTTACAAGTAGTACATTTATTAGTAGTTTGTTTACCGTGAGAGTAAGAGAGAAGTAGTAGCTTGTTTACAAGAGTACATGTTATGTCTTAATTCAACCAAACTGTATTATCAGCTTCATTTACTTTAACAAGGCATTGAATTGCATTGCCTAGCTTTTATTATGGAAGTACAAAAAATTAGTAGGGTCAATACCTGCTTCTTAAACTTTTCTTCCACATAACAGTATTAAGTTGAAACCTAGGCATTGTCGTATTGCTGGGCTTGTATTGCTTCATGAGAGAAAAGAAATCCACAGAAAAGTATTACATATGCTACCGGCTTTCTAACTCGGCATCTAGCTGTGTAGCATGGCATGATAGTAAGAGAATTCTAACCCATGAAATATACTCATTACTTGTGTATGTTGGCAGAGTTTGGCCCCGCCCTGTCGACGAACCAGGCCGACATGTTTAAGCAGGAAATTGACCAGCTCCGCGCGGTGGGAGGCGGAGACAACCCCGAGTTCTCCCTGAGCGCCATCCGGCTGGCCCTGGTGGAGAGCCTGCCCGCCTCCACGATCTTCGTCTTCACGGACGCCCCGGCTAAGGACGCCGAGCTTCGCGACACGGTGGTGTCACTGGCCAACCAGAAAAATATCAAGGTACTGTATGAACAATGGCACTATAATAATAGTGGTAAATAAAATAATATTAATGGTAAATAATAACGTTATTGTCCAGAAACTGAGATGGCTTTCGTTACATACATGTTAGAAGTACGACTTTCAGCAACGAAAAGCAGGCGTTTTCTCCTCTATCTCTTGTACCGTTGTACAAAATGCATCTGAATCTCAATATTAAGCTTTTTTCGTTATTCTTTTTTTTTTATTCATAGATCACATTCCTTATCTCCGGCACGATCACGCGCAGACGCAGGAGCGTTCCCCGGAGTAAGAGAGAAGTAGGAAACAGGGACACGTACATCTACATCGCACAGGCTACAGGTAGGGGCTCAATTCAAATAACTCCGAAGAAAAAAGCCCATATGGACGCCAAGTCATCCGTCACAGTTCTTCTATGTTTGGTTTTGGGTTTGCCACTCTTTTATCTCTTAACAAGTCTCCAGTCTCTGATCTAAAAGTAAAACATGTATTGAATAGCGTTATAAACTTATATTTCCCTAATTCCGTGTTAATGTATAACTTTTTTACTGCAATAATTCAATATTCTTTTATCAAACTTTATTTCCAGGTGGTCAAGTGTTGGAGATTGCCAAGGACGAAGTCTTCCAAACGACACGATTGGTGGACCTGGTGGTGACGTCAGCAGAGGTGGGTTTTGTAATTAGCCATACCTGATGCTTAGGTCACAATTCAAGAAAGGGGCCCGCTCGGCGCGTGTTCGGCGTGTTTTTTGGCACTACCGAACGGGACCTGGACGGAGACCGGTGGGCTTCCCAACGGCTGCCGGCCTATTTTTGGCCCCGCGCGGTCGCCGAATCGATTTTAACACACTTAAAAACACTTAAAGTTAAAAACACTTCGGGCCCCGTTCGGCGAAATACGCCGAAGCGACGCCGTAACCTCACTGCCCGGGACCCGTCGGGCGGCCGAACAGGCATCTGCCTAAGATTATGACGTCACATGTGCTGATCAGTGCATCAGATGGTCAGGAAAAGGGGGTTATAGGGAGCATATATAAACTCCTGCCTCAGACTACGTCGCACAGTTCACCACGTGTGTGTTACATCGTGTACTTGTGTGTGTTACACATTGTATTTGTGTGTCAGAATGTCGAAGGGCAAGGGAAAACAGCCGGCACGGCTCTCTTGCCAACTTCATAAAACAGATCATAACAGGAATAGAATGTGTCTGACATTATCTCTTGTTACATCATATGCCTTCGTAATAAAATGGAATCAGAAGTTATTGGCATTTATTTTCAGTCCAAATTTCAACAGAAGTAACGATATTCAGTGGTTTTATTGCTCAATAGCAAGGAGCTGCCACGGCACACTTCCTGCGTCACTGCTGAAGTACTTCCTGCGTCACTGCTGAAGTACTTTCGAAAGTAGGCCCTCGGTTACTTTTGCGACGCACCAGTTCTGCCTGCCTCTCTTCTTCAGCTACCAATGCCAGAAGACCTACATGTAGGTTGTCACCAATCTCAATCTCAGACGGGTTTGTAAGTTGTTTGCAGGTTGCACTGAACGCTGCATCGCCAACTTCAGTCTACTCTTTACTTGACGTGTACTCTTTACTTGAAGTGAACGGTAGCAGGCAGTGCAGCGCTTATATATGTACCTGCTCAAAAACACGAGAGGAGCCCGTCGGGATCCCGCCAGGAACCCGCCAGGGACCTGACAGCTGCCCGGCCGAACTGTAAGAGCCGGTCGGCACCCTACCACACGCCGCACGGGTCAAGACGGGCGACTGACCGGGCACCGGACGGGTCCCTGACAGAAACCGGCCGCAAAAGTTTATGAATATTAATGAGAGCCGCCGGCCGGAGCACAAGCAGGCCCCGACAGGGAGCCGTAAAGGAACATTTAATTGTGACCCTGACAGTACGGCGCACGCTCGGCGTCACGCCGAGGACATGCCGAACGGGCGCCGTTTCAAATGTGACCTAAGCATGACTCCAGTGCCCAGACATGTCCCGGGTACAACTCGGGATCAAACCCGGGTCTCGCCGCCTTTCAGAGTCGAACTTCGCCACTTCGAATTCGCCACTATATTGAATTCAATCAAATTTGTTTCTTATTTCTTTCGTGACGCAGGTGAATCTCCTAACGACGCAGAGCGTGCAGTCCTCGGTCCGTGCTCACACCATTCCCGTAGACTCCACCATGAGTGACCTGGTCGTACAGGTGACCGCTGTCGGGGCGACACTTGAGGTCTTCAACCCTGCAGGTATGAGGACCATTTAGTCGCACGACAACGTTTTTGCGACACTGTATGTTGCAGTAATATTATCCTTGTCAGTTATATAATCAATTCTGTTAGGTGGCATTTCTGAAAGTCCTTCGATAAATGAAGGAATGTGTCTATTGCAATAGATCAGGCATACCTCGAATCAGTGTATTTACGTTTGCTTGAGAACAAAACAAAACAGCAGTGCCCTCGGTTGTTGCCTCTACTTGTATAGTATATCAGGAGGAAATTAGTAACAGTTAGCAAGAACAAGATAATAAGAGCTTCATAACAGGGTGATAAGCAGCAGTCCAAAATGAAGCTTTCTTGGCATCAGAAGAACAGGAAGGACTGATTTTCCTGACGTTTTGCCAGTATTTGGGGATTTATTGCAGTCGTGATATTTGTAGATTTGTATTAGTTTCCGTCTCAATGTTAAGGCTATATCCTTTCTTTAACAGGAGATCAGCTGGAGATAGGACCTGACGGCCCGGTGACAGTTGAGATCCAGCTGAACAAGGTCCTGGTGGTGCGCATCCGTGACGTCATGGCAGGCGAATGGCGCATTTCAGTGACGTCATCAGTGGCCTATGACCTCCGTGTGTCTGCGCAAAGTACTGTGGACTTCGTGTACTCGTTTGTGAAGAAGGTGACAGACACGGACCACTTCGGCGTCAAGGAGATTGAAGGACGTCCTGTAGCAGGTAGGAGTCATTGTGTATTGTGGACTAAGGTCAAGCGTTTGGGTGGACGGATTCTTTTGAGACTCGGTACATGTTTTGCTACATTGGACTGGAGATGATGCACGTTCTTTTGTTTTTGTTGTAACTGTTAGTGTATGTGTGTTTGCGTGTGCAGTGTGTGTTTGATAGTGCGTGTCTGTGTATTTGTGTGTTTGTGTGTGTGTTATGGTGTGTCTGCGTGATCATATCTCTATGTGTTTGTTTGTTTGTTTGTTTGTTTGTTTGTTTGTTTGTTTGTTTGTTTGTAAGATAACATCTGCCTCATTAAACCTGTGGAGGAACGAAATACTGAGTGTATACCATGATCTTAATTTCTGTTGTTGCTTTTTTCTTGCTAAAACCTATAGTCAAAATGGTTGTGTTTCCAGGTGAGGAGGCCACTATCCGGGTGAACCTGATTGGCTCCGACCCTACCCAGGTGTCTGACGTCACGGCCCTGTCCCTGGTGGCGTTAGACGGGAGAGTTCTACAGACCCTCCCGCTGCAGGAGAACGAACCGCTCACGGAGTACTTCGCCACGTCATCGTCACTTCCCACTGTACCCTTCCGCTGTAGACTGGAGGGAAAGGACTCAGGGTGAGCAGATGGAAACCCAAGTTCAAATGTGTACTTTTTATTTCCACTGTCCTCTTCTTGAAAATCTGGAAAATTTGAGGATAACATCATTACAGAGTGTTTATTAACAGCTAAGAAAAATCTATTTTAGACATTTCATCTAGATCCTTTTATAGCATGAAACACGCACTAAAGCTACCAAATTCTTGTAGCGTTTTACTAATTTTAAACCATATATTCTAACATAAAGTGGGTGACCCAACGTTTGCCTTGAGAATATTAGCCTTACACTAAAACTATGAAAGAGGATCTTTCTCACCGCATACTGTACATAAAAACTATACAATAATGCTTTTGCCTTAAATTTCCAGGTCTAGTACGTTCCAACGGTTGATCACCAGCGTAGTGGAGACCTCGACCAGTCGGCTGCAGGGTTCGGTCGACCCCGTGATCAGTCGGCTGCTGCCCGGCGGTACGGTAGACGTGCCCTTCACCCTGTCCAACTCCGGTCAGCAAGGAGCCTTCACGATCGTGGCTACCGACGACAAGGGATTCGTCAGGAGAGTTACTCCCTCAAGGTGCGGCTGTGCTTCCGTGATCTACCGGCATGTGTCGCTTTTGTGCTGTCGTGCAGTTCCAAGGGCGCATGTGCGAATGATACATTGTGGTCTAGGTTTATAGTTGAGGGCCTGCAAGCCCTTTTTCGTAAGGCGTAATCAGGCCGTTTTAGACTTCGTAATTCGTAGGCAGCCTCCGCAAAAATCAACGTAATTCGTAATTGGACATTAGCCGCAAATCGTAAAGTCGTAATCAGCTCTGAGACTTTAACGTAATTCGTAATAGGCGGCGAAAATTTTGCGTAATTCGAAATCACTACCCCCCCCCCCTTGCAGGCCCTCATAGTTCGTTTCCTGGCCTGTTGGCAATTCCTACTTCTCGAATTTTGCTGCTTTACAGAGGGCTTTGGTAGTTTCAACTGGGGTTTATCATTGTTTCAACATTCGACGTAGTGCAAAAATGTCTCGAAAAGTGGGACTCACTAATCAGCCAAGGGATTTTGAACTTTGACCTAGAGCACAATATGGCCGCTCGCCCTTGAGTACAAGAATTGGCTTATTGGTTCAAATGATGGCTATAGTAGACGCCACTAGGTAATGAGTCATAACGTCTAATAGACCATAGGCCACCCGACTGTATGGCGCTACATGACTTTGCTGCTTCCTACAACTTCTATGCCTGTATGACTGAATCTCAAATGATTTGAATATACGGAGGGGAAATATAGACAATATTGCCAATTGAATACTTAGTCTTATTGCATATATATTTCAGGGTTCTGATCAGTTGGGTTTTGATTATCAATATATTGCCTTGACGTCAATAATTGCTAGTAATATATAGCTAAGGGGAAAATTGTAAACAAAAACTCACATTCTACTACTGAATTTTTCGTTTATTTTAAATTAGCGTGACGCTAGCCCAGGATGCGACGACCACGGTGACAGTGAGGCTCAGGGCGCCGTCAGACGTCGCTTTCGGTACGACAACAACGGTGACGTTAACGGCACAGACGTCATCGGGCAGATCCTACAACTTCCTGGTCTTCCGGGTCACCGTTAGTCCGCCGGTGAGCAATGTTTACATTACAAACATTCTCATTGTGGGGTCGTGTTCCGAGTTGAACTCTTGGTTCCGAGTGTTCGACTCGGAACCAAGAGGTCCCGGGTTCGAGTCCTGACATGCCACCGATCCTGTGCCCTTGGGAAAGGCACTTTACACGACTTTCCTCACTTAACTCAAGTGAAAATGAGTACTGTCTTGTCCTGTATTTGTACTATGTGTTGGTGGCGACATAAAATAAGTTGATATGACTTGAGTGTGCCGTCGCCATGTTTGGTCATGACTTGTTGGAATAAAAAAAAAACATTCTTTAATGAATGATTTTATTGAAACCATGACCTTTTAGACATTTCGTCCGGAATTTATTTTCATATAGGACTGTTATTAGCTAAACATTTTCCTTAAACAATATTGCTCATTTCCTTCTTAACAAAAGGATCAGGACAATGTCCCTCCGACGTGCGAGGTGAGAGCTCTGTACGGGAACTGTAAGGACACCGACCGGTCATCGTGTAGCGGCAGGACCTTCTCTGTCACTACAGCATACAGAGACGAGGTGAGCAAGAACATTTATTTTTATTTTACCAGTAATTACAACATTTTGGCCTGCCATTCAGGTAATCCATGTTTTATGGCTGATAATAATCTTACTCAAAACGACTATAAAATGAGCAAAATATTTTTAAAGGTTCATTTCCCAAATAACTATATTCCATCTTATTTTTGGACTAGGGATACGGTCTACAGTCCATCGACCCTCGTACCTTCGCCACTAACTACACCTGGACTGTGGAACAGTTCGCTCCTGGTCTATCGGATACTACCATCATCGCCAACTACACGGCAACTTGCTGCAGCCCGAAGTAACTATTCTTCTAAAATTAAGACTCAGTCATAGTCGATAATTTGGTTATAAAATCTGCGACAAGCTATTAAACATTTTATGAAATCAATGAGCCTTTGCCCAAGGGTGACCACTGGTTTACAGTTATGGCATAAAACCCGTTGATTAAAATTGACAAACTCATAAAATCTTGTTCCGAACGATTTCCTCTATGGTATTTAATGATTACTTCTTTGATGAGAGTTTACATGCAATATCATATATATATATTACTTTGTTCTATAGACCCACCTTCCATCGACCAATGGGTTTGCGATATTGCCACAGATCTACGTAGCATGACAGTGTCCTGATACCATTGGTCGACATCTCACATGTAAACAGCTTATCATTTGAAAACGTAGACACAATCTCACAACATTATGTTTCACCTGTCTATAACATTAATCATTGGCGATTCATTTTTCCAGAGTTGAATTTGCCGTTAGTGACCGAGTTGGCAACTACGAAATTTGCACTGTGGACCTGACTCCGCCGCAAGGGCTGTCGGGAGGGGCCATAGCCGGCATCGTTATAGGCGTCATATTGGCTGTGCTCATCATCGTCTTCATCATTGTGTACTGCTGCTGCATACGGAGACGGCAAAAGGACGACCAAACAGACTCACAAGTGACCAAGCGCTCGGACAAGACCGACAAGGGGAAGAAAAAGACCGAGGTCGCGGTAAGAGACGGCGATCAGCAAGGCCGCCGGTTCTGGTACAGGTTCGCCCGGAAACAGGAAGTGACGACAAGCGGAGGCGGAAATGTCGTCATGAAGAAGACGGAGACGCACGAGACCAGGGTTGAGATCCACAAGACAGTCGTGTCTGAGACCCGCCAGGTCGAGCAGAAGGTCAAAGTCAAGGGCAACAAGAAATAAGTCTAACCACTGCAATTTTTCCTTATCATCTTGAAATAAGACATATGAAACGCAAACAATGCAAAAACAGCGTTCACAATGCTTTATTGATTGTAGTAAAACGACAAGTAAGAACAACATTATTTACAAAATGATGTTACAGGATCTAGCAATTACAACAGTTCAGGCCATATAGTTGTTGGTCTTTACGTATACAATAACGCCCTTTTGCTTTATGCCTACTAGTAGGTAGAAACATTACGTTCTAGCTGCAAAAGGAAGGTTAGATTCACAGTATTATAATCCTACATATTTAGGATAGGTTGTAAAATGTATAAATAAAAAAGTTAGTGACTCACAGTTAAGCCACACGCGTGTTTAACATCTTGAAGCCGGTAGATTATATCATTTGCAGCTTCGTTTTATCAGTAGTATTTCCTTAGTTCAATATCTTGTATCAGAAGTAAAAACATTTACCACAAAACGTTTACCACAACGTTTGCAACTTTAAACAAAATATCACTTTCACACTCACAAATTTGTTGTTTTGTGTATTGAGTGAATTACACAATAAAACGCCTAGAGGCATAATCTTATTGCTATCATTAGCAGTTCCTTGTAATACTAGGTAGTCCATTGTACTACGTACATGGTCTAAAGCTTGTTTTACAATATCAAACTGTTATTTACGAGTAAATCCGGAGTAAGAAAAAAAATGACGCCATGCCCTGCGATTATCCGGAAGATAGCTAGTAACTTCCTTACAGGATTACCACTTTTATAAACGTAGATATCTGTAATGTTAACGTGTTGGCGCCCATAGGAGGTCAAGGGGTAAACATGAAAGCTGATCATGAAAGACGTTCAATCTGCAGCAAAATACATGAAATGCTGAGTGGACATATTCTTGCAGATTAGTTCTCAAACTAGTATGTACATGTACAGTGAAAACTGAAGGGAGGTCATAGATCATAGAGGATACAAGACTAGCAGCACAGAATAATTAACGTAAGTAATAATAGCCTTAATAAGAAAGATCCCACCAAAATCAATACAGACACTGAGACAGGCGAGCGTCATGCTCGAGAGCCTTGAAGGTGTTATCTTATTAATAAGTGTTAAGACCGATCAGAAGATCTCGCAGCTTCCCGGTTGGCGCTCGTCGACAACATCCAGGCGGGCGATGTCTTTCCGCAGCAGCCGTCTGGCGCCATCCTTCGGCGGCGGCACCGGAGGCTCCATCTGCACGGAGGTGTCATAAGTAGTGTTTGTATTTGGAGGTTCACTGATGATATATTTAAAGGCACTGTGGCTTAAGGACTTTTGGAATCAGGTATGCAGAGTCACAATGGCTTTACAGATACGACAGACAGCTTTAAAACTTTGAGACAACTTCTTGCATTGAGATGGTTTGCATTTAAGCTAATAAGATATCTATAGATAGGATGTGGCTTAGTTTCAATGTTTTATGAGTGCTTTGCAACATTTAATCCGTATGCATTGTCTTAAGTCATATCTAAGTGCTCCAATTTTGAGGATGGGCAGCCGCGAGGAGAAAGCAGAAAAATGGTGCCAACTAACAAAAAAATTAACCCCAACCGACTCATTTACTAAGAGATAATGTTCTTACCACAGCCCAGTCCTCCTCTATGATCCGTGAGGAGGGCCGGGTGTCCTCTCCGTCTGGTCTGTCTCTCTCCACGGTGGAATACGGCGGCAGGGAACTGGAGTGAACCAGCCCTTTAAAAGTACACAAAAAAACACAACATAGTGACGATATTAACGCATTGTTTCTCAAACATAAAGCGTTTTTATACTAACAAGGCTAGCGCTAGTCTCATATGCAATGCCAGCACGTGGGCAGAACGTACTACACCTGCGCGAAACTTAATAATGTATTGTGCATAGTTCTTCGGCAGAAAGTCTCGTATAAGGTCGTATTCGCGTTTATAAGGTTAACATCCCGTCTGTAGTTTTCAAATGTTATGTCGGAAAAGATCGATATAGTCTGTGACCGGCAAATTTCTGATGCAAAGTTGACCAAACATCCAACGAAAACCGTGAAAAATCTGGGCTTTGTGCAGGCGCAGTACGTTCTGCCGACGTGTTTGCAATGCCAATGGTCCCACACTTATTTACCTGGGTAGGAGAGTCCGACAGACGTCCACTCCTTGTCAGCCCTGGGCGGTGGGCGTGGTTTCAGCGTGCCGTCCAGCTCCTGTAGCTCCATCAGGTCCTCCACCCCGGAGTCGTTCGTACCAGTGCGGGTCTTCTTAGCGTACTTCGGCGCAGGTGGCATCGGCCGTGGCGCCATAGGTGTACCGGCTGTGTCTAGAAAACCGACCTTGCTCCGTAAATATTCTTGATTCACATTAAATAAATTCATACAACACTGAACTATTCAAAATATTGATAAACCCCTTTTCCTTCTTTTGGTGGTCCCGTATGTTAATGCTGTGAGAGTTTGCGAGCTATTACGTGAGGAAACTGGATGAAAACAACAAAAAAATCAAGTTTTAGAAGTAACCATAAAAAGGAGAATTAAAAATAGTGTAACTGCACACCTTTACATACGTAATTAAAGGAAGATGGGAGCCTGATACGAACCTGAGAACTTTTGTTCACATATCCACCCCTTCCTGACGGCTATAATGAAGGAGAGAGTCAGCATCGCCACCAGAACTACCACAGCCAGCACGGACACCACTATGATGGTCATGGGCTGCTGAGAAGCTACTGAAGAAAATAACATAATTCGATCAATTCAATTCGCTGTCACAAGACTCACAACGCACATTTATGGGTATTGAAACTCTATACATTGTCCCACGATCGTTGGGCATACCAAAACGTCAATTTCCAATAACGAGCTTTTTAAAAACCATTAGTTGATTGATAGAGTTGACCTCCTTCATTTATCAGTGACGTTTCAACAGAACTTTCAGCCTTGGGCTTCGTGAGGTTTCTTGACAATCTCTGTCAAATGGCATCGTTACGTACAACGTGGTTAAACATTGCCATTTACCTGTCAGATCTACCTGTATCTCCCTGTGCGCAGTCCCAAACATGTTTGTACCCTTGCACAGATACGTCCCTTCTCGGTCACTCCCCACGTTTCTCACAGTGATAGAGGACGACATCTCTTGGTCTGACTTTGTCTCGATAATTTCCACGTCTTCGTCGACAGAACTGAGCTCCTCCTCGATCCCTTGGTTGTTCCGCAGTACCCACTTGATCTGGTTTGGGAGAGGATCCGCCACCACGTCACAGACCAGACGTATAGCACCGCCTCTAGTAACTGTGGCTGTGGTGGAGGCAGACCCGCGAATGTGGGGTTTTCCTGTTGAGTAAATGATACAATGACTTTTCATAAATACGCGACGTTTTGTTATGGGCAACAAAGCACAGTCAAGCAAGGGTAAGGGGACTTAGTACAACTTACTGGCGTCCGCGCTTTGTAAGGATGCGTTCTGTGAACTAGAATACCTACAAATTATTAAAGATCAAGAGAGACGGATTGAAATAGATAACATAAAAAAAAATGTTTTGGCTATATATACGATAACGAATAAGCCTTGTGACTAGTTCATATATAGTCTGACCATATGATAATGTTGGTTTCTGGGGTCTGTAGTAGACAAGTATATATGGTTACGATTTCCTTACCAACTACATCAATGAAGGTCTGTCTCTTGACTTGCTCGAAGCCCGGGCTGCTTGCTATACACTCGTACGTTCCCTGCACATCATAGCGCACCCGGTGGAACCGGAGAGGGTTTTCCCAATACAGACTTGTATCCTTCCGCCGCCACTTCACCGTCGGCTTGGGTTTGCCTTCGGCGAGGCATTCCAGGGTGAAATCATCTTGCGCGTTCAGAACCGTGACTTTCTCGTCCATCGCTGGGTCTATCCATGGAGGATCTGATTAAGAAGTAAATAAATGGCATGAATATGCCTCATAGAAATACATGCATGTCATGAGACAAGCTATGAGCAAGTATCCTTGCCTGACCAACAGTTGATGGTTATAACAAATTTAAGGGCTTTTGCTCTCTAGAAGAATATGAAGTCGTCCCTAAAATGCGCTCCTTAACATGTATACAACAATAAAAGCCACCAGGCGAACGTGAAATTGATACTTAAATGCAATATACTTACAGAGAACGTCCAGTGTGACAGTCCCGTACCCCGGCGGGGACACACTGTTGTCTGCCGTGCACTGGTACACTCCAGCGTCGTGTCGGGATACCTTGGACAGGAGGAAACTCGGGCCGCTGTCAAGAGAGCGTTCATCCACATTAATTTTGACAGTTTTTTTTTAATCTCTTCTACACTGATTGGAAGAACGCAGGGACTGAAATTGCAACACGGTGGTTCTGTGAGACTCAGTCGGTGAAAGAGCGTGCAATTACTCTCCAAGCAGAGGTTTGGGTTTTGAGTTATTTTTGGCGTGCTTGTAGGCTTTTTTTTATCGGTTTTTTTTTTTTTGCACTGGATTTTTTGGGGGGGTTGAGCAAAAATGATAAAAACGCGTAAAAACACACAAAAAATAACCCAAAACCCTGCTTGGAGAGTAGCGTGTAATATTTTTTTTTTGGGGGGGGGGTAGGAAATTAATTGAGAACGTACTTTTCCAGACCCTTCAGTGGCAAAGGGTCCCCGTGACGTCGCCAGCTCACAATGGCGGACGGATTGCTGTCCACTGCGCATGTCAGATTGGCAGATGCTCCCTCGATGACGTGAACAGACGGTGCAGGCACGAGCACGCTGGGTGGATCTGCAAAAATATGATTTTTTCTTGTAAGGACGATTTCTTTGTGGCAAGATTTAACAATACCTTAAAAATTATTTCCGAAAATAGTTTCATCAGGTTGGTAAAGTATAAGATACAGGAGTTTTCTTTTACACAACCAAGATTGTCTCACATAAGTGTCTACGTTTCGGTGTCTATCAGACACCTTCCTCAGAGCTTCTAACTGGAGTTCTGTTTCTCGACGCTATATGTAGCCGATGTAGGTGGCGCTTTTGCAGCGAGAACACAATCCTAGAACACAGCGCCACCTACATCGGCTACATATAGCGTCGAGAAGCAGAACTCCACTCAGAAGCTCTGAGGAAGGTGTCTGATTGACACTGAAACGTAAGCACGTTGGTGAGACAATCTTGGTTGTGTAAAAGAAAACTCCTGTGAATTATTGTTTATTACCACAAGAAGAATGGCATACTACGATTTTTTTTCTTTTCTTCAAGAATTTTACTCACAATTAACACGGATGGTTCTTGACGCCGCCCGTTGTTGGACCAGTTTGGGGAACCCCTGGTCCGCCACACACGTCATGTTCACGCCATTGTCCCACTTCTCGAGACGAGATATCGCGAGATTTGCACTAACCTGCCCGCCATCCACGTCCAGTTTCACATTTGTCGATTTCTGCAGTGGTATAAAAAGAATCGTCGTAGTCAACAGAAGCATTACAATATGTATAGTATGAACTACGATATGTTTCACGCACTTATTCCAGATGATACAAGTACATAATTATTTGATACAATTATCAGGTTTTCCTTAGTACTTACTAGTACTTACGTATACGTACATTGAAAAATCATAATTTTTTAACATTTCAATATTTCTTAGCATATCTACCTTTTTATCTATTCATTTATTTATTTACTAGTATTCATCTTTATGTCTGTAAGTGGTGTACATATCAGTGTCAGGCACCTGTAGGTGTGTACCGTTGTACCAGCTTAGTGTCGGCACCGGATGTCCTCCCCTTGACCTACATCTCAGCATGAGTTCACTTCCGGCGGTGACGGGGTATTCCCCACCTGTCACTTCAGGGGCTGCAGGCATTGGCTCTGGGTAGAATGAAATGACAGTTTATCATAGAGAATTTGTTTGTATTGACACCGTGACTTAGGTTCGTAATGAACTGTTAGAAGCCAAACCACCATAAAAAAAAGCATTACTGGAATTCGGACCTGTTTATTTCTTATATTCATCCACCAGCAAGTGTTTTCTCTACACTGCAGGTCATGGTTTTCGGTACTTTTCGATACCATTGAAACTATCAAATTAAAGAAAACAACTTGCTGTCGTGAAGCATCAAAACATCCGAACCTTACCATAAAGAAAAAGAATTAGCTACTAAATTTGACCTGTTGAATGAATTATTTACTGGACGAAAAATTAACATCATGTTTGATAATATATTAGCATAACGTCTCCTAGCCTTTGTTCTATGAATCCAGAAATGGATTTGGTATGATATCACCTTGGCTTGGGCATTGTCAGAAAGGTCGTGAAAATTGTAATCTCCAAACGGCATGATATCGTTTTCTTGTGACGCACGAGTGGAGCACACTTGGGACATGAAATGGCAAGTTCAAGTCTGCAAGTCGTAAATATTTCATCATACAGTCGGGAAAATGTCAGCTACACATGTAATTCCGGTTTGACATTTCTGTATATTCCATAAATCAACAGGTTAAATATTAAAATAACTCTACTGCATGGCGCCTGGTCTTATCAAAAATGTAATAGGCACAAGGCGGACGAGAGACATTTCTTTCTTGTGTTTTCACTTGCCATATATATTGTCCAATGTTGCAATGTCATGCCAGTGTGATTTAATGCCTCTTTTGCCGATTTTTATTATGTTTGCCGAAGGAAAACATATTTGGTTTTGCTACGTTTCCTCTTCTTCTTCTCCAAACACTGACATCTAACCTGGTCAATGACCTGAATCAGACCGTCACCATGGTAACCGGTGTTGCGTTACATCATGTTGCAATTTTATAGCAGGAGGGATTTAGACTCCTGTCTGACCATACATATGAATGTATTTGAGTAAGAATTAACAAAGCAGACCATATGCGAAAGTAAACATTATGCATTTGCTTGCAAATGTTACCTTTCTAGTTTCTTCTTTTTTTTTTTGCCTATGTGGTGCCCAAATATCTAGTATTTAAAGTTCATTCCACATAGCTGGAACTCGGTAGCCTGGGTACCATCCTGCTTGTATGCCGGGCTACCGAGTGTGGGAGCCCCGGCATACAAGTAGGATGGTACCCAGGCAACTCGGGTTGAGGCGATTCTTAACCCTTGCGTTAACCCTTGCTAGTAAATCTATCTTGGTGTAACTTACCGATGACAGTCAGCACGGCATCATCAGAAGCATCTGCTGATGACGCAGTACACCTGTACCCTCCCCCGTCCTCCAGACTCACACGTCTGATCTCCAGGTTGAACTCTCCTCTCGACACGTCACCCACGATCCTGTGCCGGTTGTACGACTTGAAGACCGTCCGTCCGGTGGCGATCGTGCGGAAGTTGGGTGGTCCCTCCCACACCACGACGTCACTGCCGGACAGCCCGCTGAATGAGCACGGTAGGACGACTGTGTCGCCCTTCAGCACGGCGGTGGACACCGGGTAGGCCGTGTAAACAGCTGCATGAACTAATGGTATACAAGGAAACATAATTTGAAAATCTATTGATCCCTTGTACCAATGCAACTTTACGGATGCGCAACCACAGTCCATATAAAAAGAATGAAAAAAATGTTGACTCTGATTTTTTTTTATTCGAAAATATCGTATTCCACGTACAGAAAGGCAGTGTATAATGAGGACAGGCTTGTGTAAAGTATTGAAATATATGCCTTGTAAACAGCGGCATTCACTATTGGTATTAAAAATAAAACAATTTCAAAACCTTTGCCAATGCAAATCTACTGATGCGCAACCACATTCCATAAATAAAAAGGCTGAAATGACAGAACAAAATATGATTTACTGAAATATGCTATTGCACAGAAAGAAGGGTTCGTATCAAATCGATAAAGAAGTCTGCCAATAAAGCGATTGACTTATTCAAGAAATTTTGGGGTTGTTACTACATGTGACGCATACAGAATTAGTTACTTAAGGCAATAGTTAAACTACTACACCATGTTAGCATTTTGTATAGAATCACAAATTTGTTTTGTACCTGTACGTAGCTAATATTTACAACCACAACCAATTGGAACCTGTTAGAAATTGACATTTTAACGCAGTGAAAAGCTGTTCATTTACACCCCATGGTATATCTTTTAAACCTCAGTTAGCTCAGCCTAACGAACTGTAACAGTGCACTTGTACCGTAGAGGTAACGACCACCCTGTGTCACGTCAGCAGAAAAAAATACCTTCAACGGCAGCCTTAAAATAAACTCAGAGACAACATAATCTTAAGATTCATGATCCTCTCGCACACAATGGAGACAAATGAATACTTTCTTCAAATGGCAGCTTAAAGTGTTACAATAATGCTACTGCTTTTCTACTGCTTCCCTTTTGAGTTTCCAAAGAGCTGCCTACTTGCGATTTTACGGCCTTACATCTTCCCATTGTTGATGATCCTGGTTCTATGGTTATGGTTAAGGATATAGGCCTCGTTTGTCTGTTATATCCTCAACGCATTCCTGTCCGTTTGAAACATGCATAGGAATGACCATTACTGTAGCTTAACGAGAGAAGCATTGTCAAAAATAAATACAAATTGTTGCTTAACCAGCAGAGGCGCATTTTCTACAGAACTCCATTTTCTCAAGGGCATTTGCAGGTCAAATTAAATTGGCCTTCGAGGTGATTTTGCTGAGTCTGATCCAGCACGATGATTGAATGGCTTATAGTTTTCTTACCAGAGACCATTTCACCTGACAGGGTACCTGTAATGGGGCTAAAGGTCAGGTCCTGCAGCTATTAAGTTTAGGAAAAACACTCCCGAAAATTGGTAACCAGTTACTGCGCAAAGCGGATACACTCTATGAATATATATAAGGCAGTTATTTTGAGGAATACTCTACTTTCGATTTTTCATGACTTGTATGGTATATATACATTTTATGTATGTCAGACTAATGTTATATACTTTACTTATAAGGATTAAAACACAAAGATTTGCTCTTCAAATAATTTTCAGACAAAGTTTGGTTTAGTTTGTTTGACGGCACAGGATTCATTGGCAATGCATGAGTTGCAGATTATACTGGTGCCGCGTTAGTTGAACCCATTCTGACTGACGGGTCAAGTCGACAGAATACATTGATGACTCCAAAACCCTACAATCCGTTAGGGCGTAGCTGATCCCACATGTAATAATTTGTTATCTTCGAAAAACACGCCGAGACTTTGACAACTTTCGATAAATCATCATCACCCTAGACACAGGGGTCTGCACCGCCGGCCCCGGGTGCATGTTCTGGTAAATATCAAAGATTGTCAGGACATTTGGGGCGTGTTAGGATCCCTCCCCACAGGCCCATACATGCCGTGTTCGATGATTGGGAAGGAGACAGAATCAATTTTTGATGAGGTCAGTGTGGAAGGATCATGATGCATGATTTGCCCGGAGAGAGACCTAACACATATCGTGACCTTATGTCTGTGAACATTGATGGCTCAGAACGTAAATTCAACAGATACTCAGACAAGTGTTTCGCTTGAGACACAGTGTCTGAACATAAACTAGATAAATTTCAGAGCTAGATATGATGGAGGATAAAGTCCACATATGAGCCGCACATTCATATTACATACGTATTCAGAGTACGCTGCAAAACCAATTTAATGTTAATAAATAGCGATGTTTTCGAGACACCCAGTAAAATTTCTCATGGAAAAATGGCACAAAAAGACATTTTTGGTGTAAACGATTTTTCAGTTGCTTTCAGCAGGCTCGACATTCATGTTTCAACTATGTATCAAAATATATATACAGTTACCTCAAAACAACACTTGCTCTATTTGCCTTCTTGCTTATGCAGGTTTGTTATTGTTATCTGTTTAAAGGAACTATAGTTTACCGTTGCTTTACCACCTAGTTGATTGGTTAATAGGTTAGCTGGTTTGTTTACGTGTTTGTTTGTCTCATTTTCATCAGGTCGTGTGCTGCGTATGTTCTGAAAATCGTTGTTTTGTCAACTGTATGACCACGCCTGATATCCTAACTTACCCTGAATACGCCCCTCACACTAAGGCTAAACAGTACAACAGCACACCTTATTCAAGCCCACGGTTAGCCGCCAAACATTGAGTCAACTAACTCGAACTTCACAAAGATACAAAGCCTGAGTACTTACTTCCACTGATCAAGGCAGCAAGAAGTCCAAGAGTTGCCAACCAGACACAGGCTGCCATCGTGAAGCACTCTGAGCGGTAGTTGGACGACTGTCGGCTGGGTGTCTAACTCTACGCCGTGCGCTGGAAGCAAAACAGGTTCATACAGTGTATAACATCGTATCAGCAGCTATGCAAGGGCAGTGGCGCTTCAAAATGAAACTGGTGAGTTTAGACGTCTCTTCAATCACATGCGCAGTGCCAGAAAACGAGTCGATTATTAGAACAATATTACAGCTGATACGTGTCACGGAAGAAGGGCGTTTTATTCATTTTCTGTCGAAATATCTTATATCTTAAGAAGTAGAAAAAATAACGCGAAGTTAAAGTACGTTTGCTAAAATCGTCGTACTTTTTTTATGAAACATGCTGTAGCTTTTGCTAATAAGAACTAAACAAGTTTTGACACCAAACATATAACGACATTAATTGAGCCACACATTTTACGTATGAGTCCAGGCCTTCATCAAGTAGGTGGATTGAAGAAAAATCAATACCAATATAATATCTTGATGAATCTATCCCGACGGTATTATAGATAATAGTCCACGGAAATAAATTTAGCATCTCTCGTACATCAGTGATTACGGACGATGTTGGGATTCATTTTTCATTAAAATACAAGGCTTAGCATATTTTCAAGTTCATACTAAGGGTAGCAAAATTTAAGAAGTAACGATTAAAAAGAATCAAGTTTTGAAATAAAATTGGAAAAAAGTAAAGAATGTTTAGAGAATTATTGTTATGTCCTTTAAAGGAACGAATAGTACGACATTATCGTAACTTTGAAGTCTTGTGACAATTTATTGCCTTTTTACACTCGATGAAGCTGGCTAGGCGACATTTCGCGTGAAATTTCAATTCAAATGCCCAAAGAAGGCATAAATACAAAATTTATGGCCACACGGAGCACCAGCGCCAGATTAAAGTCTTCCTAATGATCTGCATAGTGTCTCCTTAATGAGATAGGCAAGGAGAACGGGAGTCGAGTTCCATTCGGTGCTGCGGAGCTATTATGAGGGAAAGGCTTTGTGACCCTGAGCGGTATTGACACGTCATTATCTCGGGTGTCTTCTCATTATAGCAGCGGAACGAGCTCTGCATTATTCATCGCCACCGGTGATTATGACAGAGAGGCTCCGCGATGGTGGCGTTCAGCGGGAACCGATAAACTTGTTTTTGGTTGGAATCTCATCATCAACGTCGCGTGCATCATCAGGAGAAGAAAATGGAGGGTGGCGAGATTTCATTACTTTTACTGGCGGGCTGAAATATTCTGTTGTTGCAGTTACTCAACATCAATAACTGTCATGGCTAGTCTTCATTTTCGGAAGGAAAAGTCAGTGTTTCTCTATTAATTATTACTTCAGGTAATAGTTATCAACAACTTTACTGATGTTCTTTTGTAGATCACGTTTCTGTCAAGCGAGAGGCAGAGAATTCGAAAACGGTGGCAAGTAAGCTAGTCAACTATGTTTTAACTTCATATATGAAAATGAGTATATTTTCAGTCTTAAAATAAAGTAAAACACTTTGTCTGGATTGAGCTTTTGGGGGGGGGGGCTGCTACTGATGTTTAAGTATGTTGTCTTAGTATAGGGGTTTTCACAATACATGTAGTACATGCAACCAAGAATGAGCCGATGTGTTACGCCGAGGGGTGGCTATACCAGCTACACAGATACAGATACAGATCACAACATCTATGAAGCTGCCATGCTTTAATCTTACATGACTACAGAGGCAGACGGTTCCACCTGTCTGTCCCACAGGAGGCGTCACTGCAATCAAATCAGTGGCAAATCTGCGTCTTGGGGATTTTTATACATCCGTTTCCATTTACAAATAGGCGCCCCGAGGTTTTGAGAACCTTCCAAATGGACAACAAATTAAGGATGGAAATTCAGGTATAGCCTGGAGGAGTAAAATGCATTACCCGAGTGTGCTCTGTTGATGAGAAGCGATGATACCATGAGAAACTGTTTTTGTTCAATCCAATTCAACATCGCGGCACAAGTCAAGTCCCCCAATTATTCTTAAGTTAGAATTCTTGATATATGCCAAATTAGCTAGGTGCGCTGCTCCAACGCCTGCTCTTCCTGCCAATCCATTTTTCAGTAAACAAATTTTAGGTTGTACGTATAACTTCTTACTGTTGACTAGTCACTTTATTCTACAAATGGATTGAAAATGTGGAGAGACGTGGGGATGTAAAAAGGATGATCATTAGAATTATTGAAACCGAAGCCTTCTAGTACTTATTAATTAGAGCTGCGACACCTGCTCCAAAGTCTATCGCGCGTGAACAACAGACGGAACTGCAGCAAGCTGACGAGCCCTGCTAATTATTTCATCTCTCCAAGGTGTGTCAGCGTCTCCTGTGTCGGTGCTAATTAGCGCAGCGCTCTCGCGTTACGTTCGGGGGAATCATATTGAGACCGCGAAGTACGTGCCTGCGGCCATCTGTAGTTTCTTAAGTGTTGTGTTTTCAAAGAGATACCGCGTATTCTATTTTAACTTCAACTAGCAGGTTTGTCAAAGAGGGAGTATATCTTGTTCAAGGAATGAAACATTTATGACTGTTCACTAGATCAGAGATGTGAGGGGCCCCAAGCGTACCATTTGGTGAAGTCAAAATTTTGATTTAATTCTGGGTGTAACGGAGGCAGATCTCGACACATGAAGACTAAACCCAAAACAACCAAAAGGTTGAATCCTACTTCGGTAAAAAAATACGGAGTTTACGAGTTGAAAATTGCATGTGCGTGACATTGGAACACAAAAAAGCGAGAGATTCAGAATAATGAGTGAGACAAGAAATTCAGAACAACTTTTCCAGAGTTCTTCAAACTCTTGAAACGACCTCAACACCCAAAGGGGTAACCGAGAATCTATTACATTGTCGTGGCATGTACCAGATGAAAAATGTGGGCTACAAAGCCTAGGTAAAATTCGCTCTGTATCCATGTAAGCTAGCCAATGCCTTGAATATTAACAAGGCAACTGCAGCGCCGAAGTGACACAAAAGATATTGGCTGGCATTTGTAACTTTGGTTGGCGCCACAGCCATTAGTCCAAGACCCTCCGGCGTTTTGTCACGGGGTTATTCACGGCATAGCGGCCGGGATTTGTTTGCCTTGTCGGCCAGTAGGACAGACTATCGCCCGTCTCTTCACACCAGTGAGTCCGTGGCCACCAGAGATTACTTGATATTTCACCCATAATGCCGACTATCAATTCAGATTTGACGCTGCCACCGCGAATGTTCCCCCGAGGTTTGCGGTCTGCCGGCATCTTGTGGTTCGCCACGCGAGAGATTAGAGGTGACCTTGCGATGATACAAAGGTAAATCTACTTGTCAGGAAAGAGAAAGCGTTAGCCAAATCAAACACCGGTCCGTGCCCGGCTGCATTAGAGACGTGGGAGCTTCAATGATTTTTCCCGACTCACTTTTCGCGCCTTGGGGGTTCGTCTTGGCTGTTGCGGATTCAGAGCACGTACCGCATCAACAAGCTAAGCGTGAAAGGACTTCTTTTGTCAACTGTGACTCGGATGGGCAATTTTCAGTGAAAATTTTCCCTGAAAATTCTACATGTTTGTTACGGTACAAGTAACCATCTGATCATGTATGACTTGTAGATTATTTGCTGTGCGATAATATGAATAATAATATGCAGTCAAGTTTGGAAAGATTTGGAAATCAAAACGTGAAGTAGTATTGTCTTTAAATCTGGTTGAGGAGCATTCATACGTGCATACGTTACGGATTGTAGCTCCAGACATAAATGCAATGTTAAATCAAAGATGTTCCATAACGTGGTGATGCAGTCAGATTCTTTCGGTCGCAAAAAGGCAAGCAGGCGAAAAGTAGATGCTTTTGACATAAAACACGATATCACTTAATTATTATACTATTAACCCTTAAATAATATCCAAACAATCGGCAAGATATATAACGAGTGTTGAATAAATGAATGACAAATAAGAAGATTACATTATTCCTACTTATGGAATCATATGGTTTCCAATTCTGTGAATTCTGTGAAGGATTAAAAAGATACCCAAATTTTATCTATTGTCATCAATTTGTTACAGAATATGCTTATATCTGTATCATGTTCCTGCATGTCTTACCTTTGTTAACAAAGTTTACAGCTTTGAATATACTGCTATATCTAAACCATTACCAATTCATGGATATCAGCAATATATAAGCTAGTGAGATTTTAATTGTCAATTCAAAATTCTGTTTGTAAATGAATACGATAAGAAAACGTTTTAAAGCTGCCGGCTCCCTTAAAGGTACAGCTATCTATAATAAATGTTTGATATCTAAATCATCAGTGTGCATATGTTATCAGACTGAAGATATCTCCATAATATTATATAATTGTTATAATGCTTTTAGCTGAAGGCCAGTATGTACAATATAAAGTATGTCCATTCTAAAATTCTGTATTAGAAACCAATATTGTGTGCCATTCACAATGAATGTATCTGTGAACAGGCATACTTGAGCACTGTCTGGACTGATATGAAAAAAATACGTGTTCGCAACACCTACACCATCCAATCCATACTGCTTATTCATCATAAATGCCTGACAATTAAGTGTTGACAGTCTTCTTAGCACAAGGCTTGATATAGGAGTACATGAGAAAAGGACCTACCTTTAGCTTAAGACAATCTTCCGATAAGTCAACCAGACGACATCCAGCTTTCCTGAAAACCAGCTACACTTAAAACAGTCACAGTGTTAGAAAAATCACGCTTTTTCTGCAGAATATCGAGGCTTACCTTGAGAGAACAGTTGCACATCCCTTAGTACGTGGCGTCTGTGCTGCTGATAATACAAGCCCTCCGCACAACGCCAGCGGTAGTTGAGAAACCCTAACGAAATCTGCAGAACCGCCGCTTGAACTCCTGCAGCTCGCGGCACCTCCGGCTGCTCCCTACTGGCGCTCTGATTGAAGTGCGGATTGAATTCCTCACACGGCACCGCGGGGAAGGCCTCTGCTAACTTGTTACGTTGCCCCGTAGCCGACTCCATTATCTTAATTCCCGCAGGACGGCTCAGATTTCTGCTGTTATCTTTCCTTTCATGTCGGGCTATTAATTACCGCGTGCTTATTGCCGTCGGCAACGGCACCCGGGGGAATCACCAAATCACGGGCTGGGTTTCAGCGAGGCAAACAGAGGCTTGGGGATAGAACACTGAAGCTAACATTAACAGAAAGATTCTTGTTCTTAATCGTGCTTGATGGATCAGATAGATTAGTAAGAACAGCATCTGGTATTAAGTATACCAAGTGCTGTCGGTATTTTTTAAGTCCACATGCAAGTAATATATATATGATGTGTTTAATGTGCAGTTTTAAATCATGTGCAGCAATAATAAAAAAAGTTCCGTTGGTTCCCAAATTATTTTAAATGGGCATTTAAAAAAGGAGTTAGCGGACGTTGAAATCACTTTTCTCGCAGAGAAAAAGGCCACTTATTTCGAAATAGTGTCATTAAACCATTCAAAGATAATCATTTTTACACACGGCATGGCCACCTCCATGTATCTGAGCAAAGATTTAAAAAAAAGTTATGGTAAAAACGAGAACTAGAAATATTACTATTAACGCAGAAAATATCAACGAAATTTCCATAGTACTTTAGAGCATTTATAAATTAATTCGATACGTAATTACGATGTAGTAAGAAGTTTTTAACAATTTAGTAAAAATCAAAAGTAGGACAAGAGACTGAACTCTGACAGATTCGTCTAAAACACAAATGCATCTTTATTTATGTTGAAACAGAATATATTCCCACGTGACATAACGCTGGGTTTGCGTGCGCAGGGTCGCCCTACTCGGGTATAGGGCAGCGCTACACTGTGGTTATGTCAATGCTACCCGTATAAAACTTTGATGGAGAGAACTATCCCTTTAATTATGGATGGTCTCGCCGACAAATTGGATTCCCCCCATTGGAGCTCGCCTTTTCGCCCGCAGCGGTTATTTCACACTGCTCGGGCCGGTAATGCTAAGAAGGATAGAGGAGTTCTGCACGCCATCTTCTATTATGCATCTGCTTTACGATACATTTCCATCTGTTAGCTTAAAGATCAAAGCAAAACTAGAAAGGCAAATTCATAATGTTTACCTTCGTATATGCTCTGATCTGTTAATTCTGATCTGATCTGTTAACACATTCATAAATATATATCATATATGGTCAAACAGGAGTCTAAATCCCTCCTGCTATAAAATTGCAACATGATGTAACCAAACACTAGTTACCACGGCAACAGACACAGCACAGAGAAGGAACTGAGCAAAACTATATGTTTTCCTTCCTTCCGTGTTTTCCACCAACTCAAAAGATCATTATAAAAAGTCGCGATTTTTGCTGCATATTCTCGATTTTATGAATAGTCTCTAGCTGTATATAGTGCATTGGAGATACCAAATCCTATACAAAGTGGCAACAGAGAAATGCTATCCATCCTAAAAGAATAATACGTGTGCCTCTCTGACTAGGAGTAAATGTATTTTAAAGCTCTTCCGTCATCTATACAGATCGCTGGGATAAAGAAAAAGAAAACGTCTGATACAGTTGCTTTTACCTATATGCGACAACATATTTTGCTCATCTAGTTCTATGCCTAATCGATTAGGGTTAGAATTAGGCACGGTTCAGGACTCCACATATCAAAGAACGAAGATTTGCCTCAAGCATGGCTCTGGATAGAGTTAAAGCACGGTTCTTGAAACAACAGGGTGCTAACATTGGTATAGGAAACAATAAAAATGTTTATCCTGCAACTCCCTCTATCGTTTACGTTGAGAATTGTTTTCGAGAAGGACCACGGGAAGAATAGCTACTGTACATATGTAACGTAATGCTAAGTGTGGATCCGAATAAACTCAAACTCTTTTTTTTTTTTTCAAATGAACCGCACAATTCACGATAGCTGAAACATACTTATTGCATTTATTAGAGCATTTTCATTTCTAAAAGATCATGATATCTTTTTTTTAAAATTGTCCAAAGAGAAGTCTCGCCTACACAAACATCTACTATGTTGGGAGTAATTTGATAGCCTGTTTGGTTCTCATAATTACCCAACTTGTGTCCCCACGTGGTGTGATAGAAGCCCAGTTCACACCCACAGCTGGGGCAGTCGTCAGTGGTATAGTCTGGATTATGACATGTTCAGTTTCATCAGAACGTTTCGTCAGCGACCCTAGGTTTGCTCTGTATCTCGGCGTATTGGGGGATTGACAGGACAAACTTTACAAAACTCCACAGGAGCTTAAACAGTGACCCGAAACTCGGACTCCGCGATTTCATCTCAGCCACGGAAAGTCGCCACTAGCACTGCAGCTGATGAACACACGACTGTCCTCAACTGTCCAGATGATCGCGCTTCATGGAACTGGAGGATCAGTTGGAACTCCTTCGCAGAGGGAAGCATATGATGTGGGCCGTTTTCGAGGTATGAGAAACTTTTTTGGAACAAATTTACGTGACGATTGAGAGAGATTCCACTTCAGCAAGGCACAAATGATCATTGCAATGTCATACCCGGGGTGTGTGTGTGGGGGGGGGGTACTTGGAGTGTCATTGGCGACCAGATGCAGTATTCCTAGATCGGCGACAGTCTGACAGATACCCGAGCTATAATGATCCAGCAATATATTGTACAGCGACTCTCTGTCACCAGAAATGCTACATTTCGTGGTAACGTTAACGCTGAATCACAGCTTCGACACTTTTTAATGGGAGGAATGGTAACCGTCGTCAAAACGTGTAAACTTTATTCTTTCGACCAAAAGCAGAATTAGTGTAGCTAATAGTGTTACTTTACGTGTTTCGAAAGACCAATAAATGAAAAATGATGATTTCTTTGTGTAATTCTCAGAAATAATTCGTGCAAAACTTGGTTTGTTTTGAAAATGGTCACAGACAAGCCGCGGTCATTCCTCCCACGCGTTCGAATATGACACACAATCATACCGTTGCCAAGGTGACCACATGACAACAAAGTCATCTCGATCTCAGCTGCCTTACAGCACAGGTCACGATAACGCCATGGCGTCCTTTCAAAGGTGATTAGTGGTCTTTTGTTGTGTTCAACTTTCCGGAGAAACAACTGAGTTGTGCCTGTAGTCACAATCAAAGCTTCAGTGGTGTGATTTAGCCTTTTCTAACTGTTATAGGCCGTAAAAAAAAGTGATTTTCACGGGCGTTTCTATCGGCAACCTTAGGCCTGTTCTAAAGTCGTACAGTCATTGTGTTACGCATTTACGGTCATTTCATAGGTGATTCCTGGTCTTTTGTTGTGTTCAACTTTCAGGAGAAACAACTGAGTTGTGTTTGAAGTCACGCCCAAAGTTCCTGTGGTGTAATTTGGCCTGTTGAAATCGTTACGGACACAAAATTGTGACTTTTAGGGGACGTTTCTATCACCGAACGTCAAAGACTGTTCTAAAAGTTTACAAATGCGTGTTTGCGTATTTACAGAAGAAATCATATTGTTGTACTTGTATTGTCAGGACGGTACACCAGAGATATTTCATATGTTTCTGACTTGTGCTAAAAACCACATCTGAAATTTATGTACGACAGTTTTGTTGGAGCATTTTGGAATCTTCTTGTTACAAATTATTAGCGTTACTCCCATTCATCGTTCCATCTACAATGTTTGGGAACATTGTTTGTGGGTGCTGTGTTTGTTTACTTGAACTTTTATGATACAAACCTTGACTTCCTTATCATGTATATGCTTCCATTTGTGACATTTTCATATTATTTCTTTAATTTGGTTAGAAAAATCTGCAGGCCGTGCGTATAGTTTTTGTTTACGACATTTTACGATACGCTGAACGTCAGTACGATTTACTAGATATCTGGTACAAAACAAGCGTCACCCAAGCTCTAGATAATGATTACAAGTGTTTACGATATTTTACCATGTGTTTTGAAAGCTAGGTAACGATTGTGCAAAATATTGGTCACAAATTTTAAAAGAAACTGAAAAAGAAGTCCCGCGTCAAAGAGATGAAGGCGGCGCTAGATTGCTGAACCAGCATCGCGATTGTCGTTATGCCTATGAAAATCTGATCAAATCAGCATTTTTTGTTTTACATTTGCAGCGACTTTGAAGACTACAGTGATGGTGAGGAGGCCCCGAACCGGGGAAGGTGAGAAATAAAATATGACATGGAATTTTGATTTAGTATTGCTGTAGGGAATGTGACTGTGTGGAAAGGGAGGAGGTAACTTTTGTTGAATAAGAATTATTTTGTAGGGATCACATTTATCCTACACTTACAATCTTACAATCTTACAGTCTTACAATCATTCCTTTCTCATAGACTGTCTACAGTCAAAGAAGAGGTGGACGAAGAGTTGAGGTAATGTTTACTTCTGTGTTCTTCAACTGGCATTCAATGAAGCATATAGGGGTAAAAATTTATCTCACTATTTATAGTTTCCTGAAAATACCTAGTAGCAAATGTTCTCTTGTTTTCTGTATAATTGTATATATATTTTGTATGTCTATGCATGTTAAAGTTATATATATAATATATAGAATAATATAGAAAGGAAAATGTGTGGAGTATGCTATAACATATTATCCTCAGCTATACATTTTGCAATCACAAAAGACAAAACAATTTCTGAGTAGTTGAAATAATATTTGACATGTTTCAAAGTTGCTTTATTTTCCTTGGTTCTACAATGCTTTCCTTTTAGATAAAAGGATGTAAATTTTGCTCTCATTATTTGTTGCAGTGATTGGGAGTGGGACAGTGAGGATGAGGATGATGATTTTGAGGATGAGAAAGAGAAGAAGGGAGATGAGAAGAGGAAGGTAAAAGAGGAGAAGACAGAGGAGGAAGGCAAAGACAAGAGGAAGAGAGAGGAGGGAGAGAAAGATAAAACCCTGTCACCTCCATCTGGATATTCACGACTGAATGAAGATAGGTAAAGCTGGTACTTTATTTGAATATTTAAAGTGATGATTGATTTTTTTTCTTGGACCGTCCTTTCTTTATTCACACTTCAATCAACATTTAGGTGTGTAGATGATGATCCCAATCATTTCAAAATCATTATTATTTTAGTGATATTAATATTAAAGAATTTGTTATATAATTAAACAAGCCCTGAAGGCTTTCTGCCCCCTCCTGCACATTATTTTGTTTTATGTAATTTATTTACCTTTACAATTTATCTTTTAATAACCGTGCGAATAAAATAAATACAAAAAATACCATTCATGGCATCTGTCGTTATAACAAAAACACCGCATCCATGTATAAAATCTTTGCTATCTTGAATTGTGTAAGCAGCATCAACTTTTCTGTTTATGTCTCTACTTTGTTCTTATCCGTTTTTATATTGAAATTTTCACCTCTAGGTTACATGCTGCCCTGAGGCGTGAAATCCAAGAGCTCAAGACAAAGCTTGAGGAGAGTAACCGGTAAGGAAAGATCTGTTCAGATTTAAGAATGTAGATAATTTCATGTCTACAGTATCCCCTTACAATACCTAGTTTAATTCAGAAAATGGTTTTTATTGTCCAAACAGTACCCATGCAGTCGCAGCCTTACGGCTGAATTGATGCAGGGTATCACACAATAATCAATACAAATCACAACAATTACAACATTCAAATAATACAAATGATACACACAGTCGCAAGGGTCTGTGCGGCTGCCATTCGGCGCCACAAGATGACCTCAATACGACTTTCCCCAACCGAAGTTAGGTACCCATTCACACCTGGGTGGAGTGAGGAAATTCGTGTAAAGTGCCTTTCCCAAGGGCACAACGTCGGGGCGCATGTTCAGACATGTACCAGGTACGACTCGGAATCGAACCCGGGTCTACCGGTTCACAGTCTATTGTTCTAACCACTACACCACCCGACGCCACACAGAAAATATCATATAAGACATGTGCATGCTCAGTTTATAAATCATTCATTGTAAAAGGACATATCTATAGCTATAGCTCATTTCAAATGTAATTTTTGATTGAAACATTACTATTCTATAGGCATTACATTTCTTACACTGTTGGTCACACTTTTGTCTTTTGCACTTTTTAGAACAATCCAGGACTTGGAAGAGGAAATATTGGGGGAAAAGTCCTTTCACAAGGGCATGTTTTCCATGAACCAAAAACTGATGAGGTAAGTCAACAGAAACAAGTCAACAAGAACAAAAAATGCCTATAACATTTCAATGCAAACCATGTATGCACTGTTAACGGAGTAAAGAATCCATATTTGACTTAAACCTTTACATATATTTGAACCTTTAAACCTTAAACCTTTATATATATTTGAATTAAGCCACTACATAGTTTTCTAATTATTTATACAGCATTATCTCGGTATTCTTCCTAGAAATTATTCAATTTTTTCTTGATTGTTGCAGTGATCTGGAAGAGTTGAGGGAGGAAGCAGAAGAGTTGAGGAAAGGGAAAGACGATATTGAGGCCGAAGTTGAATACGAACAAGAGAAGAATATAAAGATGCAAGAGTAAGCATCCCAGGAGAATGTCTAGTTTAATTTCCAGCTATAGAAACTAGACTTCCCATTTCATACCAAGAGTTTGATTTTGTGACATTGTGTTAATAATTTAATGGCAATTTTTAAGACTTTTGGTCACATTTGTGTGTTTCATGTTTTAGCCTCCTACAGGAGTTGGAAGACGAAATAAAGGGTGAAAAAGCCTATCACAGGACCATGCGGGTCATTAACGAGAAACTGAACAGGTAAGTCGACACTAGAAATGAGTCAACACAGGAAAATAATAAAAATTGCCTTTACTTAACATTCATAATGAAAACTGCTTCTTAATCAATAACGTAACATATGCACTGCTAACAAATTCATTGTATTATACTTGACACAACGTACATGTAGGACGCCAATAAGTCCTGCAATAATATTCAGTTGTTCTTGACGGATATTTTGTTCGTTTTTAAAAAAAATTCTTGATCTTTGCAGAGAGGTGGAGGAGATGCGGGAGGAAGCAGGAAAGTTGAAGAAAGGAAAAGATGATATTGAGGCCGAAGTTGAATACGAACAGGAGAAAAATATAAAGCTGCAAAAGTAAGCATACCCTGATGATACCTAGGTTAACTTTCAGACGCCAGCCAATATATAAGGCATATGCATGCTCAGAGTACTTTTAAAAAATAGAAATTGTATAGAAACAGTAGGCAGCTCATTTTTAATATAATTTTTGACTTTAAAAAATTAAATCAAATATTCTGTGTAATTATTATTGTATATTAGTGTAATTGGTGTATGTGTATTTGTATGTTTTTATTATTCCTCTCTTTTATATTGGCCTTTGGCCTAAAGTATAGAATAAAATGAAATAAAAAAAATCTAAAGCCATTTTCGACTTTTTGTCACACTTGTGTATTTTATGTTATAGCCTAGTGCAGGAGTTAGAGGAGGAAATACTGGGTGAAAAATCCTATCACAAGAGCATGGGGTCTATTAACGAGAAACTGAGCAAGTAAGTTAAAACTAGAAATGTGACATGGAAATTAATTTAGAGTGCCCAATTATTCATAATGAAACCTGCAAGATTTAATATTTTACTGTCAATACTTACACACATGACGTTAACAAGCCATACAATAATATATCAGTTGTTCACAGCGAGGGTCCTCTCTTTTCTTTATTGTTACAGTGATCTAGAAGAGTTGAAGGGGGAGGCAGAAGAGTTTGAGAAAGTGAAGAATACTCTTGAAGCTGGCATTAAACACGAACAAGAAAAAAATGCCAACCTGCAAAGGTAAGCATCCCCTTACGATAGCTAGTTTAATTTACACTACAGAGGAGTTAAACATGATTTATTAACAACATAACTCATTTGGTATTTCAATGGATTTATGAAATCCTATGGGTTAAGAATTCCTTTTCTGTTCCTCACTTGTAGGGACCTGGAAGGGACTAAAAACGCTTCAGAGGAATTTGCAAAAGTGAAGGAATCTCTCGAGGCCAAGGTCCAGCAGGAACAAAATGAGACTGCAAGGCTGAAAAGGTATGTTTCCTTGTAAACATAGATCGATGCTAAACTATAATTTAATCTGCTTTTCATACCATGTGTGAGGGTTTTTCAAATTTTCAGACAATTCATGAAGACATTTAATCTATCAAGTTTTTACCGGTAATCTCAAACTATTTCACTTGTAGGGAGCTGGAAGAGACCAAGTTCTCTGTGAAGGATTCCCTCCAGGCAACTGTTCAACATGAACAAGAAGAAAGTGCAAGACTGAAAACGTATGCAATTTATGTGATTTATTTGATAATGGTCTTTTATTGAATTTCCCTATTTGTTTGTATTGGGCTGTTCACGTATATCAATGTAACTTCATTTTCAAGTTGTTCTTTTTTTCTTGTTATAGGGAGCTGGAAAAGGCAAAGAAGGCATCACAGAGTTTTTCAGAAATGAAGGAGCTATTCCAGGCCACAATTGAACGTGAACAAGATGAAAATGCAGAACTGAAAAAGTACGATTTTAACGGAATATATAGATTAATCGATTGTAAATTTAACTATTGAATGTGAGACATATGCCTGGCATTAAGAAAATATCCATTACTTTTTCTTTGAATCATGTTGGTAGTCTTTTTACTCAGATCTTTGTTTGTAAACAGGTTGTCAGTATTTTTAGTCCTAGCTAAAATCTGCCGGATCTTCATGAGTACTATAATTTTATGTGCTAGCTGAATATCTATCACTAAGTCTGTTGAATTGATTTGCTTGTTGCAGGAAGCTGGAAAAGGCAGAAAATACAGCAAAAGAATTGGCAAGGGGAAAGGAGTCTCTTCAGGCTGAAGTGCAACATGAGCAAGCTGAAAATGCGAGGCTGAAAGAGTATGTAGTCCGTTACAAGATCTACATCAATTTTCAGAATATCTCATTTGGCAAGACGTGTGCAAAGTGCAAACTCATTAAATCATAGAGGCAATGGACTGCTCATTCGAACCATAAAAAAGCACTTTGGTTGACTTTTGGAATGTAAGAAGGCATGTAGATACAATTATGACTTGTAAAATCTGATAATGTTCGCTTATTTTAGGGTGCTGAAAGAGACTCAGAATGCATCAGAAGGATTCGCGAAAATCAAGGAATCTCTTCAAGCCTCAATTCAGCGTGAACAAAAGGAAACTGCAAGGCTGGAAAGGTATGTATTCCTTGCTCTTACTTTTTCAATGTATGGGACTATTTATTAAAGTTTAATGTCACGTAAGTATTTATTTATTTATAAGCGTCACCATGGTAATGGAGCACTTTTATTTTAATTTACTAATAAGACTTTACTGCTTGTTATAGGGAGGTAGAAGAGAAAAAGAAGGAAACAGAGGCATTTGCAAATCTGCAAGCCACAGTTCAACGAGAACAAGAGGAAAATGCAAAACTTAAAACGTATGCATTTATTGCTTGTTTTTCGAACCTTTGATTAAAGTTGCCTAGCATGTAGTATGAACTTGAACTTGATTTCTAATACTGATTAAAAAACAGCCTTGGCTATTACTTTCTTTTGACTTAGGAAAAGGGTCATTTCTAGTTACTGGGCTCTCTTAAAGTAATCTAAAATTCTTTCATATAGATTCTTATAGTTTTTTTTTTCTTTTAAATCTTTTTTTCATTACCACAGGGAGCTGGAAGAGACAAAGAAGGCTTTAGAGAGATTTTCAAAAGCTAAGGAGTCTCTTGAGGTCACAGTTCAGCAAGAACAAGAAGACAATGCGAGGCTGATCAAGTATGTGTTTCCTTGCGATGTATGGATGGATTCTAAGAATATCTAATATTTGATATTATGCCGAACATATCAATAAAGACAGTGTAACCTCTATTGGAATCTTTGTCCCTTTTTGGACATAAGCTAAAACTTAAGATGAACATAAACATAGGATTTCTTGTCTTTCTATTTTTTTATTTTTTATAATGTTTCATAATGTATGATATTTTCATTTATCTATTCACAACCATGTTCTATTTTATATCATATCATTATTATTTATTATTGCCATTATTATTATTAATATTTGCATTGTTGTTAACTGTAGTGTAGAACTTCTGTAGAATTTTAGTGTCTATACGACTCATGTGAAACTACATGTATTGCGCTTAGCTCTCATGGGCATGAATGTGGAAATAAACGTCATTGTCATTTAAAGGGAACAGCAAGAAACTGCAAAGAATGCAACAGAAGCGTTCGCAAAAGTAAAGGAGTCTCTCCAGGCTAAAATTCAACAGAAACAAGAAGAAAATGCAAGTCTAAGAAAGTATGTATATAAACTTATTAACTTAATTATTTGGTAAGGATGTCTGCCATAAGCTAGTAAGCTATCTTGATGTTATTTGAATCTACTCGGACTACATGATTCTCTACTTAAAGAAATGCATGTAGCCATGTACAAGACACATGACTAGACCAATGTGCAGTGGATAGCCTTTGGTCATGATTTGCATAATACGTTTTATGCTACTTAGTTATTGCATTGTCTGATTCAGTGTGTTATTTGTCACTGTAGAGAACTTGAGGAGTCCAAGCTCGCCGGGGAAGATCGTGTGGCAGAGAGCAAGACTGAGATGCGAGATATGTTTCAACAAGAGCTGGGGTAAGTACTAAAGTCAGGAGAATTAAGTTTGTGTATTCAAATCTCACTCAAAAATTTAAAGTAATTGTACAAACTAACTTTTTAATTGTATCCTAGCGAATTTCGATTATTGTACTGCATTGCCTTGAGTTTCACAATTCCTTACTGGAGCTACTAAATCGTTGGGTATTACTTTAATCAACTAGGTTTGTTTCATGTCTTAAACTACTATTACTTCGTTAGTTATAATATCAGTGTGAGATTTCACTTGACTATCTTTTGCTTTACAGGAAACTGGAAATGTTTCAAGGTGCTTTAAGGGATGAGATTGCTGCGTTGAAAAAGGAAAATGAGGCCTTGGGGCGCTCAGTCAGCTTTCTCAAGGAGAAGAATAACGATCTCGCCAGGTAATTACATTAATATGCAATAGTGTTCTCTATCTAGGTTTTTCCCCACTTACCTATTTTTTGAATTATTTCCCCACTTACCTGCTGTCTAAATTAACTCGTGTTTTAGGGAGCTGGCAGAGACTAAGATGGTTGTTCTGGAAAAGGAGACTCTGGAGGCAACTGTAAAGAAGCTTGCTTTGCTCAACAAGAAACAAGAAAAGTAAGAAATATCTCCGCAAAATATTATGACCATAGTTGGAATTCATTGAAGATGAATCCCCTCAAGAGCTTCATAAACGTACTGTAGTGCAGTCTTTCATGATCAGTACTTTGTTGTTGCAGAAAGCTAGATTTCGCCAAGAAGGCATACAGCAAGGTTCTGGCGACACTTCAGAAGCTGCAAGAAGACACAGACCATAGCAGCACGGCAGAGGACACCGAGGACTCATCTTCAGTTGAGTCACTGGAGCCGACAAAGGACAACAGCACAATCACTGAGTGAGTTTGACTTATAGTTTTACTGTCTTCTTTAAGAGTTAAAAACATGTAATAAAACTTTTTTCCTACAATAATGTGTTCACAAACTTCACACTATTGTTATAGTGCATATATTGCAGAATATACTCAGACATTTCTTGTGAAAATTCATTATATTAGATATAGATCTTTCCATTTAGATATTTCTTTATGCCTGTCACGCAGAAGAAGTAATCTTCTTTTTTTTTCTTTGCTAAACACAGGGAGCTTGCAAACCTCACCCTGGAAAAAGCTGCACAGGAGAAGAAGATCCTAGAGGCAACTGTGCAGCAGCTGACCTTGGAAAATAAGAAACAAGCAAAGTAAGAACCCGATTCCTTTGACTACAGTTTTGCTTTCTTAAATTTTCAATTTTATAAAGACATTGTTGAAGCAAAATCATTATATTAACGTTCACCTCAGGTTGACGCTCCTCCCATTTTCCTATAACGTTAATTTTTTTCATAGACTCTCTTTTATCATTCTGCAGGATGTTAGAGGATAGAGAAAAGCTGCAGGCTGACCTGGAGACCAGCAATAAGGCAATTCAGCAGTATCTTCGTGGGAGCGAAAAGCTGCTGGCTGAGAATGACAGGATATCTAGGTAAAAGATCACTTACAGTCATAAAGATAAACTCAACATTTTGTTGTATCATCTTTATTATGTTAACGTTGTAGTCGATAAGAGTTGACCAGAGTACTTATGATTTTGTATGACTCGAACTAATCATGTATTTAGGGATTACCTTAAGGTCTAATACAATTGGGATAATAAGTGCTAATATCAAGACATGTTTTATTGACCTTTTTCGTTTGTTGTCACAGTAAACTGGAAAAGTCACAGAAAGCCTCAAACGACAAGATCACCGCGTTACAACAGGCAAACGAGGCTCTGAAGCGCTCAATGAGCGTTCTGACCGACAGGAACAACATCTTCAACAGGTAGATGAATTCTAAAAAATATTTTAGGTTTATATTCTTAGATGTTTATTTGTTTAATTGCGTCAGGAATGTAAAGCCAATTACTTCATAAAAAGTGATGATAAATTGAACTCATACATTTTACAGTTTATTCTTTAGAAATTCATTGACGTTATCCTTTGTTTTAACACAGCGGAATAGCAGACTTCAAGAGTGTGTTGGAGAACATGAGAAATGATGAATGTGGAAAGGTATACATCATGTACGAGTACTGTTGAGCCTTGTGTATTCTGTATTTTGTAAATTTTATCAGTAAATTGGAGCTATTGTTGTAAGCTATATAGCCAACAGATGTGTGCCGAATTTAGACAAAAAGCACGTTTATGCTTTGATATACATTGACTGTTGCATATATCATTCCTTCTAATTTCTTCTAATATTTGTTTTTTCTGTTACCCGTCAACAGAGGAAAGACCCAGCCACACCATCCAGACACAGGATGGGGGATGGAAGAAGGCTCATCTTTGAGGGGCTGCCTGTATTTGTCTAAAATACGTTGGGGCAATTCTGAATCTTAACGGAATTTTAAATTGATCCTCCTCTTTTCCAACACTTATGAATTGGAATACATGACGAAAAAAAAAAATAAAAAATGGCCTTTGTTCACTGTATTGTATATAAAGCATGTTTTGTTTGGAAGTGTAAATATAACCCTACCACGTGTTTATTTGAATGTTATCTGTAACGTGTTACAGCTGTACATATGTATCCGTTAATGGCAAAAATGGGCTGGTCTCATTTTGAAAAATATTTTTGTATCAGAGCAATTTCATGTGGATGAAATGTACATGATATGGTCAGTTTGCACATGTGACTGTATGAATATGTGTGTACAGTATGTCACTAAATGATGAACACCACACCTGACTCTGCAGCAGGTATTGACACAAATATGTACAGGAAATTTAAAGCAACAACGTAATATTCCGGAATAATATATCGCTATATAATGAGTACCAATGAGTTGTGTCATATTTTGTTAAAATGACCAATTTACGAGGATCGAGCACAGTACAATATCTTGCTGTTAGCTGGCAATACTTCAACGGACATTCTGATAACCTTTCACAGTACTTCGGTACGTCAACCAAATGTTATGCCCGTGACAGTATTTTTGTGTCCCGACGGCAAAGAATATAATAAAAATATGTGAAATATACAATAAACTGACAAACGATTTATCATACTCAGTGATTAATTTCTGATATTAAATGCTTCTGAAGGATCTATACTTGCGAGTATTTGTCTTGATTGTGTCAGTAAAATGATTTCCATGAGTAATATGCACACTTCGAAGAATATGTCCAGGATTTAATAAGAGCATTTCATGTCTGTGACATGAGAGACACTTATTGTTGTGTGTGTGTGTGTGTGTGTGTGTGTGTGCGTGTGCGTGTGTGTTTGTGTGTGTGTGTGTGTGTGTGTGTGTGTGCGTGTAACTAGTAGTCCCAATAACAATGTTAAACTGTTAATGCATTTTTAAAGCTAAGAATCATTTGACAAAAGAGTCATTTACAACAAAGACGAACTTGGATAGAACATTCAGTATCATTCCATAGAAAAAATATAATGTTCACATATTCTCGCCCATCACATATGTCAAATTGTCACATATGCACTCTGCCTCCTCTGTGGTATTCTTTCTCCGGTTATTTTGACAAAACACTGTTAAAAGACTAGACTAGACTGATATGTACGATAGAACATTCAGTATCATTTATTCCATAGAAAAAATATAATGTTCACACATTTTACCCGTCACATATTTCAAATTACCACATGCTGAGGCATTCTGATACGTACGTACAGTGCAAGTTTGTGAGATAACGACGAGGGCAATTGTTTCGTGCACTTTAAGTGTCTGGTATAACAATTTGGTTGCAATGCAAAAGTTATAAATATTGTGTTAGGCACTTGAGACGTGTAGGGCAGTACAAATGACATCATACACATGTGTTATGCACTGAATATGCATATACAAAAATATTTTTCTCAATGAGGCCAGCTCATTGCTTTTTCATAAAATCCACGTGATAAGATGTGATACACAAACACATACACATACAAATTGTCATATTTTCATACACATTTTTAAATTCTGTATTGCATACAGCTCACATATAGAAAAACCAATTTATCAAATATTTCATCTCATTCCATTGTTACGGAAAAATGAGATGAAATACAACTAAAATCACATCAAATTAAGAATTACGTTCGTTATCATTTTCTACAAGACTATTTCGCACTGATGCCCCTCCCCACGTTCCTCAAACAGACGCCTTCTTCCATCCCCCATTCTGGCTGACACCATGGGTCTGCTAGGTGTAGCTGGGTCTTCAGGCTGGTCAGGGGAAATAGGAAATCAGTCATAAGATGGAAGGATATCATAACGGGCTTGATTTTTTTTGTAACAGAAATCACAACTAGAGAAGTAACATTTGCAAAGCAATTGCATAATGTTTACCTTGGAACATGGTCTGCTCTGTTAATTTTTACTCAAACACATTCAAATACATTGTACTACTAGTATATGGTGACAGGAGCAGAGCAGACCATGAAATTGCAACATTATGTAACCCAACACCAGTCACCATGGTGACAGACGTCAACAAATCATGTCATTGGTCAGGTTATAGGTCACTGTTTGGAGAAGAAGAAGAGGAAGAAACGGAGCAAAAACAATATGTTTTCATTCGGTAAACATAATTACCAGTGAGAGAAAATTAACATTCAGTCTATTTGGCTCTCAAAAATTCGTGAAGGATGCAGAAGTATCCATATAGATTTCATAAAAGCATTCAATTTCACCTCCAATTTTTCTGACAAACTTAAATGAAAAAAAATATATACGAGACATGATACAGACCTTTCTAGATCGCTGCTTTTCAAAGTACTCATCCAACATTGCCACTCTCCTGTGTGCAACATAGAGTAAATAGCGTTAGTATACGAAAAAAAGAAAAATCAGTAATACATGTAAAAAAAATTGACAATTTTTCCGTGGCCATAAAGAAGATTGTAGCCAGCCATTTATATATGAATAAAAATTCTATTAAAAAGAACGATGCTTTTAGAACAGAGTTCAATTCACGTACTTGTTCAAAAGGTTGTTCCTGGTAGTCAGACCCTTCATTGACCGCTTCAGTGTTTCATTCTCATATCTTAAGCAACCAATCACGTTGTGTGTCTCTTCCAGTTTACTGGAACAACAAAAGATGAGGTCAATAAAAGCTGCCGAATATTGCATTGCAATAGAAAGACATGCATATATTACTAGCACCTGGATATAACTAGCACCTGGATACATATACATGTACATGTATATGGTAAACCCGATCATTACTTTTAAAAAAAGTGCTAAAATTATATACTGTTGATAAAAGTGTACATGCTTCAATTTATTTTGTTGCGACAATAAGGTAACGGCAGTAGTAAGTAATTAAATTTACCTGGACAGCTTGCCATTCTCAGCGTGTAGTTTCTGCTGAATTGACTTATTGTTGAACTCCAGTTTTGCTAGCAGTTGTTCTTTATTCTGAACAATCCTGTGGAACCAAAAAAGAAAGATTGAGCTCGGGAAAGGAGTAGTATTGGCTTAAATTTTGCTGGCACTGCATTTTTAAAAGATGGTAACATTCAATTCCATGTTGGTGTAACTCTATTGTGATTGTACTCACTATGAACAACAGCATAGAAAACACATTATAAAAGAATGTGACCAACAATATTTAATCATAATGTATGTCATTTTCAATACAAAAAGGATGCACAGTTAGCTACGGAATCTGATGTACTGGGATCTACAACTAAGCTATGGTTACGATCATCATATTGGACAAACCTACATGTAACAATAAACTTTAAAGAAGCATGCTCTACTTACTGTGCTTGTCTCTTGTTGTCCATGGTCAGGCGCTGCACAGTTGCATCCAGGGTCTCCTGTGCAGCTATCTCGAGGGTTTCAAGCTCCCTATGTCAGCAAATACATGTAGATTTATAGTTGAATGCAAAACAATATAGTTTTCTTTGTTTAATCAACAGTCAAGGAGAAGATTTACATTCATAGACAAAACCTCGAGAGCCTGTCAATAGATAAATTTCAAATAGCTGGACATTCGTCTGAGGTAAAATGTAAGAGGAGCTCACTTCATGAGATTGCTGCATCGATCCGTCAGGAGGCCAACGGAAGACTGCAGTGCCTCGTTTTCTTCTTTCAACACATCAACCATGTTGCTTAAGGTCTTCTTGGACTCCAGTTCACTGTTAAAAAAAATAGAAGGGACAATAAACATCTCTTCAAATGTTAAGATTACCAAATAGAGTAACATTCTAAACCACCGCATTTTCTTAGAACATTGAGTATTCTTACTTACTCTTCTATACTATGTAGAAGTGCCGTAATATCTACAATTTGGACTAAATTTGAATGACTGTTCATCTATCATACAAGACCAACATTTGTGGTAATAGAACTTCATGTCAAACTCACCCAGCGATCGTGCTGTTGCCCTTCGTCAGCTCCAGTGACTCAACCGAAGATGAGTCTTCTTGCAGCTTCTCCAGTGTCCTCGCAACTTTGGTGTATGCCTTTTTTGCGACATCCAGCTTTCTGCAACCACACAGTACAGTAACAATCAATAGAAATGTACAGGAATATGAATAATAGTCTCTGTTACAGTAAAAATATTGTACGACGTCATATGAAAATGTCTATAATAAGTCTGTGAAAGTACAATTCGACATTTTTACTGCTTAAGATATTCTTACTTTGCTTGTTTCTTGTTGACCAGTGTCAGTTTCTTCACAGTTATCTCCAGAGTCTCTTTCTCCAAAACAACCTTATTAGCCTCTGCCAGCTCACTGTGTCAAACAAACACGGTTTAACTTATAAAGAACACAAACGTAACTTATGACTTAGTGTATAATGAATGCAAAAACATGGGAAAGGTACTGTTCCTATTATTCAGAAAAATGATACGAGGAGTGTGTAAAACCTGGATAGGAAACATTATAGTATAATGTAATTACCAGGTGAGATCGTTGTTCCTGTCTGAGAGAGAGCTGACTGAACGCTCCAGGGCGTCATTCTCCTTCCTAAGTGCATCAAGCTTGTTGCTGTAGGCACCTTGGAACACTTCCAGTTTCCTGTGATGTAGTCAAAACATTAGCCAAGGAAAAACGCTATCAATATCTATATAGCATCATGATTTAAGAACGTAAAAAGACTTGAAAGAAATCTTTTATGAGTGAGATTCACGTGCACATGCTTCTCCTAAAACTTAAGTTCTTACCCCAGCTCTTCTCTAAGCATCTCACGTAGCTCGGTCTTGTTCTGTTTCACGTGATTTTCTCTGGCCAACTTGGACTCCTCGAGTGCCCTGTCATGACAAATATGACAGTTAAACATGCTTCCTTGCTTATGAACAGGCAGTTATTGCTCCATTATATTACAAACTGCATACCATTACGTACATAGAAGAGTGAATCTTGAAGAAGAAGTCAAACCCAGTAAAACTAGTGTCATGTCATGTTGTATCATATAGTATAATGTTAGAAGTAGAATTAGCCCTCAGGCAAGTATTTGCAATAAACTTTCTTTCTTTCTTTCTTTCTTTCTTTCTTTCATTATTCTACACATACCTTTTTAGCTTTGCATTTTCTTCTTGTTCACGCTGAACTTCAGCCTTGAGAGACTGCTTTACTTTTGCGAACCTCTCTGCTGCATTCTTTGTCTCTTTCAGTTCCCTTTAACGATAAAAAAGATCGTTTAAGAATGCATAAAAACATGATTTTTAAGAATCACAATTTGTCAAAATCAGAGTACTGAACATGAAAAACATACTTTGTCAGCCTAGAATTTTCTTCTTGTTCTTGTAGAACTGTTGCCTGAAGAGACTCCTTTGCTTTTACCAGTCTCTCTGAAGCCTTCTGTGTCTCTTCCAGCTCCCTTTCAGAATAAAAGAACACTTCAAAATATAGCCACAAGAACCTTCAAAGAATACATGGCTTTAGAAAATCCATCTTTGAGTCATAAGAAAGCAATTGGACGCAGAATAAAGTAAACGTTTACATGGCATTCATGATATACATGTAACGTTATCCACAAACAAGATAATTCAACGCAACATCTATTACAAGAAATGCATACCTTTTAAGTCTTGCATTTTCTTCTTGTTCATGTTGAACAGTCGCTTGCAAAGACTCCTTCACTTTTGCAAATCCTTCGGACACCTTCTTTGTCTCTTCCAGTTCCCTACAAGGGAAAACATGTACTTGTCGGTCAACTGGATTAAATATGGTTCAATGACAATGAGAACACTTAGACTTGTCATTTATTGTAGGAAATAGTTCTATGCTAACATATTGCAAATTAATGCATACCTTTTCAGCCTTGCAGTTTCCTTTTGTTCATGTTCTACTGTGGCTTGAAGAGATTCCTGTACTTTTGCGAATCCTTCTGATGCACTCTTTGTCTCTTCCAGCTCCCTACAACGATAAGATAAATGGATTAAAGCCATAACATATCTGTATAATATTTTTACCTCCATGAAATGTGTCATGGAGGTTATATTTTCAGTTGCGTTTATCTGTCCGTCTGTCCGTCTGTCTGTCTGTCTGTCCGTCTGTCCGTCTGTTGGTCAACAAGATAACTCAAGAACGCCTGGATGGATTGGTTTCATACTTGGTGTGTTGGTAGGGTGTGACGAAAACTGGAAATGATTAGATTTTGGTCCCCCTAGTGGCTTCCCTTGGTACTGCAGTGCAACTTCCGATTTTGATATCTCGCGATCTGGACATGCTAGGGTCATGAAATTTTGATGGAAGGTAGCTCTCGTGCTTGGGAAGAAGTCATATGAGTTTGGGCCCCCTAGCGGCTTGTTCTGGAACTGCAGGGCACTTTCTGGCGAAATGTTTAAAAGCCAATAAGTCCAGACAGGAACAACATATTTTCATTATTTTTGGTGTGTAGGTAGCTGAGAGAGAGATGTACATAATTAAATGCAAATTATGCAAATGAGGACTTTATTTGCATAATTAATGAGGAAATTCTATAATTACAGTGTTTTACATTATACTACTTACATACATGTTATGTATGTAACCTATGGCAGGCGGACCTTTAACACATACTAATTATGCACATGATGACCTAATTTGCATAATTAATACGAAAATTGTATGATTTCGTAATGGTGAATGATGAGAATGTCTTCATTATTTTTGGTGTGTAGGTAGCTGAGAGAGAGATGTACATAATTAAATGCAAATTATGCAAATGAGGACTTTATTTGCATAATTAATGAGGAAATTCTATAATTACAGTGTTTTACATTATTCTACTTATCTACATGTAATGTCTGTAACCTATGGTAGGCGGAACTTCAACAGATACTAATTATGCAAATGATGACCTAATTTGCATAATTAATGCGAAAATTCTATGATTTCATAATGGTGAATGATGAGAATGTCATTTGGGACATCTGTAAGTTAATCAAAAGTTAACATACATCACGATGCATATATCATGTTAATGCAGAGGTCATTTGCACAATTAAAGAAGAAATTAACATTTACATATCAAGATCATATTTCATGGAGGTATGAGATCTCGGAATTCTAGTTTTAAATACTTTGCCATGGTTATAGAGTTATTACGTTGAGAGGAAAATTGCTTCAAAAGAGGAAATTAGATTTTAAACGAGCTGTCCACTGTCTTACGAGTTAGGAATGTACCTTTTATAAGGACTAATTTACATACTGAGCTCTGTCAGCGAATACATTACCCTGGATGCCAAACTAGTATCGGGCCGTTAGCCTTTTTCCTTCGGCAGCCGAGAGCCCTTCGCCCGCCTGCCTAAATTACCGCTACGGGGGAGTTGAGCCCGATGGGAGTTGGCTGGCCAACCTCCCCCCGGGCTAGACTCCCCCGTAGCGGTAATTTACACCAGCGGGCGAAGGGCTTTTGCGGCCCGGACAGCGAGTCTGGATTTCCAGGGTACGAATACATACTTTTTCAGTTTTGCATTTTCGGCTTGTTCGCGTAGAACGTCAGCCTGAAGAGACTCCTTAATCTTTTCAAAGTCCTCTGCTGCGTTCTCTGCCTTTTCCAGTTCCCTGCAACAACCAACAAAACATGAATTCAAGTTAGTTAGTTTACGAAGATGAATAAAAGATAAATATCCGTTCTTGTCAATTTTGTGCAAAAAAAATTGACCAGAATCTATATTTCAAAACATTTCATACCTTTTCAGTTTTGCGTTTTCACCTCGTTCGTGTTCAACTGCAGCCTCAAGTGACTCTTTCATTGCTGGGAATTCCTCAGATGCTTTCTTTGTTTCTTCCAGCTCCCTATAACATACATAGAAAAATTAAAAAAACTCATTGGTTAACATGATTGGTTTTTATCATGTACGATACATTTCTTATATGTATATCAAATAATGTCTTCTAAGAACTAATCTTAGAAAGAGATTATGGCTTTGCATACCTTTTCAGTTTTCCATTTTTCTCTTCTTCGTATCGGATGTCGGCCTCGAGACACCTCTGTGTCATCTTAAACTCTTCTGCTGCCTTCTTCATCTCTTCCAGTTCGCTACAAGTGTAAACAATGTGAGAAAAATATCTAAAAGTGAACAATCCTTCGTGCAAAGATGTTATGATATTGTTTGTTATCGTCCTTGGTAGTGTAGAGTTTCAGTTGAACATGGAACTTTGAACATGTTAACAATTGACACTCTACTACAGACATTTCTAGTTTTGACGTACCTGCTTGCTTGTCGGAAGAGGGACCACATGTTCTTGCACCTGGTACTTGCACCCGCCAGTTTATCTTCCAACTGCAGGATTATGCTAAAACATAAAGGACACAGGATAAGTTGCTTGGAGAATTTCGGGTTTGGGGGAAATTGATTTTGATCTAATGTCACGATGACTTTTCATCTAAATACACATATTTTTAAGCATAGCAAAGAGATCGAGCGACGGACAGAGAGAGAGATACGTCTGAAAAATACTTCACCTCAAGTAACAGCTACGTATACACAAGAGTGGAAAGGCATTTTTCTGTAGTCTAAACTTATTTCCAATACCCAAATATACATGCAACGTTAGATAAAAGCAGAGTAAATAGCTAGATCAGCAGAATAAATATTAAGCATTTCCTTACTCGTCACTTTCGTCAATGGAGCGTTCAAGCTTTGCCTTGAGCTCTTGTACTTCATGCCTCAGTGCAGTATTCATCCTGTTGGTGATAGAGGTTTAACTTTCAATTTCCGGGGAAAGATTTAAAACTATTAAGTAAACAAAAAAAAACAAAGATAATTGTGTGATGAGTGACTACTAATGCCAGACATTTTATGAAAGGTTTTAAAAGTTTCAAAATCAATGCGTTGTGTTTCCTATTGTAATGAGACTTGCCATGAATGACAAATTTTCTAGTGTACTTATAATTCTGTACCTTTATTCTGAAAGTTGAGAATCTTAATTATGGAATCTAAGTAGCCATACTCTTCGAAAAAGTACACATATAATGATAGTAATTTACAAAATGCTGTTGATGACTTACATTTCGAACTGCTGCCTTTTGCCTGGTGACGACTGTGCGCTGTACGAAATGTAGAAAATATGTGTAACATTCAGTCACTAGGCCAGCTAGAATTCCTCAACTTTAGAAAACAAGAGCTCCTTATTCATATTATTAAAAGAAGAGAGAGCTCCTTCTTCATAAAAAATTGCACCATCTACTTTTTTAATAACAAACTTACTGACAGAGTTGGTGGTTACATACCTTGCACTCACAGTGTCCATAGTAAAATCTAGATCGAACATATGATATCTGGTTTCAAAGAAAAGAATTATTTCTGAAGAAGAGTATAAACTGACCGATCAAGCTTGTTGTTTTTAGCGGTCAGCTCAGAGTTCAACTTCTCCAGTCGTTCGATCTCTCGCACATGAATGTTGATATGCCTGTAAAACAAAACAAAAGTTTGGGTTTTCTTTCATCTCGATTTACAAACACCTGATTCAAGTGACAATGCTTTCAAATCCCCATTTTTATCATTATTTACCTACCCTTTGAAAATTTATAATCAAAAAAATATACCCGTGCAATGAATTGCAAAATTAAACTTATTGTAGAAATATAAATGGTTTAAATATATATTACAATCTGCCTATATAGCATAAGATCTAAGCATAAGATAAATGTCAATCATGCCATGCTGTTGATTATGTTGAACACTTCCTGTTTGAATGTAAGCTTGTTAAACCGCTGTGGTTAGAAGTGGAAAAACGATACTGTACTAAATATGGAGGCAAGTTAAAGTTAGCCATTCATGATGTTATAGTAGGATATGAGCTCAACAACATGAAAAAATTTAGTTACGTCAACCGATTAATTCTTCTAGCGAAATATACTATCTGTAAATATAAGTTCGGAAAATATATGGGAAGGATTGTTGCTCTATTTGACTATGAATGCACTTTACGAGGCTTGCTGTAACTGATTCTATGAGCTAATAAAGTGCCGTGACACGGATACGGACACGGAAATAAAAAATAAAAATAAAAAAATAAAAGATCTTCGGTCTACTTACAAGGTCTTCACTTGGATTTCATCTTGTGCCAAGGTTAGTTGCTTCTTCAACTCTTTTGCATCACATTCCTCTTCATCAGAAGAACTTGAGCTGTAAAAGCAAAAAATTACATTTGTCAGTTCATTCAATACATCAATTTGGTGTTATCTTCTTGATCTTACATACCTGGTTTCATGGGAGATCTTATTGCAAAAAATTATAGCCAAGATAAGGAAGGAGGCCCGATCTGCCCCTGACAGCGAGAAATAGTACTAGTGTAACAAAGACTCTTTGAAAGATCCAAGCATGGAAAGTGTTACCTTATTACGTATGATGTCAGGCGTGGGAATGACCAAGTGTCTCCAGGGTTTTCCCTCTCCTGACTCTCTTCTCTCTGTCCCTCCTCCTTCTTCTCTTTCTCTCCCTCCTCTTCCTCTCCTTCTGTCTTCAATCCTTCCATCTCTCCCTCCTCTTTCTCTCCTTCCTCTTTCTCTCCTTCCTTCTTCTCTCCCTCCTCTTTCACCTCCTGAGCTACCGCCCCATCTTCTAGCTCATTGCACCTCCTCTCCATCTCCTCAAAATCGTCATCACTGTCCCACTCCAGAGAGCTGGAACAAATTTCGATTCCAAGGTTTGGTTTAGTTTTTTTTTTCTCTCCGTTAGTAAATACAATCACTAGTCTTCTTGAAGTCCAATGTAATACAAAATATAACAACAGAACATAATAAAATTATACAACAGAATGAACATAAGACTTACATAAATGAGCTTTAGAAAAAATGAAACTACAAACTAAAAGATTATTTGTGGCTATGATACATTAGCATTGACAATTGAAAATGTAAATGAAAACACCTTACCTTGACTCATCTTCCGGCTCTTCTTGGATTGGGGGCAGTCTAAAAGAAAATATCATTGTGAGCCAAGTGTAGGGTAATTCAAAACCTGTTACAATATCACTCCAATTTTAAGTATTCAACACTACAACTTTCTCACATACAAACATTATTTACAACAATACTAAATCAAAATGTCAGACTGTATTTATATCTTACCTAGGTTGCCAAAGGGCCTCCTCCTCATCACTGCTGTAGTTTTCAAAGTCGCTGCAATAATAAAATAAAAGATTTTTTTGTTTGTGACACATTTTAATTAGCAACACAACACTCACAGTAGACATGTATACTATAGAACAGTGCATGGGATTGAGAATCAATCCCCCAAATACCAAATCGCTAACGAAACTGTTAAAATTTCCAACTGAGTTCAGAGAAATCATTGACATATTTAGACAAGAAACATATCTGGTGTGCAGTCCTCACAAAACAGTTAACGGAGATATTTCGTCTTCGTTTGTACGCAAATACGTGTTTGTATGACTTTAGATATATATAGAACAGGCCTAAGTTTGGCGACAGAAACGCCCGTTAAAATCACTTTTTACTGCCTTTAACAGTTACTAAGGGCTAAACCCCACCACTGAAACTTTTGTTGTAACTACAAACACAACTCAGTTCTTTCTCCGAAAAGTTGAGCACAACAAAATACCATTAATGGCCTTTGAAAGGGCCGTAAATACGTAAAAAATGAGTGTACGACTTTAGAACAGGCCTAAGTTTGGCGATAGAAACGCCCAAAATAAATAATAAAAATCACTTTTTTTACTGCCTTTAACAGTCATAAAAGGCTATACCCCACCACTGAAACTTTGATTGTGACTACAAACACAACTCAGTTGTTTCTCCGGAAAGTTGAATACAACAAAAGACCATTAATGGCCTTTGAAATGACCGTAAATACGTAAAACAATGACTGTACGACTTTAGAACAGGTCTAAGTTTGGCGATGGAAACGCCCGTTAAAATTACTTTTTTTTACTGCCTGTAAGAGTTAGAAAATGCTAAATCACACCACTGAAACTTTGATTGTGACTACAAACACAACTCAGTTCTTTCTCCGGAAAGTTGAATACAACAAAAGACCAGTAATCACCTTTGAAATGACCGTAAATACGTAGAAAATGACTGTACGACTTTAGAACAGGCTACGTTTGGCGACAGAAACGCCCTTTAAAATCACGTTTTTTACCGCCTATAACAGTTACAAAGGCCAAATCACACCACTGAAACATTTGTTGTAACGACAAACACAACTCAGTTGTTTCTCCGGAAAGTTGAACACAGCAAAAGGCCACTAATCACCTTTGAAAGGACTGCAAATACGTAAAAATAATGAGTGTACGACTTTAGAACAGGCACAAGTTTGGCGATAGAAACGCCCGTGAAAATCACTTTTTTTACCGCCTATGACAGTTATAAAAGGACAAATCCCACCACTGAAACTTTTGTTGTAACGACAAACACAACTCAGTTGTTTCTCCGGAAAGTTTAACACAACAAAAGACCAGTAATCACCTTTGAAAGGACGCCATGGCGTTATCGTGACCTGTGCTGTAAGGCAGCTGAGATCGAGATGACTTTGTTGTCATGTGGTCACCTTGGCAACGGTATGATTGTGTGTCATATTCGAATGCGAGGAGGAATGATCGCGGATTGTTTCTGGTCATCTGGACCGACAATTACATTTTTGTACAGATTTGCTTGGGATCAAGATAAGAAATGTTACTTGATTTTATCATATTTAAAACAGAAATCTACGGGACAACCAAGATAGGTGACATCTATCCTCGTCATTAACTCATAGATAGATAAAAGCATTTTTAAAATGTTTCGAAGCGTGTTGTCATTCCTCCCGCTAAGCTACGACGAGGTAGTGTACATCTGCGACCAAACACATTGACTATTTCAACAGGTAAGAATTGATATCCTGTTCAAGAAAGATAACAATAACTTTGCTGACAGACATCGCCGAGACTTCTCAAGAATATCGTCAATTTTCCGTACTAGATCGTATAATATCGGTTGTATAAAAAGTTGCAGCCGAACAACATACCGCTACAATTCGGTGTTGTGTTTCCCTCCCAACCCCAAGTTCCGACACTCACTGTAGCAACAAAAACTTCAACTAACAGGGCCATTTCAGCTCAATGGTCTAAGTGTCAGATTGTTAAAAGATCAAAAACCTAATACGGATGGAGAACTCTTTGACTGTAGAGAACAAACTCGCTTCGGTTATTGACTGAGAGTCATTATACAATGTGACAAGTTCTCACTTACCTTGGACATTCCAAATTGAAAAATTCTCTCTTAAAAAATCAAGCTCAACAGACAATGACGAACGGGATTTTTGTAATAACCCTCAAGGATATATTGCGAGGAAACGTGACGACTAAATTAAGACCAAATTTTGGAACTATTTTGTTAGAAATTCAGCAACGTTGACGTTGTGAACACAGTTGTGAATTTGAGATACCTTTCCTTGGGAAAAAACATCCAAACGAATTCAGACAAATTAAAGGCCGGATTTTCAAGATAAATCCGAGCTTTCAACCTCTCTCTAGCAGTTCGCAGTGCAGAATTGGGTCAAAGATTTGTAACAAAATGCAGCAAAAATCGCCAAAAATACATCGATCAAGACACAGAGCTACATGTACAACAGCAAATATTTACATGTAGTTACAACCGACATACTTTTTAAACCTTCCAAATAATTTACCACCAAGAAAATTCTTCTCGGTAATCAGGCGTTTACGTTCGCTCTTGTTTGTTTGTTTGTCTGTATTTATAGTTATAGAAGACCTTACGAAAGTCGCTGTACTTTTGTTGTGTCAATAAAAATTGTTCCTGTGCAGTTTCAGAACATTCTTCGCACGCCGTGGTCTGAAACCCCTCCTAAAATTTCATTTCTTAACAACAGGAGTGACATAAAACACAAAACAACACTCCACAGATTTGTACAAAACTGACAACACAACTCAGTTGTTTTCTGGGTGAATGTGACTGAACAAAAGACCATAATTACCTTTGAAAGGACGCCATGGCGTGAATAGATCCGTGCTGTAAGGCAGCTGAGATCGATATGGGTCTGTTGGCATATGGGGTTACCGTAGCAACGGTTTGATTGTGAGTCATATTCGAACGCGCGGGAGGAATGACCCTACTCGTCTGTAGCGATTTTTTTTCTACTTTTGAAGTTTTGTACTTACCTTTTGAAAATCACAAACAGAAACATTACATATTATTGAGTGCTTTAATTTCAAAATACACAGAGTAGCACCTTTAGCTATGATATTTCTACTTTTGGTCAAAGAATCAAATGGAGGTGTTTTGAAGACCGTTAACATTCCTCCCATTAATGAACTGTAAGCCTTGAGACAGTGTAACGTTCCAGAATGTAGCACATTTTGTGACAGAGACTGTTATCACTATAGCTCGGACACCTGTCAAAACCTGTCAGATTTTGGAATTTAGGACCATTTCGTTGACAATGCCTAAGTTGCATCCCCCTCTCCCCCCCAAAAAATAAATAAATAAAAGAAACACAACACGAGACGTGTGACAAGGAGTGACTGTACTGAAACCAGACACTCTCATAGTATAAAAGGCCTATCAATAATCAAACCTCAAAGATGACTCAGATCAACGTAGCCTCCAAAATCCTATGCCAGACACTTAAAGTCCCTTTGGAGTCTTGTTGCGATCGCTGTCCTCGTAAAGACGTCAACCTTACGTTGTTTTTGATAATTCGTAACGGTGTTTGTTGTAACGCTATCTGTTAGTGGCAGAAACAAATCCTACTTGTGAGACTGTAGGATGTGAAGTACGGTCCAACACACCTTCTAAAAGCTCAATAATTTAGTAAAACGTTAAACTTTATTCCAACACACTATTTACAGGGATCAAATTTTCAGCGACCACAGTGGTCGCTGAAAATTTGATCCCTGTAAATAGTGTTTTAGAATAAAGTTTAACGTTTTACTATGATTACTACCAACACAGATGAACTTTCATGATAATCTCAATAATTTAGCTTCATATTTAACATACCAAATACAGCAATCTAGAATAAAGCATTTGTTCACAACATCGAACATGTCAGCTAGCCTAGGCCAGCTTAACCTTTATATCATACTTAGCGGCCGCCATGTCAATAACGTCGTTGAAGATAAGTCCACATTGTATTTGTTTGGCATCTATGTTTGTGTGCGTGCATCCACGCTGCAGTGCCTATACGTTCCGCTAGAAGGAGCAGTGCAGTTCTTGTGAGGTGAGACAACTTTTCAGTTGCCAGGAACAACACACGCTGTCTTGTCCTCATGGCAGAACCGGTTTGTCCAGTTTTTGCAGGCTGCCATTGCACCCAGCTGCAGCTGCAGAGCGCACGCATATTTTACGTAAATACAAAAACTAAGTTGCAAATCTTTCTGAAATACATCACCGTTGATTTTACAGCATTATGTACAGATGGATGCATCAGATCAATCTCTTGACGCTAACTGATGGTACTTTTTAACCGTGCGTATTGTTGCTGCGGGCTCTTGCTGCCGAATGGGTTGCTAAATTGGCTGCTACTTTTACGTCGTAGTCAGGTAAACAGGTGTAAACGGAGTGTCTAAACACGGCATTTGTTTATCTCCGTCTTACTCAAAGATGGGGGACGTAAAAGCTACACAGGAGGTAAGTTTAAGTATCATTAAGTAGTCATTTCTGAAATTATAATCTTGATATATCTCAAAATTGTTTTCCATGTATAATCGTTATTATTTTTGTTTGCCACCGCAATGTACTGTCCAACAAGTGAGTTTACCGTAACGAATCTATGTGAAGGTAGATTCGAATACAAGAGAAAATAGTACTATTTTCTGAATGATTCACAGTAGAAACTGAAGATTCATACATGTATGAATTCCGGCAAATATTCTCCCAAGTAACCATTTCTGAAACTTCAGAATTCCAAATGTCTCCAATTTGGAATTCGGGGGGGGGGTGATCTAACCTCAATGCAAAACTATAGGCAGTATACATGTAGTTCTAAACTACATGAAACGTTTTTAATTGATTTCTTACAAACTGGGTTCCGCAAAACGAAGAAAGAAATGAGAGAAACTATTACATGATTGTATTTAAGTAGCTAGCTCAAACTGTTTCCCTTTCATTTTATTCTATTTTATCTTATATGCTACAGGTTTCCGATGAAGTTTCTCCCTTGAATCCGTTCGGGTTGCTGGAACGGCGAGTGACGTTCGCTAAGAAGGACAGCACCATTGCCGTGTTCGACACCAAACAGCACACGTCCCGGATCAGCCAGCACTTCGGGCAGTTCGGCAGGGATGACGGGGAGTTCCACCGCCCGGCGGGCGTCACTGTGTCCAACTTAGGAGAGATTTTCGTGGCGGATACAGGCAACCAACGGATACAGGTGTGGGCAAATCCGTATCATGATTTTACAAGAATAGTTGACTACTAAACCAAATCTTCTAGTAATTCTGGTATACAAAAGAATTTGCACATTTAAATAGAAAGAATAGGTGCGCATGTAATATAAGAGGACATGCGAATGCTTTTTCATGCATACAAAATTCACTTTATACGTGTTCAGAAACACGTATCACATTATATTTCAATACCTAAAGCCAGGACGTTAAATTATGCATTTAAATTACCTTGTACCTATGTTATTTCTTTCGATACAGGTCTTCGACAACAATGGATTGTTCCTCCGCTCGTTCACCACGAGAATTAACGGATACACACAGTCCTGTCCGACAGGCATCGCGGCTGTCGGCAACATGTTCTTTGTCACTGACCAGATCAACAACGCGGTAAATATGTTCGACTTCAAAGGCAGATTTACCGGACACTTCGGCGAAGACACCTGTTTTGTCAGACCGGCTAGTATCGCTGTTGACAGAACGTACGGAGTCGTGGCGGTTTCAGATCAGCTAGGAGTGAGGATCTTCTCAGCGAAAGGAGAACGCAGAGGCGGTGGCATCATGCTAGCCGGCCATGTTGGACCGATTGCCAACGAAGTGGCTTGTAACGGTCGCGGAGAGATCTTAGTGTCGTGCTGGTACGACCACTGCATCAAAGTTTACGACCTGAACAGTGGCTTTAAAACGCGGATAGCAGGCAGGGGCGAGTGGCTGGGCCGCCTGGAGCGCCCGCGTGGTGTGGGAGTGGACAAGCAGGGTAAAATCGTGGTGTCAGACGCGGGGAACCGGAGAGTTCAACTTTTCGATCCTCGGGACCGACTCGGGTTCTGTCGGCTGGTGGCGGCGCCGGCCGACGGGTTACGAGAGCCGTACGGAGTACAGGCGATGGCGGACGGGAGGTTCATTGTGGTGGACAACGCGCTGAGTAAAGTCTTTAGTGTCAGTAAGAGTCGATGTGAACCTTAATGTGATTTGTTGAACATTTATTTCATAGCGATTGCATTGATAAGTTCTGTAGGATACGATTGCAAGGCAACAATGTTATGTCCAGATGTGAAGCCATGGATAAATGAGGTAATATCAATGGCATATGGTTTGTTGTTGCTGATTGAAAGTAAAACGCTACATAATGTGACAAAGCCAACCGTCTGAATAAATTGGTCTGCTAAATGAAATGGAATCTACTATGTATTTCCTGATGGATTTTCAAGTGATATTTGAAGGAAAAAATACTGGGATTTTATCACAACTCTGAAGTATACATGAAGTTATGTTGGTGATGTTGTGTCATGTTAGCACACTCTTAGTTAAGGACGGAGATAAAGCTGAATATCAGACACAAGGCGGACGCCATGACAGCACACAGCGACATCATGACTTTCTCAGAACTGCTGCTAGGGGGCGCTGTCGTGTCTTCCTCAGAACTGCTGCTAGGGGGCGCTGTCGTGTCTTTCTCAGAACTGCTGCTAGGGGGCGCTGTCGTGTCTTTCTCAGAACTGCTGCTAGTGGGCTCTGTCGTGTCGTTCTCAGAACTGCTGCTAGGGGGCTCTGTCGTGTCTTTCTCAGAACTGCCGCTAGGGAGCGCTGTCGTGTCTTTCTCAGAACTGCTGCTAGTGGGCTCTGTCGTGTCTTTCTCAGAACTGCTGCTAGGGGGCTCTGTCGTGTCTTTCTCAGAACTGCTGCTAGGGGGCTCTGTCGTGTCTTTCTCAGAACTGCTGCTAGGGGGCGCTGTCGACGTTGAACAGGGATCGTAGCCATCAAGTCCTCGACAAGACTCTGCCTCGCCGATTCCTAGGAAAAAATAAGAGCAAGATGAAACGATTGATGCCCTATTATGATATCAAATATCTGACATATGTTAACTAGAAAGGCCAACATTTGCATTAGAGCAAATGTAGCGGATGCGGCTTCACCACATTTTACGACATGGCAGGGAAAGTAGCAGAAACACAAGGGAAAACAATTCTTTATATTGGTATATGTGAAAGATGCACAGTGCTAATTACAACGTAGAGAAGCCCACCTCTGCCGTTAACGTACTGGTAACGGACATATCCGTCTGTGGCTGCCACCATGGTGACGTAACCAACAGGAGTCAGCTGGTTCGACGAAATGAAGTTCGCCACTTCAAAAAGACACCTACATAAAGAAAAAAGGTAGGAAAAATACTTCACGGTCTGAGAACCAAAACAAACCATTTTATATACCAATTTATGCTAATCATAGGCCGGTCTCTCCCTCGTCAGCAAGTGTTAGCTATATATAGTGAAAATGAAGCATTTAGAACATCTAACTTTAAGATTAAAAACTTAATCATTACATCGGTTTCAGTCCCCAGTTTTGATAATTGAAAAATTTTTACAACATTTTAATCCACCAAAGTTAGCTGAGTAGCTCATACATGTTTTGTATTAGATTTGAAGACGGTAAAATGGCAGGAAGGCTGTATATGGCATGGTTGACGAATGCAGCCGAAAGTGCGCTTAGCTAAATTCTTGTGATGAATCACAGTTTGCTTGGTAGTTTGTAATGGTAAAAAAACAACCTACCAGCCGGCGAGACCATAGTTGGTGCAATGTGAGGCATATCCTGGGAGGTCATCCACGGTCAGAGACAAGGCGGCGGTCTGTTTCAGGAGCAGGCAGTGGTAGGTGTGGTCACCCGAACAAGGCGGGGGCATCGGGCCTCGGTACCGTTCAAGCACTGATGCTGTACCCGGTTCTGCACTCTAAACAAGTATGTAGACCGATTCTGAATTTCTGTCACAATTAGAAGTTCAACCAATGATAGCATGGCAATTAATAATGGTTAGACCAATGAGAGAGGGACTGCGTGCTACTGCGTGGTATAGTATGTTTACCGTTATGTCTGTGATCAGCATATGGAGCAGCGGTTTTTCTGTTGTGCCGACATCAGGAGAAGACGTGTCTGGGTCAACCATTAGAATTGTGAACAAGTCACCTGAAAGGACAATATACATGTAGATTTATGTGTCTACATCTTCACATATATATGTTATAAGCACGTGGAGTCTATCAGCCATGTCGGTGTCCTAATTTACATTTCGATGGATCATACCCCAAATATACAAAGCATTTTTGTGCTTCATCAGAAGGTTTCTCAGTACATTTTGCAATTGTATCATCTTGGTTACTCATTGAGTTACTGGCGCTCGATGGCGGTTACTTGAAAGAGCCCCAAAACTTGAAATTTGATTCTGATCCGTAAAATGCAAATAGGTACAACAACATGGCGGTGAAATCAGCAATGACGAAATATTAAAACGTTCTGTAGGTCTACTAGAAACTTTGTCCATGAGTAAAGTCCAGTGAAGCATTGAGAAAACGTGAATGTGGTATGAACTTGCCTAGTAACGATACACCACTGATCATAGCGGTGGGGTGGTGGGCAGTTTCACCAGGGGTGACCGAGACACCTGTGGTGGCCACAGAAATAGTCCGAGCACTAGTGACGATAAAAGAAAAACAGTAAGACTAACGTATACATGAAATGCTTTGAACAAAGTCAAATGTCAATGTTTTACTCTTACAGAAATCGTCGTCATATTATCATAATAAAAAGTAAAGGGTTGGATAGGCAAATTTAAACCAATGTTGTATTTTAGCGGTCAGAGTATGGCGCTATACTAGAATACGCAATACCTTTGGGTAAAGCTTCGATTGCACACGTTGTATACGGATTCTGGGGCTGAGAATGTGAGGGTGAAGTCCACGGGAAGATCGCCAGAGGGCACCCATGACTGAGCTAACGGGAAAACACAGCCTTAATCATGAAAGTCAAACGTGCCAACAGACGTAACTGCACGTATATATACATGGCTGATGATTAATTTGTTAGAATTTAGTAAATAAGATAGGTGAACAATTTGTCAAATTCGTCTCTTACTATGCTTGCTTAATTTTCTATTGTGTAGAAAATGTTATTCTACAGGATCTACACTACATTACGTACCATTTGACAGTAAAAGTAGTGTTGTGGTGGCGATTAACGTTGACAACATTTCCGCTCAGGCGCTGCAACTGTGGCGACGTTACATCCAGCTGGATGGATGCACAGGCTCCGACCAGCGGGCGACGGTAGAATAGCCACAATTTCCTCCTCTAGTGTCCTTCTAGCTCGTATATTTGCATCGTAATCTAGCATACCAGGAGGCAATGTATCTCTGTATCATAATCGCAAGAATCAGTGTAAACAAACGTAGCTTTGGTGGCCATTTTATAACATGACCATGATATTATGATGATATCTGACTTCAAGTTCAGATCTGACACACCGACGTCTCCATAACCGACGCTAGAAGAACTGGCAGATTCATGTGCATAAATGAGTGACATGTGATGAGACTTGATGCCCTTTTTGTTTATTTGTGTATAAGTTTCAGTACAAAGGATCTTGGTCCTTTTGATGACGTAGATAGACGTAAATTGTTTACCGTGAAAGTAGGAAATGTAAATCATGAAATATTTTTCAATATATAAATTAATAAACAGTCCAGCCGGATCCAGACAATGCCCTTTGACATCTTGTCTTGTGGCTTTCATTCTGCTCAGATTTGTGAATTACTATCAAAATTTTGTATCATTTTGATTAACGTTACGTTCGACTAATGTTACGTTGTGTCTTAACGTTCTATCATTTTGTTTAGCGTAACGGAAAAAACGTAAATGTCTAGATCTGTGCAATATACATTTTTTTCATGACGTGATTGACGCATTGTAGTCGTATAAACGTTTATTCAATGTAATCGATTTGAGACATAGTTTTGACGCGATCGAAATTGCTATAAAATCTGCGCTCCAGTATTTCATTACGTCTGAGTAGGTTGGGCTTAATTTATGACTGAATATTATTCAAACACAAACCACTCTGCGCAATAAGTGATTTAATTATGGCGTTTGAAAAATGCCTATCACAATACCTATTTGTTTTTTGTTTGTTTCGCATAACCAGAAAACCGCCTTTAGGCGTAACACAACAGTTTCGTACAGTAACTTGCATAGTTAAACTACTCACACCGGGAAGAACCCTACTTCTTACGATAAGTCTATTAAATTACCCTGAAAAATCGCTTTATAGTATGAATTGTGTTTATTGTAAGCTCTATGCTCACTCTATGCACAACGTCACTTCATTGGGGCTAGAAATGGTCTCGTTTACGATACGACGGGTCCTGTTTACTTATACATGTAAGATTGCTGGTAATACTGAGTGCAACAACTAACAGTCTATATAATCTGCAATCTACCGACTCCACCAACAACGTTAACAGGTCCAACACTCACCTCTGTACTGGGTAATGTCTGTCCAGATGTGGTAGACGTGTGTCCGCTGAGGTACATAATCTTGCGTGACAAATGCTGCTCTTTACCAGCTTATTGATCCATGATTATGTATATAATCCTACCTCAGTCTCAACAAGACTCGGTACTGTACCACGTAGGCCCTGGCACGCACCTCGGAATAGTGTCAATCACCGTCTGTCACAAACTCCTACGTGATCAACGAGGTTTTAAGCTTGTCTTAATCGTTCCTGATCTAGCCAAATGACAGAAGATGTTGCACCAAGTACTTCTTGTGGTGCCCTTCTGAATTTTGTATCCCCGTGCCTTTGCAGCAAAGAGCGATTGGGTGTAGGTCACTGAAAAATCGCTAGGCGACTTCCTTCACTGAGCGTCCGAGTTATCGATTATGCTGTCCACACGCAGAGAGAGAGAGAGAGAGAAAGAGAGAGAGAAACAGACACACACACACACACACACATACAGACACACACACACACACACATACAGACACACACGCACACACACACACACACAGACACACAGACACACAGACACACACACATTCTGTACAGTTTCAATAACTGGTTCTTTTTATAACCATAAATGGTGTTTAACTATTATAAAATGATGTACATTTAATTTTCGTTTTTAAGGTCACACTATGAAAACAACAGCAAACATTGAGAACAGAAATTCTCTTACAACACAAAAAATATATGAAGCTAATATAAATTTATAGAATAAAACGATAAAGCAACAAAACCAACCAACTTAATGTATTGATGAACGAAATAAGATGGAACCTGTTGTATTTTTCGACTGGCTGATAGCGAAGAGCTTGCTTCAGAAGTGATGAAAAACACAAGTCTAAATAACAAATCTGTTATGGTAGATGTATATGTGTTAATGGCACGGTCATCTTAGCACACTCTAGTTATGGACGAAGATAAAACTGACTATCAGACACCAGGCGGCCACCATGACAGCGGACATCGACATCATGACTTTCTTTCCACTGCTGCCAGGAGGCGCTGTCGGACAGGGATCGTACCCATCAAGCCCTTGACAGGCCTGTGCTTCACTGATCCCTGGAACAACATAAGAACAATATAATACCTTGCAAAATCATAATAGTTTATATCTACACACTATTACTCAAACATGTACCTTGTACTTGAATCAAGCATGCACCTGTCAAAGGTCACAAAATGCAGATGCCTAAAAAGCGACACGATGTCATAAAAGAAATCTTAACAGCTTTTACTTTCCATACCAGGCTCAATTGGCGTTTTAAAAATGTTGCATTTTCTTTCTGCTAAAACTTACATATAGTGTCCCGGGTAGAGACTAGGTCAAGAGAATTAAGGACAATTGAAACGTGCACCATCCAAACATCACACACAGTGCCAGCTGCATGGAGGCAAACAACAAAAGTAGCCCACCTCTGTTGTTAACGTACTGGTAACGCACATATCCGTCTGTGGTTCCCACCATGGTGACGTAACCGACTGGGGTCAGCTGGTTGGACGAAATGAAGTTCGCCACTTCAAAAAGACACCTACATAAAGGAGAGGTATGAGCAAAACTATGATAAATACTTCACGATTAGAGCATCAAAACCAAACCATTCATCATTTTACGCACAGGCACACCTCCCTATGTTGTTAAAGATGAATTACTCGTTACATCAGTTTCAGCCTACTTCTGATGATTGAAAAAGTTTGTCAATTTTAGTGGCCTGGTTCGTATCCAATTCGAAGACATTAAATAATGTCCTAAGAACGTAAGGTGTCAAAAATGGGTCATTGGATATGGGTATGAATATGGCTGATGAATACAGCCGAAATTTTGGTAAGCTAGATTTTTGTGATATGATGAATCGTTGGTTGTTTTGTAGTTTTTAAAAGTCAGTAACAACATACCGGCCGGGAAGACGAGGGTTGGTGCAGTCTGGAGTGTAGTTTGGGAGATCATTCACGGTCAGAGACAAGGCGGCGGTCTGTCTCAGGAGCAGGTAGTGGTAGGTGTGGTCACCCGAACAGGGTGGGGGCATCGGGCCTTGGTACGACTGAAGCACCGCTCCGGTAGTTGGGTCTGCGTTCTAAACAAGTACGTAAACCGATTCTAAGTTCAATCAATCAATCAATCAATCAATCAATCAATTAAATGGTATATTTGTGAAAACAAACAAGAGCTTGTAGCCGTTGGCTAAATTGTGTCTTGCTGTACAATTTGCTTTCTTAACATTTCTGGCATAACAAATTAAAATTGATAAGTTATTCGATAAAATCCATATCGTTACACACTAATTACCTAAAAATAGCAGTTTAAAGTTCAACATTAAAACAATCAGCACTTCAATCAATGATAGCATGGTAATCAATTAACGGTTTGACCAATGGGAGAGGGACTACTGCATGTCCAGATCGAGCAACTGAGAAACTGAAAGCTAGCAACTGAGAAAGGGACCATGTTTACCGTTATGTTTGTGATCAGCATATGGAGCAGCGGTTTTTCTGTCGTGCCGACATCAGCAGCGGGCGTGTCTGGGTCTACCATCAAAATGGTGAACATGTCACCTGGAAGAGACAAAATAGATTCAATAAATTTGCTTACATAATCACTCATCACAGCCATGTCGGTGTCCTAATTTGCATTTAAACGGATCGTATACGTACCCCAAGTGTACACAACATTATCAGCGTGTTTCTCAGCACCATTTTAGTATTCTCTTCTTCAAATTACAGTCATGCAGTTGCGGTTATTTGAAAGGGTTGAATTTTTGAATCTGTCAAAACACTTGAAATTTGATACAGTAATATGCAAATGTGAAAACGCTCCATAGTGCTACTAGAAAAAGACAAGTCCTGTAAAGTGATGGGGAAACGTAAAAACAAACAGAGATGGTCATTCTAATTGTTGTGGTACCCGAATGAACTTACCTGACGATGCACCAGTGATAGTCATGGTGGTTGGGTCGTTCGCAGTTTCACCAGGCGTCACCGAGACACCAGTGGTGTCCACAGAAACAGTCCGAGCACTAGTGACGGTCAGAGAAAAACACTTTTTGTTTATTAAGCATACAGTAAACAAAATAAGGGTACAGGACAAAGTGACGACGGGCTCAAGTTGGGTAACTTATGTTAGCGCCACCACTTATACGAATAAAACTAATATTACTAAACAATGCAAAACACTAACCAAGAATACATGTAAAAGAACAGCACAAACAGTCGAATTTATGAAGCGATTGACACTTTTGACTATCGTATACGTAAAAATGCCTTGAATAAAGTCAAACGTCGATGTTTACCCTCACAGACATTATCTATATATTGATTTAAAATTTCTTAGTAAAAATTAAGAGTTGAACAGGTAACATTTAAGCGAGAGTGTAGTTATGTGTGTATGACGCTATGCTAAAATATGTCCAACCTTTGGGTAAAACTACGACTGCAAACGTCATACACCATTTGTGGGGCTGAGAATGTGAGGGTGAAGTCCACGGGAAGATAGCCAGAGGGCACCCATGACTGAGCTATTAAACGGGAAAACACAACCTTAATCATAAATATCAACCGTGTCAATAACTAGACTTGACGGCACCTGAATATACATGGCCGACTGATGATTAATTTATTAAATTTTTGCAAATAAGATGTTGCATATGTGTCAATTATCTGTCAACTATTCGCTTATTTTGCACAGTTCATTTTTGTATTGTAAAGAAACGTCGGTAACTTACAGGATTTACACTACATATTACTTGGTAAATACAGTACATACCATTCGACAGCACAAACAATGTTGTGAGGGTGATCAAAGTTGACAACATCTTCGTTTAGGGGCTGCAACTCTGGAATTACATATGAGCTCGAGTTACATCAAGTTGGATATACCTGGGTACAAACGTTAACCATGCAATGCATGCTATCCGGAAATAGCGGGACCCGGCCAGCGAGCGATGGCAAATAATCACCAAACGCCCGGCTTTTTGATAACATGGCGGTGATATTTGGCTTTAGATGGTTCCGAGACACTCTACACTCCAGTGTCTGTTTATGTTTGACTCGGAGCTAGCATGCTCGGTAGGGCTTTGATTTGAGATTGAGGATTATATGCAAACACAAATCATTTAACTAACCTGAAACCCAGCCTTGTTATCTGTACTTTCCGGGGATCCAAGGCTGCATTTCAGGCCATGACCTTACTAAATAAGTGGTTTAAATCATGGGCGTTTGGGGCACGGCCAACACAATGTCAAACATGTTGAATTTCTCTTAGTCACGGTGAATTGTGTTTGTTATGATCTATACTTACTCTATGCACAATGTAAGTACTTCATTGGGGCTTTCGATGCGGGGTATACTGAGTGCAAACAACTTACAGTCTTTACAACCTGCAATCTACTGGCTTCACTAACAACAGGTCTAGTACTAGTGTCCTAGATCCTGTCTAGACGTCTAGCACTCACCTCAGTCCTGGGAATCTGGGCGTCCGACGCTTAAAGCAGATAATTTTTGATACGTGACCAAAACTCTTACCGGCTGGCAGCGGCAGCTTATCGCTATCGTATGCAGACGTACTCTCAGCAAGACACGATACTGTGCCACTTTATATACCCCCTGGCACCTCCGAGGTACCAACCACACCCTGGCACTACCCCTGTCTGATCAAATGGTAGTGGGCGTGACCAAAACTACTCGTACCAGCTCGTAGCGACAGCTATTGTATGCAAACCTACTTCTCAACAAGACACGATACTGTACCACTTAACTCCTGGCACCTCAGGAATAGTACCTACCACACCCTGGTACTACCGGTACCCCTGGACAAATGGCCGGCAGAGGCCGTTGAACTTTGCACCCTTCTGAACTTTTACACTCGTGTCCTTGGGGCAAAGAGCGAGTGAAGAATGCAGGTCGCCTGAAATCGCCAGGAGGCACCCCTGACAGAGCAACATGCTTATAAACATCGCCTCTAGATGTTTGAGCGGTTAAGCGATGCATACAGAGAACAGTTCGCACCAATGTGAAGACGTACGATGATTTAACGTTGCCATAGATAAGAATCTAAGATACGTGACACGCATAACTAGACACTACCGTAGTGCCGTTGTTGTTTACGTTGCGGCTGCAAACGACTTCCTTATCAGAGGTAACACATTCAGGTATATAAGAAAATGGCAGACAGAAAATCAAATTTAGGCAGAACGGCATTAGTATCATATCATCAAGCAGAAAAGCATTCATAACAAAGCTGTATTTTCTCTCGAATCAGTTGAAGATGAATGTCCGGACATGAGCTCGAGTGGATGGTGTGGGGAAGAGTCGGGAGGGCTACGAGTGGGGTGTAGGGAAGAGGAGGTAGGACTACGAGTGGGGTGTATATATATATATATCGTGATCAAGTGAAACCGGTTCGAAACTATCTCCCAAGGTGGTTTGGGATCAAGGCGCTTTCAATGCGATTTGGAGCGTTCAGATGGGGCCATTTGAATCCGGTGGAATCTGGATCGAAAGCGCTTATAAACAGCGTATTCGTGTGAACGGGGCCTATGTTATATAGCAGGCAAACAGATAAGGAAGACATACAGGTGTGTGAAAGTTGACAAGATAACATTCCGGACATAAGACGTTCTTGGTATGGTGTCGAGTGTCTTTGAAACTGTTGTTAAAACATTCTGGCTTTTTTTCTTTTGGTTATTGCCAAGCCAAGGGAAAACACATCACAGTGTGTTTGTGTTGATAGAGGTCATTTTATGATGTCAGTGTCTTTTGTATTTTTGGCATCTGAGAGTTTGTCCTCTCCTACGTTGTCTAAAACTACAAACCACATGTCCATTTTCAAAGACCAGCAGTGAGTAATGGAATAGTTAGTTAGAATAGACGTCAAATGCGTCCAGAATCCATTGTGAAGTTGCCCTATACTTATTACTTCACCCAAAACTACCCCCTAGGGTCAAGGAAGACATTCTAGACATTCATTTCTAAACACGTACGTGTACTTCGGATCAGTAACTTTGGCAGTGATGTTAGTCAGATAACAACCACTGACCAATGACAGTCCCCCAGTTTTCCTTCCGCCATATTTTCCCCACCTGTTATTTCCTCGAGGTGACCGGTGGCACTCTTAGGTCTGCTGTTACTTTTCTCCGCACTTCTGTGGACAAAAATGGAGAAAATGTACTTGAAGTTCTTTTCCCTGGTGTTTTTGGGTCTCTGCGTTTCTGGATTGACTGGTAAGAAGTTTCTTATGCTTATTTCATGGCCGCATGTAATTGCTAACTCTGCCATAAGGACTATATACACGAGTTCGTGGTATGCTTTGGACTGTGATCCGAAGACGAATGATGACAGAAAAGTGTACCATTTTGTGCATATCGTCATATGGAAGCATAAGTGATAAGAGGTGGGGTCGTGTGGCGTAGCGGTAGAGTGCGCGACTCGGAACCAAGAGTCCCGGGTTCGAGTCCTGACATGCCACCGATCTTGTGCCCTTGGGAAAGGCACTTAACACGACTTTCCTCACTTAGCTCAGGTGTATATAAGTATTGTCCTGTCATGTATTTGTCCCCTGTGTTGGTGGCGGCATTAATATAAGTTGAAAAAAAAAACTTGAGTGTGTCGTCACCACGTCTGGTGATTACATATTGGAATAAAAAAGATAAAAATAACAAACAAACATAAGTGATAAGAAGATGCATGAAGAAACCGTTGAGGCCGCGACCACTAAAGACCTTTGCGTCGCGAGCGGCTGCAAAAGTGTAAGACCTACAGACTCTTTGAGGTGACCACTTGGCTAGGGACAATGGACTATTATTAACGGATCATCCACTAACTCACCACTAGTACACAGGCCCATACGCGCTATGCAGCTCTCCCCAGTAGCCAAAATATTCAACAACATGAATGTGGGCTCTTAAAAGAGGAAGAAGGATCTTGTCATAGCTCCAATTATGTTTTGTATGTTGGATAGCATCGGCTTTTTTCAAGAGCGATTCCATCTGAATGTGCAAATTATTAGCTTGTTTTGCTTATATTGGCCATCGTATTCAAAACCTTGTGCGAGCTGGATGGGACTTCTTATGTTAAAAGAGTCAATTTACAAACTAGAAAGGCCGACGTTTGCTTGTGTAGCATGGCTTCATCACGTTTTACGACATGTCAGGGAAAGAAGGGAAAAGACAAGGGAAAACAACGCTTTATATTGTTATATAGCTATAGTATGAAGTGACATATAACTAAGAATGCAACAGTTCGATAGCTATCCCATACATTATTGGTTAGGATTCTTATTTGCATAATGCAAACTGTTGATTTTCAAGATAAAAAGCGTTTATGTCCCGCATTCCAATGCGTGAGAAGGAAGCCATAACTATTACAAAGGCTTTAGGCTGGCTAATTTCAGTGCACTGTGGTTTCACATGCCATGGTGTTGTTTATGCTGTTTACAGTAAACAAATGTTCATGCTATTGCCAAAACCTGGTGGTAACCTCTACAATAATCAACAGTAGAGGTTACCCTCTGCTGTTTGTACCCTGGGTTTCTACAGATTGTGAGGACAACTGAATAAAAAAAAGTTCAGCTGCAGTACCATAACAAGCCGCTAGGGGGTCCAAAATCTAATCATTTTGAGGTCTTATTAAGACCTACCCACCTACCAAGTATCAAAACAATCCATTGAAGCCTTCTCAAGTTATAGTGTTTACAGACGGACGGACGGACACACACACACATACACGAACGCCTCTGAAAACATAACCTTCTTGGCGAAGGTAGTGACTGCAAGGTTGCGATTGTATTGGATTGTAACATGATTCAAGCAGCTTTCTCATGTACCCTTTTAAACACATACAGGCAGCGCCGTCTCCGAAAAAGAGCTAGAGGCCCTCCGAATCCTCGGTCCGTTAGCTGTGGCGACCGAAGACTTTGGAGAAGATTTTGGAGACACTGAAGAGGCCGAAGACAATGATGGAAACACTGAAGATACTGATGAAGACACTAAAAACAAAGATGGAGACACCGAAGACGCTAATGGCGACACTAAAGACACCGATGAAGACAACGAAGACACCGATGGAGAGACTGAAGACACTGATGAAGACACTAGAGACATTGCGGTAGACACCCAGACCATTGGAGACGCTGACGGTACAGACACAGGCACTGAATTCGAAGAGACTGATACCAAACCCACTGATGTGGAGACTGAAGACACTGATGAAGACACAGCTAATGGAGGCACTACAGACACTGATGGAGACACCGAGACCATTGGAGACGCTGACGGCACAGATATAGGCACTGATACTGATGGAGAGATTGAAGACATTAATGGAGACACTGATGAGCTAGCCCTTCAGAGCCGCCGTCAAAATAGCAGTAAGTTCTCTATGTTTAGCTTCTGATTTATTTTGTGGAGGGCATTGAGTCGCATCGGTTTAAGAAAAAGGAGAAGAAGAAAAAAAAGAAAAGGAAATCAGAGTTCCGTTTAATTCCCCAAATGATGCTAGACTTTAATAACCCGTTTATTATAGTATAAAGTCCCATTTTAGTATAACAAAGACAGCTGCTGGCTAGTACGTACATGCTATGTACTGAATCCATATTGTTGACAGGGAATATACCTGTAGCAGAGATTTCCTTTGAAAATATTACCAAATAGACGGTCATTTCTAGTAGTATAATTTTACTCGCTCTGTTGTCTCTTTAGATCCTTGCAACAGCTACACTGTACTAAACCAGGCGTGGAGGAGTGTGAACAACACTGTTAGGAGGTACAGTTGTGATAATGGCTTTAGGGGAGAGTGGTACCGCTTCATGAATCCTGCCGGTACTTCAATGCCTACACAGCGACCCCCGTCAACACGCAGATGCGGTACGGATGCTCCGATGTGGATGAGCGGACAACATCCCAGCGTTGCCGATGGAGAAATCTCCCGCCAGGCGTGTGCCTACTGGGGCAGTAACCCCTGTCAGTGGTCAACAACCATCCGAGTGAAGGCCTGCAGCGCTGGTTACTACGTGTACAAACTACCCAGGACTCCTGTCTGCCACCTAGGCTACTGCGGAGCTTCTGTCGGTAAGCCAACTTTACTCTTACAGAAGTGATATTTATTATAAGTGAATCATGAATTCAGTTCAAATCAGTAATGCATTAGCTCGTCTCTAATGCTGTTGACATACTAATATCTGCTTGAGTTTACATTACAATATTATATATGGTAGTCTGTGTAATGCAAACTATCAATGTCCACCGCTCAATAGAGCCCACCAAAAGGTATGAAATCAAGTTAACACAAAACAGCCCCCCCAACCATGGTAATGGAGTAGGAGTCGGTTTGGTTGGCCGGTACTTGACCAGGCCATTGATTGATTGATTGATTGATTGATTGATTGATTGATTGATTGATTGATTGATTGATTGATTGATTGATTGATTGATTGATTGATTGATTGATTGATTGATTGATTGATTGATTGATTGATTGATTGATTGATTGATTGATTGATTGACCAGTGAGCTTAATTCACGCTTTTGGCATATACCATTTAAAATTGTGTATTTTTTTTCATTTATAGATTCAGCATTAACAACTTCAGCACCAGCTGCAGGGACAACCAAATATGCAGACACGACTACAAAACTTACCCCACAAACTACAGCTTCATCTGGTAAGGGTAGTACAGGTGGCCATCACCAATTCTGTTGAGCTCAGTAGTATTTGTTTAGTGGTGGTGCATGTAAAGATTTAAACAGTAGCTAGGTGCCAAGATTCGTACATTTTGTTTCATGTTTTCGCCCAAACGTCTTTATTTTATGTCTCAAGAAAGTTTTTTTAAAATATGACTGATTCACTGTGCATTGAAACCCGGTGCCACCGGCTCAATGTGCACTGAAGCCAGGTTTTAATTTACTGTTTTTTTTTAATGTAACAGTATTAATTTATGAAACTAGGGCAGCCAGCACTGGGCAACCAGTAACACCTAGCTTCAGTGCATAGTGAACCCATAGCACCTAGCATCAATATAACAATACATGGTGAACAAATAACACCTAGCTCCAGTACACAGTGAACCAGTAACACCTAGCTTCAGTGCACAGTGAGCCAGTAACACCTAGCTCCAGTACACAGTGAACCAATAACACCTAGCATCAATACATGGTGAACAAGTAACACCTAGCTTTAGTACACAGTGAACCAATAACACCTAGCTTCAGTACACAGTGAACCAGTACAGTAACACCTAGCTTTAGTACACAGTGAAGCCAGTAACACCTAGCTTTAGTACACAGTGAAGCCAGTAACACTTAGCTTCAGTGCACAGTAAAACAGTAGCACCTAGCTTCACTACTAAGCCACATTGTCACACATGTCTTCAATCTTTGTTAGTTGTACCAGGTGAGAAGATCATCTTCCCCGGTCCAAGAGACGTTGATGACTATGCCAGGATGGAGACCACATTGTCTGGGGACTTAACCAGCTTTACCCTCTGTGTGCACATGCGCTCCAACATGGCCTCCAGCAATCAGATCAGCCTGGTCAGCTACGCAGTGTCACAACATAACAACGAGCTGCTCTTGTTTGTTAATCGTGGATTTCAAGTAAGTATACAATCGCTTTTGATATTAAGCTTCTGCTGTCTATTGCTTGTTTATGGTGGATATGTATGTAAACTATGTGCAAGTATGTCCAGCTGATATAGCGTTATAGTTTAGTCAATCACAAGAATTTATTTCATCATAAAAATGAATTTTGACTAGAATGAAAGGCAAATAAAACAACCCAAATAAAACAATTTTAAAGGCCTGCATTAAAAAAGAGGCAAATAACTAGTCCAATTTGCCGACAAAATTTCAGTTTAACAAAATGGCAGGAGACGGACATATGAGAAAACAGATGATTTATCCATAGCATGGTATAAAGTGAAATATATATTTTGGAATCTTTTGGCTCATGTCATCTTTTGCATTCAGTTACACGTACAAAACAGCATCCGAATGGCAGACCCACCCGTTTGGGACGGTGAGTGGCACACCGTGTGTACTACCTGGCGCAGCAGTGATGGAGCCTGGCAGTTCTACGTTGACGGCGACCTGACGGCTTCAGGCTCGGGGTTTAGAGTGGGAGGAAGAGTGCGCAGAGGCGGAACATGGATTCTCGGTCAGGATCAAGACCGAGTTGGGGGAGGATTCGAAGCAAGCCAGTCATTCATCGGAGAACTGTCGGAAGTGAACCTCTGGGACCGCGTGCTGTCTCCAGCAGAAATAGCAGCGGACTGTAGTTACCATGGCAACGTGATTGACTGGGATACAACTAACATCAGAGTCTTCGGAGAGGCCAGCAGGGCTGACTATCATCGATGTGGTAAGTAGTACATGCTCATTAGCATATGATATTCTTTACAGCTTTACAGGACCTGCACAGGTATGGGAACCATTGCATAATTGAATGTGTCTTAGACAGGCTTTTCAGCACCAAGGAAAGGCCCTGCCATAATCGACAATTTTCACAATATTTTATACTGCTTTTTTTCCAATGTGCGGAATTTTGAACTAAAACACTAATTAGTGCAACTGCACGTATAGTTTTCATGATTCAAGGAAACCTGCCAAGAAGTAGATATGATGAAAGTAACCTGTGATATATGAAGGCAGACATTATGCCCTGTCAGATGCTTTTCCTACAAGCCAATCTCCCTTAAATACCCCTGGATACATAGTTCCTTGACGTGACAGTCAAGCTTGATGTGCAGTTCAAATTGCGATCGTCTCGATCTAGCCTCACGTTACTCTTCGCATCAAATCTTAATACCAAGTCTTATTTTAATCTTTAGACGTTCCTCAATAACTAAAGAAGCAATTCATCCTTTAACAGTGATGTTTCAGAATGGTATTGGTCTTAATAACAATTTGACCTGACTTAAGTCAGCAAAATATTATGTATGATATAATAACTATCATATTCTATTATCATCCACATGTGTTTTCTTCCTCATATAGCACGTGCACCAGTATCAGAATTGTCAGGTAAGACAAGTGAATATTGATGTCTTATTCAGTTAAAGACCTTTTATCGAAAATACAGCACTGAGCTTAACTGATCATTCAAGGCTCTTCTACACCTTTTTGGTTACTTTGAGGTCATATACGTAATCGTGTAGCTTATATCTTACTACAAACATATACTTATAACAATGAATGCCCTTCGGTTAACGTTACAGCTAACACATTTTTGGTTTCTCATTACTTATTCAAAGTTCTTCATTTGCATAAATCATGCCACTAAAAGATGGTAACAAGATGCCATTTCATGTCTCCTTTCAACACAGCCTGTTCTTATCTATGTCATTTTTTCTCCACAGCTTCCACCACCTGCAGCAACGACTACATGGAACTGTCGATTCCGGAGGATCAGCTGACCGACATCGACCTGAACAACCTTCACTGGAGGCCTGACCGGAACTGTGGCGCCACGACTAACGGTTCTCACTACCTGTTCCGTACAGAGCTGTACGACTGTGGAACCGAGGTATGTGTGCCTACAACATCTGTAAATTTTAGACCTGTGATATACGGATGATGAAGACAGTAACGATGAGCATACCAAGGCATATAACAATCACCAGAGACACTGATATTGCAGCCTCTTGGAAACTCAATTTCTGCAGTACCTAATTCTTGATGATGCCAGAGCTTTATAAATTCTAAAGAATCTGCCATCTCCCGTCAGGTGACCTTCGGTGCGAAGTACGTGACGTTCCTGAACACCATCAACATCCTGGGCACCCACCTGAACAGCGGGGTCATCACCCGGGAGGGCGACATCTGGATCACATCCAAGTGAGTTATAGATTCTCTTCCTGAATGTGTGATCTTCTGCTTTAGAATATATTGGTGAGTTGTAGATGGCACAGATTATTTTAAAGATAAAATCCGCATTTTGGTATCTTACGTACAGATGTAACTACGAACGTAAGGAGTGGGTGGACTCGACCTTCCTGCCCATCCCGGGCGGACTGAACTTCACGGAGGAGGGGTTCGGGCAGCTGGAGGTCCGGCTCTCCATGTTCCCCACCCGGCAGTACCTGAGGCAGTACCGGGCGGACCAGTACCCCATCCACCTCAGGCTGCGCCAACACGTCTACATGCAGCTGGAGGTGCAGGGACACGCGCAGAAACTCTCCGTACTGGCGCTGAACTGTAAGGCCACCATGTCACCTTCACCCAACGACAGCCTGCAGTATCAACTCATCAGGGACGGGTAGGCAGAAATGTTTGATGCTACTTTACTATGGATTTCGTTAGGGCTTTAGCGGGAACATGTTACCTTAACACCATGCTTTTAAATGCATTAAAAAATACACACAAAAAAACTTATAAAATGTACACACCATCCACGCTGAGTAGTCTTTGCGACTTGCGACTTTGCAACGTGTCATCAACTGATCAAGCACAATCATTGCCATTGATTCATCAGCAATTACTATGATTACGATAAAGTGTATTTAAGTTGGGATCTTTGACAATTCAATCTTTTTTTTTCTTTTCACGTCTCTTCCAGCTGTGCCTCTGACCCCACATTGAAGACCTACGACGTTGACGACCCCGGCAAGGAGCGGTTCGGTTTCGAGGCGTTCCGCTTCATCCGGGAGGTGAGGACCGTGTACGTGCACTGTGAGGTGCTGGTCTGTGACGCCGCTGATGCTGGATCCCGCTGTGCACAGGTCTGATTCTCAGATCAAGTCATTATAATTGTAGTATTGAAAGTGCTGATGGTAGTGATGTAGATAGTTCTACCCTAGGTCAGCAGAAAATTAGCCTGACTGAACCTCGCTTTTCGCCGGCTCCTTAGTAGTCCGCCAACCCAAAACTTGGGTGGCGGACTATGTAGGGACGCCCCCC